CGATTATAACCCTGTCGCATTTTTCGCAATAATAAAAACATCGCAATAATTTCTGAATTTACAGTAGCTAAGTACATTTAAATGTACACAAAACAGTCACATTAAATACATATCACCAGATGAAGTATCCATTGAGAAAAAAAGCAAAATCTATGGAAACGTAGAATGCGACGTCCACAAAAAGTCTTCTTTTAAAAATGAAGAATAAAAATTTGTCACAGGCAACCATTTCTTATAAAATGCATAGTAAGCATGGACTATTGTCAAATTGTTCTAAAAATGTGGAAAAATAAATCAAAACATTAGTTATTCGATTCTTACAGATGTGAATATAAGCATGGATGCAATTTAGGAACTCCTCAATACAGAATCTCATTCAATATGGATTCAAAATTAATTTTGTGGAACTATATAGTAAATAAGGATACATCTACAAAATAAACACAGAATGGAAACTTTTGTCTGTTTCATAAATTTTTCCATTTTCAATATCAAACTTTGGGACAACATAGAAAATAACAGATTCGGACATTTTCCAAAAATGGACAATAAAAGGGTGAAGGTTTGGTACCATTAAAACGTTTAAACCCGCTGCATTTGTTTGCACCTGTCCTAAGTCAGGAATCTGATGTTCAGTAGTTGTCGTTTGTTGATGTGGTTCATAAGTGTTTCTCGTTTTTTATATAGATTAGACCGTTGGTTTTCCCGTTTGAATGATTTTACACTAGTAATTTTTTGGGGCCCTTTATAGCTTACTGTTCGGTGTGAGCCAAGGCTCCGTGTTGAAGACCGTACTGTGACCTATAATGGTTTACGTTTATAAATTTTTACTTGGATGGAGAGTTGTCTCATTGGCACTCATACCACATCTTCTTATATCTAATAATTAACTGTTTTATAATAAAATATATCCAACCAACTAAAGGTATGGGAAATGCCAGACTTATCAATGTTTTACCTATTAGTAACTAATTAAACAATATCTCATGTAAATATGAATGAAAGGAGATGTTAGATATACATCAGTTAGACAAGCAACCCAATGACATAAAAGTCCATAAGATATTCAATTGTCACATAGAGAGGGATAGTTAATGCAGGCAACTTATCTGTATTACATTGGGTGTTATTCAATGTGGAATAAATTGTTTTGTTTCCTGTACCAAATGCAACGAAGAAGAAAAATATGTACTTTTTATTCAATAATCAAATGTCTGCTTGTGAAACAGCATCAACACGTTAGTTTAACAAATGACAACAAAAAACATCCACTTTCATTGAAATCAATTCAGGCTGGAGATGGTCACGTGCAATTTTAATAATGTCATAGAGACACACAAAACAGTTCAATCTCATAAAGAAAGTGTTATGATAATTAGGATATAGTTTTACAAATAATATTTTTTTCAGGATGAAGTTTATAAATCCCTGCTGAGTTTATTTTAAGTAACATTTGTAGTTTGAAAAACAGTTTGGTTCCACATAAATATGTTTACAGAATTGAAGTACTACCTAAAGTTCAATTAATAGGAATTGAAATGTTTGTCAAAACATTACAATACATCTTGTAGATAAGTTTTATAAGGTGTTATTTTTATTTATTATATACTTAGTAGTGTTAAAATACAAGTTAATTGTATGTGTAATACAATCAATGACAATCATGCTGTATCAGACATCTGTGATGATATTAATATCAGTCATGGTTACAATGGCTATATCAAACCCCTAATCTGTATGATGTCATGTAATTAATATCAGTCATGGTTACAATGGCTATATCAAACCCCTAATCTGTATGTTGTCATGTAATTAATATCAGTCATGGTTACAAAGGCTATATCAAACCCCTAATCTGTATGATGTCATGTAATTAATATCAGTCATGGTTACAAAGGCTATATCAAACCCCTAATCTGTATGATGTCATGTAATTGATATCAGTCATGGTTACAAAGGCTATATCAAACCCCTAATCTGTATGATGTCATGTAATTAATATCAGTCATGGTTACAAAGGCTATATCAAACCCCTAATATGTATGATGTCATGTAATTAATATCAGTCATGGTTACAAAGGTTATATCAAACCCCTAATCTGTATGATATCATGTAATTAATATCAGTCATGGTTACAATGGCTATATCAAACCCCTAATCTGTATGATGTCATGTAATTAATATCAGTCATGGTTACAAAGGCTATATCAAACCCCTAATATGTATGATGTCATGTAATTAATATCAGTCATGGTTACAAAGGCTATATTAAATCCCTAATCTGTATGATGTCATGTAATTAATATCAGTCATCCTGGTTACAAAGGCTATATCAAATCCCTATTCTGTATGATGTCATGTAATTAATATCAGTCATGGTTACAAAGGTTATATCAAATCCCTATTCTGTATGATGTCATGTAATCAATATCAGTCATCCTGGTTACAAAGGCTTTATCAAACTCTTAATATGTATTAGGTCGTGTCTTGTAAAAACATCTAAATTAGTTGTTCTTGAGGTACATGTATATAATAAAGGGTATGATATGGATTTTCCAATATAATACACCCTATCAACCGTCAACTAATATTACCCTGAGCAGAGCTCTTGGAATTATATTGATGTCTCAGGTTGATACAAGTGTGATATAAAAAAGCCATATCATATTCTCTATTTATTAGCACTGGGTTGGTACTAATCTGGGCTTCAATACTCATTACTGACCTGATTTATATAACATCTTTTTTTAACTTCTCCCTCGATAAATTGAGAAATTATTAGAAAACTCCCTCGGTCAAAGATTTTACCTAGTTATTTTATTAGGTCTGTATGCAGGTCAAAAATAGTTCTGAAGATAATTCAATCATGCATTGTCCACCTGACAAGTTCCATTTTACCTTGACTTCTGGTTGAAAGTTCACAGCCCTTTATAATGTCTAATCTGCTCCAAAAGTTCAATTATTTTAGAGTAAAATTTAGAGTATCAACTAATGTTTAAAAGTGGCTGATGTTATTTCCTACGATTAACACATTGTAAATACAAGACTCAAATTAACGAACCTGTTAAAGAATGTGGGCTATGTAAACTATGTGTAAAGAACAGCCTTTTACAGTCAACTTATACCTACTGCCCAAACCAGTCCCGAAAAACTCAGCTGCAGTTGCCCACAGCTGTTGGGAAGAGAAAATAAATGCAAGTGGCAAAACAGTCACTTTTCCTAGAAAAACGTGATGAATATTTCATACAGGACCATTATGTGTTAGAAAATACAAATAATCGGAAAACAGGAAGTTGATAAGCCATAAATCTGAGAACACATTACTTGTAAAACATGTTCACATGAAGCCTGATAATAAATTTCTGGAAGTTCTTATTTGTAGTTCCCTAGAAAAATTAGGCAAAAAATTTCATACAAGGCTGTTATATGCGTTAGAATATACAAGTAATTTGTTAACAGGAAGTTGAGGATGGATCTGAAACCACATCACAAGGTAAAGCATGTTCACATGAAGACTGATAACAAATTTCAGGAAGATCTGATTTGTAGTTCTTGAGTAAAATGCAACATGGGATGGCCGGCCAGACAGAGGTAAAACAGTATACCCTTCCTTTGGAGTGGGGTATAAAAACATTCAGAATGTATATCAAATGTCTCTGCATGATGATTAGAATTACAGCATTTTCTAAAACCCTTTACAAATATCATGGATAATTTTGAATGAAGCATCAAAAATAGTATTATAGTGGCTTTTTTTCATTTTTAAGGATAATTTATCCATATACTTTGTCCATAGACCTACTTCATGACCAAATTTAAAGAGTACTATTATAGAACTCATATCCTCAAAACAAAATGATTGGCTTGAAGTAGGTTTTGAGTTTAAGGAATGAAGATTATTCCAGAAACCTAGGGTGTGCACACACATATCATATCAAACAGATTTTACAACTACTGGGTTGCTTCTGCTGCTCCTTCTGACTATAAATGCCTAAGGGTATCAGATGTCGACAGTTTCAAATAATGGGTTTTGTCTGTAAATGTCAAGTTCATAAAACTATGAAATGGACAAAAGCCAAGGTTGCAACTCCATGAGGAAAAGTTGACCTTAGATGATTCTAACTTTTCTGTTAAGAATCTCTTGGTTTAAGTGGTCTCCAAAGTTTTATATTTCATGTGTGTATACCTCATTGTAAATCTGTCTATTGTTGAAGACTGTATGTTGCCCTCTAGATGTCATTTGAATATTTTTGACAATGGGTTGGTTGTTACATTACTTTTTCTTCATAACTATAAAGGTTGTTTCAAAACATTGTGTTGTGCACATCACAATAATATATTTGTTTATTTGTCATATGAAGGACAAATATTCAGGACAGAGAACACATGCTGAGGTTATTTTTAGTAACATTAGTAGTTTGACATGTGATAAACTTGAGAGGAGAGCATAAAAACTATTTTCACATAAATATGTTTACCAGACAGTGGTTCATAAACTGCATTAAGTTCTATTAACAGGAAGTAAAACTGTTTCCAACAAAAACAAAATAACAATAGATTACAGATATTACATACATAAGGGACTTTGATATCAGGAAATATAAAGGGTACAACATTAATTGATTGATAGATAAGTGTTTAACGCCAATTTCAGCACTATTGTGCTTTTTTGTGGCGATCAGTTTTTATTGGTGGAGGAATTTGGAGTGCCCGACTTCATTCTTGCTAATAGAAAAATATAACTTTGCACTGTTATTTTGACTTGTCCAGTTTACTCCAGGGATACTGCCTCCTCAGTTAATACTTGATGCAGCCTTCTGAAAACCGTCACAAAGATAAACAAAACTCCATGCCCTTGGTAACTTACTTTGACATCTCCCTCTGATGACCCTGTCACAAAGATAAAACCTAACTCCACCCCTTTGTTACTTACTTTGACATCTCCCTCTGATGACCCTGTCACAAAGATAAACAAATCTCCACCCCCTTGGTTACTTACTTTGACATCTCCCTCTGGTGACCCTGTCACAAAGATAAACAAAACTCCACCCCCTTGGTTACTTACTTTGACATCTCCCTCTGGTGACCCTGTCACAAAGATAAACAAAACTCCACCCCCTTGGTTACTTACTTTGACATCTACCTCTGGTGACCCTGTCACAAAGATAAACAAAACTCCAACCCCTTGGTTACTTACTTTGACAACTACCTCTGATGACCCTGTCACAAAGTTAAACCAAACTCCACCCCTTTGTTACTTACTTTGACATCTCCCTCTGATGACCCTGTCACAAAGATAAACAAAACTCCACCCCCTTGGTTACTTACTTTGACATCTCCCTCTGGTGACCCTGTCACAAAGATAAACAAAACTCCACCCCCTTGGTTACTTACTTTGACATCTCCCTCTGGTGACCCTGTCACAAAGTTAAACTAAACTCCACCCCTTAGTTACTTACTTTGACTTCTCCCTCTGATGACCCTGTCACAAAGTTTAACCAAACTCCACCCCTTTGGTAACTTACTTTGACTTCTCCCTCTGATGACCCTGTCACAAAGTTAAACCAAACTCCACCCCTTTGGTAACTTACTTTGACATCTCCCTCTGATGACCCTGTCACAAAGTTAAACCAAACTCCACCCCTTTGTTACTTACTTTGACATCTCCCTCTGATGACCCTGTCACAAAGTTAAACCAAACTCCAACCCCTTGGTTACTTACTTTGACATCTCCCTCTGATGACCCTGTCACAAAGTTAAACCAAACTCCACCCCTTGGTTACTTACTTTGACATCTACCTCTGATGACCCTGTCACAAAGTTAAACCAAACTCCATCCCCTTGGTTACTTACTTTGACATCTACCTCTGATGACCCTGTCACAAAGTTAAACCAAACTCCACCCCCTTGGTTACTTACTTTGACATCTACCTCTGATGACCCTGTCACAAGTTAAACCAAACTCCACCCCTTTGTTACTTACTTTAACATCTCCCTCTGATGACCCTGTCACAAAGATAAAACCTAACTCCACCCCTTTGTTACTTACTTTGACATCTCCCTCTGATGACCCTGTCACAAAGTTAAACCAAACTCCAACCCCTTGGTTACTTACTTTGACATCTCCCTCTGATGACCCTGTCACAAAGTTAAACCAAACTCCACCCCTTGGTTACTTACTTTGACATCTACCTCTGATGACCCTGTCACAAAGTTAAACCAAACTCCATCCCCTTGGTTACTTACTTTGACATCTCCCTCTGATGACCCTGTCACAAAGTTAAACCAAACTCCATCCCCTTGGTTACTTACTTTGACATCTCCCTCTGATGACCCTGTCACAAAGTTAAACCAAACTCCATCCCCTTGGTTACTTACTTTGACATCTCCCTCTGATGACCCTGTCACAAAGTTAAACCAAACTCCACCCCCTTGGTTACTTACTTTGACATCTACCTCTGATGACCCTGTCACAAAGTTAAACCAAACTCCATCCCCTTGGTTACTTACTTTGACATCTCCCTCTGATGACCCTGTCACAAGTTAAACCAAACTCCACCCCTTTGTTACTTACTTTAACATCTCCCTCTGATGACCCTGTCACAAAGATAAAACCTAACTCCACCCCCTCGATTACTTACTTTGACATCTCCCTCTGATGACCCTGTCACAAAGTAATCCTCTTCTAAATCTATTGCTAGACATCTTATTGATGCATCATGGGCCTGGAATGTATGGCGTAACTGTCGTTGACGAATATCAAAGATACAAATCTCTCCTTTCCTTCCACCACTGATCAGCAGTTGGTGATGAGGTGCATATACAAGGGCAGGACAGCCATGTTCATGACAAGTGAAAGCTGAAAAAAGGGTTTAATATGGTCGAACTATTTCTTGTTTCTTAAAATTCATTTTTCTTGAGGTAATTAAGAAATAAATGGGGAATGGATGCCCCCGCTTGAATGTAACTTTATTAAGGGATATTACTCAAGAACTGTAAAAGTGACGCTACCCAAATTTGTACTTGATCTGAGTTTTGTGGTAATGAGCATTGTTTATAAGTTTCATAACAATTAGTTGGGGCAAACTTAAGTTAGAGAACAGAAACAAAAAATTCAGCAATTTTTCCATTTGTAAAGGTGCATAGTTCTAGAACAGTAAAAGTGACACCACCAAAATTCGAACTTGATCTGTGTTTTGTGGTAACTAGCATTGTGTATAAGTTTCATTACATCTGGTAGAGGCAAACTAAAGTTAGAGAACGGAAACCAAAAATTCAGCAATTTTTCCATTTTTAAAGGGGCATATCTCTAGAATGGTAAGAGTGATGCCACTAAAATTCAAACTTGATCTGTGTTTTGTGGTGAATAGCATTGTGTATAAGTTTCATATTATTTGGTTGAGGCAAACTAAAGTTATAGATCGGAAACAAAAAATTCAGCAATTTTTCCATTTGTAAAGGGCATAACTCTAGAACAGTAAAAGTGACACCACCAAAATTCAAACTTGATCTGTGTTTTGTGGTAATAAGCATTGTGTATAAGTTTCATTACATTTGGTTGAGGCAAACTAAAGTTAAAGAACGGAAACCAATTTTGGGACGTACAGACGGACAAGGGTAAAACTTCATGCCCCCTCCGCTACGGCGGGGGCATAAAAAAGTAGAAAAGAAACACCTTTAGTGTTCTTAATGACAAAAAAAAATTTTGTTACACGTTACAGGAGAGATAAAAACAATACGATATATCATGATCAACTATTTATCCTTATTATGGACTGTCTACAATTGTGGTGTCAAATAATTATTTAAATGGTATGATAATAAGGAAAGTTTAATCAGGATTCTTCCTAGAAAATATAAATATTTCAAACATACCATGGACACAAGAACTTCTTGGTGGTAACAGTGTATCCCATAGACACACATTCCTACTCTCAGATGAGTGGCCACCAGTGGCTATCAAACTGGAAGATCCAACAAAGGCCACATCACTTGTTGTTTTGTTGTGGCACTTCAAGCTCTGAAATAACAATATTAACCATGTTAACAGTAGAAATTTATGTTTTCCTCTTAGAAAATAATCATAATACAGCAACTCTGTAGTTCAATTGTATACTAGATTCTTTCATCTTAGCTAGCCGCATTACAAGAAAAAAGTTAAACCTATTTTTGAATGGCATAAAAAGAACATCTGAAGTATGTATGTAATAATTGTCAATAGATCATTAACATTGAATAATAAATTTTCTCTTGAAATGTTGCCACAAATTTATTTAAATTGCATCTTGGTGAATATTACAATAGGTGCTACTTCCATCATAACTGTACTGGTTTTTGCTTGTCAAAGTTATTTTTTGATGAATTTAACAACAAAATATTCATTTATATTTTATGCTGGTAAATTTTCAATAAAATGTCTGTTGAAATGATCTTGTAATAAATCTTACCATGATTGGCTTGTTAAAGTTACTTCCAAGTCCAACCTGCCAGAGGCATACATCTCCTTCGCTGTCACTTACACAACACTTAAATTAAATGGAACATACAATTAATTCTTTCCTAAAATTTATCAATGAAAGGACGGCCAATGTTTGATAGATCCAAATAAAAACATGGCAATGTTTGATAGATCGAAGTAAAAATATGGCCAATGTTTGATAGATCGAAGAAAAAATATGGCCAATGTTTGATAAATCAAAGTAAGAATATGGCCAATGTTGATAGATGGAAGTAAAAATATGGCCAATGTCTGATAGATCAAAGTAAGAATATGGCCAATGTTTAATAGATGAAAGTAAAAATATGGCCAATGTTTGATAGATGGAAGTAAAAATATGGCCAATGTCTGATAGATTAAAGTAAGAATATGGCAATGTTTGATAGATCGAAGTAAGAATATGGCCAATGTTTGATAGATTGATGTGAAAAGATGGTTAATGTTTGATCAAATGAATGATTTACTTAATGCATGGCATAATTTTGTCTCCGTTCAATGCTTTATCTTTAGAGTTTCCAGTGAGCTTTGGTCATTAACCATTTAAAAAGTTTGGCTACTTCATGACTTTACAGTGACATCAAGAAACATCTGCACTAAAATTACTATTTTTTATGAAAAATTTAGCTATTCTTTAATAAGCAGAACATATACTGTACTTCTTTTAAAACAGATAAAATATGTTGGCAATAAAAGGTCTTTTTACCTTCTTTTTTTAACTATTCAACATTAATTTATAGTCTGTCATAAAAGGGATTTCCTTCTTTCATTGACAACATTAGTCCTACCTTGTTTCCTTGACTGCTAAACATAACTTTAGTGACTTTAGGGAAAGTTCCTGGCTGTCTAAGCATGGCTAATGGCTGAATATGACCCCATTCATACAATCTAACACTCCCATCTGTACTGCCTGTTAGATCTGTTAATACAAATATATGTCTACCATAAAAAGATATTAAAATCAGCAAAAATAAAGGAAACTATATAGTTCTTGACTACTGCCAGTTTGCTAGTATAATCAGTGCTTCAGGTTAGATTAACTGTTAAAGAACAAAGAAAAAAAAATTATTTTATTGAGTAAAACACTTTTAATATTCTGATATGATTTTCTTTTGGACAGTTTTAATACATGTAAAATTGGTTAACTGTAAAGCATGATGACATAATCAAACAGACGCTGTGTTCTACTGAAGATTTGAAAAAGGTATTTAAAAAAAGGACCCAACCTGACAAATATATATATGCACAAGGTTACTATGATGAAAGAAAATCACATTTTGTCATAACATGACCTTTTTATTGCTTACTATACAGTATGAGTTTTGCTCATTATTGAAGGCTGTAAAAGAACCTGTAATTGTTCACATCTTTGTCCTTAGGTCCTGATGGATAGTTGTCTCATTTGAAATCATACCAAAACTTTTAATGCATGTTCACTGAGCTTGGAATCATTTGTTCATTGTAATTTCTGCAATGTTAAACCTATATATTTTTTCTCATCAACAAAAACATAAAACCAATTTCTGAATTCTACAGTTATGATAGTTCTATAAAGCAATACATATATTTCTATTTGTTTGATAGAATTGTGGAGCACATTTTGTACTTTTCTGTGGTTTGTCATATTAAACTTTAAATGACACCAAACAGCCTTAACTAACAACAAACTTTCACCATCACATCATATTATAAACCTACAGTGAGGTAGATTTGGATGAGATCCTATCCTTCGTACACCTGCTACAGGTCTTCTCAGAATCTGTCAAATAGATATAAAACAATATAAGTATCTATACAGATTATAATGTTGTCTGTAGTTGTATAAGAATTGAATATTTTTCATACTTTACCATACTACATGCATTAGGTTTTCAGGGGAGGTAGAATTTCGTTATTTGAAATTAACAAATGTCTGAAAATTACATAATATAGTTTGTTTCTGACTTCAATTCTGAAGCCAAAAACATAGTCAGTATAACAGAAATTAACATAAGATATAATAACTGTAAACCTTTTGAAAACTTAATACCATACAAAAACCTGATTGAAATGTTGTCTAAACCTTGTTTTACTATTATAGACATGCAGTACCTGAGAAAAAGAGGGTAAACAAAAATCTGAAAATCTAATAAAAAACTGTTGTTCAAAAATAGGCTGACCAATATTTTCTAATGATTTTCTCAATATTATCTACCGTGGTAACTCAAATAATTTCAGTGCTCTTTATTAGTCAGTGTCCTCCCAAGATTATAAAGTGATTGTTAGTAAGCACTATATAGCTACTGGATTATTAGAGTTGAATACAATTAAAAGATTATATTTAATTTGACATAACTTTGGACTACTGTTATCCTGTGAAATTGTATTACTTTTAACCAATAGTTTAAACTTCAACATATAAATGACTTACTAACATTAGATGTTTTATTACTAGTTTAAAAAAGCTATTCCTAAAAACTAATGTCACTATTTAAAACTATAATATGAAACCATTACAATGTATTTCTAATAATACTCCTCCTGAAAAATAGTCCCCAATTTAAACAATTCCTGATTATTGAAATAATACAAGGTTTTAATGAGTGGAAACATTCATTCAAATTTAAAAAGGATCTAAATAAATTGTAACTTATTCTGGATTCCAAATTTGAAAAGGATGTAATGAAAAATGAAAGTGCCATTCTGACCACTACAAAAAGATGATAAACAGACTGACACAGAATGATAGGTCAAAAACAGTATACCCTGCACAACTTTGTTGCATGAGGTATTATAAATAATGCTTGATTGTTGGCCCATTATCGTCTAGGGGTAAATGTTTCATATATATTCAGGAAGATTCATTATAATTAAATTGAAATTGAAATGTCTGGGGATGTTTGGGACTGCTGTTATTAATATTTGGGACTGTTTCGGGCTGATGCTGTGAATATAAGAATGTTTGTGTCTAAAGTGTGAATCTGCACAAATGTTAAGGTCTGATTGTAAATATTAAAAAATGTTTTGGTCTCATGTAGTGAATTTTCAGGGATGTTTGGAGATAAAACTGTGATTTCCTGCAATGAGCTATATCAAAATAACTCTACCCCATGCAGACGTAATGCCCATATAAACCAATTTATAAAAACATGACAAACTGTTTTATCGTCCTTGAGTTTTTTTATATTTTTTCCCCTTTTCAAAACATATTGCCATACTGGTCTTAACTAATTGATTGATTTGCCGTTGATTACTTAATCCTAGTATATATTATTGTATTGCAACCACCTCTGATTTCAGTTTAACTTTAAAATTAAATACTTTCTTCTTGCCTACAATAACTCTAGCATAAATAAGCATGTTTCTGATGACCTTCAAGATGTATTGGACTTTTGTACTTTTGATTCTGTATACTGTAAACATGACTTCAAGGGGATGTGGTGTCTATGATTTCAAGGAGATATGATGTCAGTGAGACGATTAAAGTTCATGATTTTTCGTCACATGGGGTTTCATGTTCTGTCTTTACAATAAAAATAACAAACAACATTATAAAAAGCTTACGGTATGATGAAAAATTGTATAAGACTTAAATATATACTGAACATGTTCCTTAACTAATCCTAAAAATTGTGATTTTAGCCTTTAAAGAAATATTTAAATAGAATAGGTTACTTTTTTGAAATTACAGAAGTTGTGACTGTTTCTCATCAGATAGTACAACATATTTCAAGTCTACAAAAGACGTTCAATAAAATGTTTACCTTAGATTAACCAATTAGTTTGAGAGAATGCATTGAATTATTTGTTTAATATATACATGTATATGATATAATTAAAATGTTGTAACCCTTTTAATATATCCACTATATCCTCTTTTAAAAGTTGAGAGTACAATGTATATGTAATAGATTACAGATTGATTTCATTTTACACATTTCTTGGAAGAACAACAGTTATAGCTATAATGAATCTGTGCATAACAAAAACATTATTAAAAAATAAATAAATTAAGCAACAATTGTAAACGAAGAATAATAAGTATTATTACATTATTAGTATACAACCTTCAATGGTTTGAAAATAAGTTTGTTCAATTATATACTAGGAGACAGATTATTAAAGGAGAAAACAGATAAATAACATGTCTTATTGTATCACTACAGAAATATGTGTCCTTCAAGGACAATAAATTTAGACAATTTTTTTTAGTTATAACCAGATCTTTCTAAACAGGACACATAGGGATTCAATTTTTTTCTATTAAACCTTTCTATAAGACAGGGACTCGATTTATACAAGTAAACTTTATATTAATAAAGAATTTTCCTTTTGTGTTCTGTAACAAGAGATCTGTTTAGTAAGAATCAACTTTACCCAATCAAATCTTGTAAGTCATTATGTTATTGTGTAATGTTTTATGTGATTGTGTAATGTTTTATGTGATTGTGTAATGTTTTATGTGATTGTGTAATGTTTTATGTTATTGTGTAATGTTTTATGTGATTGTGTAATGTTTAAAGTTATTGTGTATTGTTTTATGTTATTGTGTAATGTTTTATGTGATTGTGGAATGTTTTATGTTATTGTGTAATGTTTTATGTGATTGTGAAATGTTTTATGTGATTGTGTAATGTTTAAAGTTATTGTGTATTGTTTTATGTTATTGTGTAATGTTTTATGTTATTGTACATGCGTATTGTTTTATGTTATTTTGTAATGTTTTATGTTATTGCGTATTGTTTTATGTTATTGTGTAATGTTTTATGTTATTGTGTAATGTTTTTACGTTAATATTGAGTTTTATGTTATTGTGTTTTGTTAGCATAGTTACACTACCAATTAGTCATGTTAATATATTGATAATTTAAATGTACTCACAACCAATGGTTCTGGGTAATGGTTTGATATCTAAATATACAACTGATAACTTAGGCCAATTCAACATTTTGTAAAAAGATTTATAACAGAAATATACTCAAAGACAAACTTTGTTGAATAAGTTGTAATCTATTTATGAACTATATAACTTACACCAAGAAAAGCTTTGTTGTAAGTTTTAGAACATAACAATAATATGTGCCAATAGGACTCCATGCTCTGCTCACACAATCACATTTCTATGTTCCATGAACTGCAAAATCTGGCATTAAAATTTTTTAACTGATACAGGAATTACAGATACACAGAGCTGAAAATTTAATAGCTCTTAGTGTTGTAAGTGGGACATAAAAATAAAACCTGTAATGTAAGACAAGACAAACTTTTATGAAACAGACAAACAAAAGTTTAACTCTGGGTATGATCAAGTTTACCATAAAATAACTATGGACAAAGTTGATTGATGGTTTGTAATCTTAGACCCCGTTCATTTTTTTAATCGATTTAAATTTGAATTGATCTAAAATATAAACTGTTAACACAGAGATATGTCTCGCCTTTTTTGTAATTTTGATAATGCAAATTTTGAAATTAAAATAGCAATACTTTAACATGTAAGTTATGCAAATATTCTAAGTCAATGAACTATGACTGAAGGTACATGGCTAAACAATCTTCATGGAAATGAGATGTGCCAGTGCTAATACAACTGCATACCAAATACCATTGACTTATCATAAGTCATTCCCTTTAAACAAACCTAAACACAAACATTAACTTGTAAACTTTAGTCTTAGATACATGATTTTTTTTATTAGTTGTTAGTGGCTTTGAACTAGCTGTCAGTAACTGCGAGTACTCTCAGATCTGTACTTAATGTCTTTTTGTTGTTTGGATGTACAAGTACCCGGCCACATCCACTTGTATTTGTAGTATTTGTATTTTTATCCATCTGATGAGTTAAGCCTCTTTCAACTGATTTTTATAGTTTGTTCTTATGTTGTACTGTTACACAACTGTCCCAGGTTAGGGGGAGGGTTGGGATCCCGCTAACATGTTTAACCCCGCCACATTCTGTATGTATGTGCCTGTCCCAAGTCAGGAGCCTGTAATTCAGTGGTTGTCGTTTGTTTATGTGTTACATATTTGTTATTTGTTAATTTTTTGTACATAAATTAGGTTGTTAGTTTTCTCGTTTGAATTGTTTTACATTGTCATTTCGGGGCCTTTTATAGCTGACTGTACGGTATTGGCTTTGCTCATTGTTGAAGGGCGTACAGTGACCTATAGTTGTTGATTTCTGTGTCATTTGGTCTCTTATGGAGAGTTGTCTCATTGGCAATCATACCACATCTTCTTTTTTATATATAAAAGTTTCAAAGTCAATAAATAAAGGCAACAGTAGTATACCGCTGTTCGAAACTCATAAATCGATAGAGATAAAAACAAATCCGGGTTACAAACTAAAACTGAGGGAAACGCATCAAATATAAGAGGAGAACAACGACACAACAAAAACACAACATTAAAATGTAACACACAGAGAAACGAACTATAATATAACAATGGCCATTTTCCTGACTGAATGAACCAGGATGAGGGGGTGGGGCTATATAATCTCCATGGAAACGAGACTTGCAAATGCCAATACATTTACATACCAAATATCATTGACTTAAAATTAGCAGTTCATCTTAAACTGATCTAATTCAAACTAATACATGTAAACTAAGCAAAAGTTTCAAAGTCAATAGACAATGACTGAGGGGGCAGGGCCAAATATTCTCCATGGAAATGAGATGTGCTAATGCTTATACAACTGCATACCAATTAACATTGACCTACCACTAGTGGTTCCCCATAAACTGACCTAATCACAAACTAATACATTTAAACTAAGCCAAAGTTTCAAAGTCAATAGACCATGACTGAGGAGACAGGGCTAAATAATCTCCATGGAAATGAGATGTGCCAATGCTAATACAATGGCATACCAAATATCATTGACCTACCACTAGTGGTTCACCATAAACTAGACCTAATCACAAACTAATATATTGTTGACGCTGTCGCTGCTGCTGGAAACAGCATACCTTTGTCTCGCTTTTTTACTCCGTCAATGCGAGACAAAAAACAGTTAGTGTTCACATTACTTTAATCCTAACGATCTCTATAGGTCTAATCTGAACCACTAGGTTCACAACTTCACACTACAAGTAAACATGTAACTGATCTGATCTAATTAACCCTAGAACTGTAAACACTGTGTATAAATAAAAATGTTTAATCAAATTAATGTGTTGATACACACCCTAGCAAAAGAATAATGAATGAAGTTATTGTTTCACTTTAATTTCAAATGATGCTACTACTGTTCTACAGTTTTCGTTAATTTTCAAAATAAAATAAAATTAGCAAGGAAGTTACAACATTGTGAAATTCTTTGATTCTTAAAGAGACAAAAACAACAGAAGAAAAGAAGACACAGATTTCAAAAGTTTGTTATGTTCCCTTTCATCTCCTCCTAACTTGATCAGAAGGACTGTTTCCTCGTGAGTCCATGTATCAGACGTTTTATGTTGGTCATCCATTTTGTAATAAATTGCAAGTGTAGTTTTGATTCCATACATGAATACAAATTATTTTTTGATTCAATCTTATTAGTTTAGATCAATCTCTGCATTCACATTTAAAATAAGACCGATTCACTTTAGATCGATTCAAACTTAACTACTAAGGATATTATAATTCTGTTATGTCATTTTGTAAATAAATATTTTAAAAGTATTTGTTTAACAATATTTTTTAAATATATGCTTAGTTAAATTCTTTGTCATGACAGTTAATTAAACTGATCTCACTGCATATTGTAAACAAAATAAATGTGGATAGTGTCCACATGTGGACACAGATGATGCCCCCGCTTGCATATCATATAGTTATAAAGGGACATAACTGAAGAACGGTAAAAGTGAGGCTACCCAATTTTGAACTTGATCTGAGTTTTGTGGTAATAAGCATTGTGTGTAAGTCTCATAACATTTGGTTGAGCCTAACTTAAGTAGAGAACAGAAACTAAAAATTCAGCAATTTTTCTATTTGTAAACACGCATAACTCTAGAACGGTTGTGTATAAGTTTTATAACATTTGGTTGAGACAAACTAAAGTTAGAGAACGCAGCAATTTTTATGTTTATAAAGGGACATAACTCAAGAATGGTAAAAGTGTCGCCACCAAATTTCGTACTTAATCTGAATTATGTAGTAATAAGCATTGTGTATAAGTTTCATAACATTTGGTTGAGGCAAACAAAAGTTAGAAAACGGAAACAAAAAAATTTGTACTTGATCTTAGTTTTGTGGTAATGAATATTGTGTATAGGTTTCATAATGTTTGGTTGGGGCAAACTAAAGTTACAGAATGGAAACTAAAAATTTTGCAATCTTTTGATTTATAAAGGGGCATAACTCAATAATGGTTTAAGTGACACTATCCATATTCAACGTGATCTGTTTTTTATCAGTGGAAGTCAAAATTAAACATTGCATTGTATAAAGCATTGATTGTAGTTGATTCAACTATAATCATGGACAAAGGAAGATAACTCCAATTTTAAAAATTACTTGATATTTATTAGAAAATAAATATTTTGCAATTTTTCCATTTATAAAGGGTTATAACTCTAGAACGGTTAAAGTGACGCCACCAAAATTCAAACTTGATCTGTGTTTTGAGGTAATAAGCATTGTGTATAAGTTTCATAACATTTGGTTGAGGCAAACTTAAGTTAGAGAATGGAAACTAAAAATTTTGGAATTTTTTCGATTTATAAAGGGTCATAACTCTAGAACGCTTAAAGTGACACCACCAAAATTCAAACTTGATCTGTGTTTTGTGGTAATAAGCATTGTGTATAAGTTTCATAACATTTGGTTGAGGCAAACTTAAGTTAGAGAATGGAAACTAAAAATTTGCAATTTTTCGATTTATAAAGGGTCATAACTCTAGAACGCTTTAAGTGACACCACCAAATTTCAATCTTGATCTGTGTTTTGTGGTAATAAGCATTGTGTATAAGTTTCATAACATTTGGTTGAGGCAAACTCAAGTTAGAGAACGGAAACCAATTTTGGGATGTATGTACGTACAGACGGACAAGGGTAAAACTTAATGCCCCAACGCTATAGCTGGGGCATAAAAAAAATTTCAACTTTTGTAAACAACAGGCTAACCTAAAGTTTGACACAAACTGAATAAATATTAATTATATTTATTTAGATGGAGAAAAGTGAATAAATTCCTTGACTTATCCTAAAATAGATTCTATGTTCCTCAAATAGATTTCATGTTCCTCAAATAGATTCTACGTGTTAATTGAAAATGTTCTAAACTTAGTAAATAAGATGTTCTTTATTGTTTTGTTTAACCTGAAAAATCCTTCAAATTTTTCCTTCACCTATCCTCCTACAGTTTCTATGTATGGACAAAAGGTCAAGGACATGAGTGAAAACTGTCTGGTCATAATGAATACAAACTATTTTGGTCTGAATTTAAATATTCAGAAAGCACATTTAAATTTGTGGTGTTCTTTTATAATTCATAAAAGCAACAAAAATTCACTTATGATTTTATTTCATTTAATTTCCTTTCTAATTCAACTCCATAGAAATTTATATTTATTAGTCATTTATAATATATCAATAACTGAATGCATATTTTTTTTACATAGACATGTACATGTATTGGCAAGTCATTAAATATATCTATTGACATCTTATAACCTCTCACCGTATTACTATAATTAACTTTAATTTGCTTTTTTGATGTTTTAGAAGCATATAATTAACGGAAACTACTATAGAGTTAAATGATTTATAGATGATCAAAGGTTTTGAAATGAGGGGGAGTTTCTCGGCTACAATCTCATTGAAGGGCGATGGCAATGAGATGAGATGTAGCTGAGAAACTTCCTCTATAGTGTTGAAAGACCATAGATAATATGTTTATTGCTATTTTCCTAGGCATGCATGACGTTGGCATATGATGTCATCATGTTTTCACTCAACTCGACTGAGAAAAACCATTCATCCTTTAGTACTAGTAGCTTGATATAGAAAATTATAGCACAAAAACATCAAAGCAAAATTTATCAAAAAAGTGATAACTCATTTTAATCAGATTGAAAGTCCCATAAGATTGCAATACTTGTAAAAACAGATCATATACCAAAATCATGGTTGATTGAATGACCTGACAGATTAAACATTGGATGAGTGTTTAATTTTTGGGGTTTGATCTGCAAAAATTGTGTCAGTTGTCAGGTATCAATTTTATAATTTACTGATTCATCCAAAATTGAAAACTGAGATATAAGATACAACAAACATGTAACACAAAATAAAACTATTTTAATTAAAGTAAAACAAATGTGATAAATTGAAAATTTGTACAACATTTTTAAGCTAACACTGACAACAATGAACTACCACAATACAACAGAATTTACCGTTTTAAGCAGACGACGACTTCGGTCCAAAATTTTTTGAGAGAAATGTGGATTGGTTATCCCTGGTATGTGTATACTTTTACCCTAAATAGCCAACGAACATTTTAATGATTAAGTAACAATGAAACTGACAGCTACATGGAGTATGTATCACAAAAATAAGTTATCAATGTATTATACAGACAATCACAATTAATGATATAGTAAAAACCTGACACATTCTTCACACTGGTCCTTTTTTCAATATGCTCTACAGTGGCAATTGTTTAGAACTTCAAAAGGGACCAATTTCATCATTTTTCTCCAGTACTATCAGCAGATCATATATCCATGATACATATATATCCCATGAAAAATTCCAACCTTGTTGATTTATTCTATACTTGTTTCATGGTCTAGATATGCATATAATATTTGCCAGTGGATGTTTAACAAAGAACAATCCATCAAATAGTCAGTTTTTTTGTATAATATTGAAAAAAGCATATTTTTTTTAAGTACTCAATGAGATGAAAGATTTCATAAGATATAAAAATAGAATTTGAACAGATTTATAAAACTTTGTTAAGTTTGTAAGGGGAAACTGGTACAGAGTATTCCAGAGCAGGTATGCTGTAAAGATTCCAACAGAATGGTATCAGAGGACATAATTGTATCAGAGGATATAATTGAGACAGACATTAGAAGAGTGGTTTCAGAGATGTGCTACATACACAGTCAGTATGGTTTCAAAGGATATATGCTAGACACCGTCATTATGGTTACAATGGATATATGCTGGACAGATATTAGCAGAGTGGTTTCAGGTGAGAAATACTAGACACACAGTCAAAAACTTTTGGAGGATATATGCTACACAGACACTATCAACTAGTCTTTTCAGAAGAATTAGGCTAGAAACCAAGTTATAGACATAGACAGTTAGACTGGTTTCAGAGACGATATGCTACACACATTGCCACTTTGGTTACATACGATTTCTGCTAGACAGACACAAGTAGAGTGTTTCAGAGGGGATATGCTAGACACAAAATCCATATGGTTTCAATGGATATGTGCTAGACTGTGAAAACGTATCGAGTGGTTTCAGAGGAGATATGATAGACAAACAATCCAGCATATTTTCAAAGGATATGTGCTAGACAGATGATTGTAGAGTGGTTTCAGATAAGTTATAGACATAGACAGTTAGACTGGTTTCAGAGACGATATGCTACACACATTGCCACTTTGGTTACATACGATTTCTGCTAGACAGACACAAGTAGAGTGTTTCAGAGGGGATATGCTAGACACAAAATCCATATGGTTTCAATGGATATGTGCTAGACTGTGAAAACGTATCGAGTGGTTTCAGAGGAGATATGATAGACAAACAATCCAGCATATTTTCAAAGGATATGTGCTAGACAGATGATTGTAGAGTGGTTTCAGAGAAGATATACTAGACAAACTAGTCAGTAGGTTTCAAAGAATGTGCTCAATCATGTCAACAGATGATTGATGGTAGAGGTTTCAGAGAAAATATGCTAGACAAACATTGGTAGAGTGGTTTCAGAGCAGATATGTTTCACAGCACTGTCAGTCTGGTTTCAGAGGATATGTGCAACACAGACACTGGAAGAATGGCATAGGAGATGTGAGACAGAAAATGTTGGCCACAGAATACAAGTCTCAATACAATATGAAAATCATACACACTCTGATATGTCTAACCACCTTATTTGGTCACAACTGATTAATATGCTGTTACTCTTTCAGATACAGGAATTAAGAAAACATAATTGACCACTGTGAAAAAAAAAAATGTTCACCTTACATGATCTTGCAAACTAAACATTAAGCACAGAACCATAATATTAAGTCAAGGTCAAATGAACCCTGTCTAAACGAACATGTATACTTTACAAAGATTCTATAGACCAAATGTAGTAGAACTTTAACCCACTATAGTAAGTGAAAAATATGGAATAAAAAGGCCTAGAAACTTTTTACAGTTGAACCATGAAAATAAGATAAAGAAACTTCAGAGCATAAAAATACTATACACTTCTCCCATCAGGAAATAGAAAGATGAATACAAATAAGTTATGTAATAGCTTCAGCAGGATAAGCATCCATATGCTACATATTGAAGCACAAAAAAGTTACTTCTTTCCCTCTTTTATCTAATTGAATTGTTTGTTTATTTACATTAAACATTACAGCATGGATTGATTAAAGAAAAACAGGTTTGCCATAAAACACTAAAGCTATTGAAGCCATGCATTATTTCTTCCTATGATGAATTGGTTCTTGGTGATGTGCTTATCTAACAATAAGCTTTATGGAAATAATGATGCATTATGTTATACACTGAGCTTATACATGAACATCACTTGAAACTTTCAATTTTCTCATAAAAAAATTACCCAGGACAAGTGTCTTATCTTCCTTTCTTTCTCTTAATGTATCAGTGGCAGCCTTAATAAAAAAATGAGTAGATCTATCTATGGAGACCAGTCTGCTAACATACAATTCCCACTCTGAGGGAATAATCAACCAATCAAACCATCTTTTCCCACTATTTTATTTTACACAGTAATTTGCCATGTAAAAATCGTCAAATTATTATCAAAACATTTCTTCATTTGAAAAATATTGGAGAGCCAAGCTACCTAATATAAAAATAAGGAGATGTGGTATGATTGCCAATGAGACTGTACGGCCTTCAACAATGAGAAAAACCCATACCGTATGGTCAGCTATAAAAGGCCCTTACATCAAAAATATACGAAACAATTCAACTGAGAAAACTAACGGCCTAATTTATAACAAACCAATTTACGAAAAACAAATATGACAGACATGAACCAATATAAAAAAGAAGATGTGGTATGATTGCCAATGAGACAACTCTCCACAAGAGACCAAATGACACAGAAATTAACAACTATAGGTCACCACTCTGTTTTAGCAAATTAATTCATGAATGAAAGGATCCAATTCAATATTGAAAGTAAGTAAGATAAAATGTCTTTAAAACCAACATGAAAGAAATTTTTTGACAAAACTACAACTACATGAACTAATTAATTATCCTCAGAAATATCTTCAAATTTGGAGGCTTGAAAAGCTGACACCTATGTATGACATATAATACTGGATTTTGAGCAATGCCAGACTACATAGAGATCTTGGGTATTGCCTGACTAGAGAGCATATAGCATGGACTGATATTACTGATGGACTTGGAGCAAAGCTGCACTACTACAAATACTAGCTTACAGAAGGAGTACATATCTATCACTTAAATACTCACTATAGATTTGTTCTATTGGTATAAATAAGATTTTTATTTTCATGGTTTGAAATTTCAAAATTATCATAAAATATAAATAAATTTGACCAAAACAATGGAAGCCTTTGGTTCATTATACTGTATAACATATGAATCTGATAATTGTTTATTTACACTTATGCCAGAAATATCATTTATGTATTTACTTGCTTACTCCTCCACATTATTCTGAATCAGTGTTCTACCCAAACTAAACATCAAGAAATATTAATGTACTTCAATTAACAAACTCATTTTCAGCTGTGCCTTGGTCTCCTTTCTGTTAATTTATGAAACCATTTGAAAGGGTTTAATGCCCACCTATCTATTAATAATTTATATCAGCCTCAATTTTACCCATAGTACAAAACATCATATAATAGCAACAAGGCACCATCTTCTCCTCACAAAGCTAATTTTCATAAACTTAAAAAAATATTATTTTGTTTCAAACATTTTTCTTGAACAAGTTTTCAACAATCAGATGCAAGAGGGTTCAATTTGAAGAGCAGAATTCTTTGAAAAGTAATTCTTAAAAAAGAACATATAATGCCAATTTCTGATATAGAGGCTTGATATTATTGAAATATTTTACTTCTCAAACCCCCAAAAAGGTTTTTTCAAATCAAATGAAAAACCCATCCATGTCTTCTTAAATAACAAAAATGGAGAAATGTAATATCTACTAACAAAAAGAGAGGGTGGTCATCTAAAATGAGTTGAAGAATATAAATGGAATACTCTGGTGAATAGTCTCCTTGGCAATAATATCACATCTCCTTTTTATAATATCTATACTTTCAAATAACACTTGAAAACAAATATATTTCCCATGTTGTTACAAAGTTATACCGTGTTGTGACTCCTGGAGACTTTTTTGTTACAAAGTACACAATATTTACAGTTACAACTTGTCTACTAACCATGTTTGTTGATCTCCCTGTCATGGTTGACTGAACACCCGATGTAGGAGTTGATGCTCCTGTTTGAGGACTTGAGTTTCCTTGAGACTGACCATCTGAATGAGTCTGGACTACATAGAAGTCTACAATCTCTCCAGTTGTACCCTGATCTGGACTGTCAAATAAAATATATAACAATGATTTTGGGACTAGAGTTTTCATGGACCGACCCTATCCATTTATAAGGTGTGGTCATCTGGTTATCACAACCTGATCTTGGCTGTAATATCAATCAAATAACATACATCATGTTTCTTTAATAGTTGCTTAGATTGGGGCCTTAAAGCAGCATTCAAAAAGGTTGTGAAATTATAAAGGTATTTGTCCCACTTTTGAATAAGCAATCATTCCTTCCAAAATATAGTCCATTGACAATATAGTTTCATTATAACTTTTTTTTCTGGAGTTTGAAAATAACTAGAATCATTCATACATACAATGTAGGTCAAAGTTACCAAACATTTTTTACATTACAACCAAAGATGTACCATATTATACTTACTTTTTAAATTGTTCAATATCCATCTCATTTTCATCTTCTAACCAGACTGGTGGGTTAATCACTGGACCAACGTCCAACTCTATGATTTCTTTTTGTGTAGATAATGCTAGACAATTGGAATTAGCCTGTAATGCAAGTTATTCCACAATCAATATGAAATGAGATATTTAGCATTAATAAACATATGAAAAACCAAAATCTGGTAAAGAATCATTCATAGTTTAATGTAAATTGGTGAAGTTTTTAGAGAGTACCTAAAGCCCCTTTTAGTTTAAATCTTATCTTAATGAATGAATTAAGCATGACTTCTTTAAGTATTTCATTGTTCTTTTATATCTTAAATTTCTGATACTGAAGCCTAACCAATGAAATTATGAATTGTCAACAATGAATGAGATATATCTAAGTTGGGTTTTTTATTGCTGTTTTTCCTCCTAGAGTCCTAGTATTGATTACTTCTTGTGGCTACAATGATTCGACGTAAAGCAATCACCAATCAATCAATCAATCTTGTGGCTACAAGACTTTTAATCATGAAATGAATAAAAACAAAAACAAAAATCAAACCTTAACAATTACCTAAATGCAGTGCACTCAGATTAATTTAAGATAGCTATTGGTATAAACATGATAAAGTGAATGTTTAACATAGGTAATAAAGCGTTTGTTTCAATATCACATTAATAAAAAATATATTTAGACAAAGCTGCAACCATCAATCATATTAAATAAATGGCAAGTAAAAATATTTGAGATGTCTATACTATAATAATAATCTTTAATGAAAGGTCTTCTCAACATTACACTTCAAATTTTTACACTTTATATTCTAGGCAAAAAATATATGTTACAACATATATAATTGCAAAGAGAAATAAAATATGCAAGGGCTGTTCTCAAATTCTAAACATCTTTACTTGTTTAAGCAGATAAGTGTGTTGACACAAATTTTGTCATAAATCATTTTTTGTTTCTCCATTTTGTATAGAATCAAAGAAAAACCAAGTAAATTATAATTAATTAAAATCCAATTATAGAACATGCAAAATATAGTACATGCAAATATAAATAAAAGATAGTATCTGATGTTCGTTCATCAATTAACATAAAATAAACTAGACTAGTGCTTTTTTTATTCTTCAATTTTGTATTTTTGTCTATATTTTTTCAGCTTACATAATCCACCCTTACCAAAAAATAAACCATCAAACCATCCAGAAACAAATTGGCTCACTTACATAAACCACTGGGTAACATGTCTGTAAGATGTTATACACAATGTTATATAATACAACTACACTTCCCCTCCCCTAATCCAACTAGTTAGGAACAAAATGTGTGACATGCATTCACAATTGGTAAAATGGTCTGCAAATAGAACTAGTTGTCCTTCACTACAATTTCTCTTCCCTCTTATTTCACTACAATTTTTTTGGACAAGAAAGACAGTCAACATTTTTTGTGTCTTGTGAATTATTTGTATATTTGGCCTTGAAGATAATGTTTGCTGAGAACAGTTTCTGTACATCTATTATCATGATTATAGTTTAAAAGATTACTACAGTAGAAGTTTTACTACAGGTATCACATAAACTTAACATTATCAATGATCCATGAAAATGAGATAGAGGTAAGATAAACTTACCAGTAACATTATCAATGATCCATGAAAATGAGGTAGAGGTAAGATAAACTTAACATTATCAATGATCCATGAATATGAGGTAGAGGTAAGATAAACTTACCGGTAACATTATCAATGATCCATGCAAATGAGTTAGAGGTAAGATAAACTTACCGATAACATTATCAATGATCCATGAAAATGAGGTAAAGGTAAGATAAACTTAACATTATCAATGATCCATGAAAATGAGGTAGAGGTAAGATGAACTAATCCAGACAGACATCTACACCTTACAATCATTCCATGCACCAAATAAAGCTAACCTTTTGCTTATAGTATAAAAAAAGAGACCAAAGTAATTTAGCATTTCATGAAAGAATGATAATTTACTACAATATAAAGCACAAAACTTTTGCTGTGAGAGCCTTGTAACTACTTGGATTAGTAGTATAGGTCCTCTTTTCTCAAAAACATGGTTATTAAATAATTTCTAAATCATTACATTCTAACATGCATGTATGTAAATAACATCCAGCCATTAAAAAAACTAAACTACTCGAACAAATATTAATGTGAAAACCACTGCATGTTAAGCAACCAACAGTCAATCAATTAATGTAAAAATCCTTAGATAGTTTTTCCAAAAGTATAACTTTCTATACAGAACCAAGGTTTTAAGTAGATAAAAGTTGTATTATTTGCTATAAAATATTAGCTGAATTATTTCATCAGGGAAATAATAGAAAGCTCATCAAACAAAGTAACAATATACATCTGGTTATCTTAGTTAGTTTTCATTTTAAAACACTGTTCAGATACAGATGACAGCAATGCTGAACTGGTCATTAGCAATAAACCGTTTCTGTTGATTTAACTGGACAATATTAGTACAAATATATGATTTGTCAGTCCTGACATCATATCAAATCATAGTTCTTTACTTTGCCATCAATGAAAAAAAAACTCTGGATTGGGAAAAACACAGTCATCATGCCATAAGTTCTAGAGATAAAATTAAAGAGGTTTTGATTGATAATTTGTCTGATAAAACATTATGATTGAACATAAATTGAATAAATAGGAATATGGTCAATATATGGTGACTTGAAGCTATTAGAAATACAATATCCTGTTAATAAATTTGCCGGGAGCTGACAAAAGCTAAGTTTCCTTGACTGTCTTCCAAACAGCAAAACTGATGGATGTGGCGACTGACCTATCAACCATAAGTGTGAGTCTTTCAATTTTACAAAAACAAATTATAAGCTGGGTATTCCTTGTTATCCTCTTAATTCAAGCAGGGTTCAAATATTTGTTTTAATTGAAATAATTGAATTCTTTGCATCAACTTTTATTTCAGATATGGAAACATATACAAAATTGATGTTACTATGGTTACAGATACTCTGGTCTACTTTGGGTAGGATGTTAGTGTGAATAGGTTATACTTATACATGTTAGTTAATAATATTAATGTGCAGTGCAGATTACATACTGTTTTCAAATCTTCTATTTCAAAATGGATGAAATTCTGACAAGAGAGAAAGAGGGGTTTAACCATTATATCAAATTACTGTGGATTCATTTATTTTCGTGGGTACCAATTTTCGTGGATTGAAGAAAACTTGCATTTTCGTGGATATTTAATTTCGTGGTTACGGCAAAGTCTGCATATTTCCTTTAGGAAATTTGTAATTCGTTGAACATTTAAATTCGTGGTTCCCCTGTACCCACGTAATCCACGAAAATTGGTATCCAACGAATATTAATGAATCCACAGTAGTTCACCATTTCATGTCACATAATTGGTGAAATCTATATTGTTTTGTCACAATGAAATCTTTGTTCAAACTGGTTTGTATCAGAGTGATCCAGTTTAACAATAACCTTTGAACTTGACTTGTTTTATTAGATATTGGTTGCCTTTAATTTGTCCATATGTCAAATGGAAAAAGATCTGAAAAATTACATAACTTTTATTTTTAGAGAAAAATAGTTGTAAAATATCAATTGTCCTAATTATAAACCATAACAAATACAAAATCTGAAATGTAAGTTAGGATTGAGGAAATAGAGCTAAGCAACCCACAAATCATAGATATCTCCACTCACCTCCCCGTATATACTCTTGTAAGCAATTTTAAAACATCAACATCATATAAACTTCATTCATATTTGACTTATAGCCTTTAACCTCATTTATGTAAATCAAGTCTTTATACCCTCTTAAACTAACAAAATATTTTTTTTCATATTCAAAACGGTACCTTAAAATCCGATGGCAACTGTTAAATGTAAACACCAACTTTGTGAAATAGTTGATCAGGTATTGTCAACAAACATATATGATTTTCCCAGACATTATGTACAAGTATTCAATGCACAAACATGAAGACAAACAATTAAACAATCACATGACCAGATGTCTGCTGATCAAATGAAAAAAGACCTGAAACATCACATAACTTTTATTTTTAGATGAAATTAGTTCTAAAATATCCATTGTCCTGATTATAAATCATAAAAAGCAACAGACAAAAACTTGAAGCACAGATAACTTACTGATCCTTGTATCTTCAACAAAAATAAATTTGAATTCATTCATATTTTGATACACTGATAATAAGAATACAAGGAAACTCCTAAATACATAAATGCTGAATCATGTATCAGTCACTTGCATAACAACTAAAGGATGGAGAGCCTGTGTGAGTCTAATGACTTCTAAATATCATAGATGGCTACCAGAATAATAACAAGAACCATTAAGTATTGGTGGTAGACCTATTTGATCAGCGTTGAGGTTATGAACCTTGATTCTGATAATGGTTCACAAATTAATCATTTCCCAAGAGTTTCATTTCAATTGGTCCTTTAAATGACTTTTTATTGATTTTTTATCACATGTTCTAATTTAGTAGTAACAGACATGAAAGTGGTTGGTGGTAACATAAGACAAACTGTATAAAAATCAGACATGCACCCATGAGATGATTGGAGTCAAATTATATGACAACAATGTTTTCATTGTACAACATATCCAGCATATAGACCGAATAAATGTACTCCCAATTACAATGTTTAGTTACTAATCCCTTATATCACAATATGCTAGTAACTTTATATTTTTTTTATATATTATATACTTGTATGATATTATAATACTTATATTACCACAGAATACTGTTAACATGCTACTGACAAGTAAGTATTTTTGTCATGGACAAATTTCTCCCTCACAACCTTAGTATACCTGTATGCATGTGAATAAGGTATTAAAGTGCAATAGTTGACATATATTAATTTGTCAGTAAAGAAGCTGAAAATAATGCAGTGACTTTTTACCTCCATGTTGTGACCCTGAATTTGTATTGTAAAGTAAATAATATGTTCTTACAAATAAATCATCAAATTTTCCTATTTTTGGGGCTAAACTATTTAAATTTATGTTTTGTCATCTTACAGATGATTTCCCACATCTTCTGTTATTGAAAATAACTTTGCCCTAAGGAAACTGTATCAAATACAGTGTTTATATTAAAGTTAATGGTGATATGAACGGCTGTAGGTCTAAAAAAGTCAAATATCAAAATATATTGTACACCGAGCAGTGAATTGCTGATTCCAACAAGTTTTAGGACAAGTGTTAGATGCAATGATCAACCATGCATGATATGACTGAACAATTTGAATAATATACAGAATGAGTGTGCCATGACAGGGGTGCAATCAGGACTAGGATTCAATCTATTTTGTTAGCTTAACAATAGTCAATGTCTAGGCCTACCTGATTGATCGCAAAGGCTGTTATAATATCTTGTTCTTTGTGGATTATTTTCATTGGTTCTTTTATTCTGCTGTCTAATGAATCGCTTTGTAGACTTTGTTCTCCCTGTAACATATAGTATATGATGAGCAATGTTAAGTATTTAATTCTACTGGATCCCTATTATGTAATTCTGTTGCATTGGGAAATAGCAATGTAAGGGATAGTTCTATTTCATTAAGACTCTTTTTCATTGTTATTTGTTTCAAAATTTCATTTTTACAATAGATGATAGAAAAAACGGTATAGGAAATAAAAATTACACTCATATATATAGTATGTCACAACTTGAAACTATCCTCTACCATCAGAGATAACATTTTATATCAGCCTAAGTGAGAAATGAGTTCTTAATTAAATACTGTAAACGTTTAAATTTCCCTTGTGTAATAATTTATTCTATTTTCCTCAATACCAATAAAAACAATTCTTCACTCTTAGCCTATTTTATATAACAAAATTTCAAAAACCTGGGAAAGAAGATCCCTCCAGACAGGAAATTCACATATATATTGTGCATACATACTTTTGAATCATGGTGCTGAATTTTTCGTTTACCAAACACATATCTGAGAAATATTTCTTTCAAACATTCTTGTCTTATTAAATGGAACCATAACCTTTTAATAGCTAATGTTGAATTATTATCACTGAAAAACAAGAACAAAATTCTGAAACTAACATTTAACATTGTATATAAATATAGATAAAAAAGATATGTAAGACAAATATCAATGAGACAAAACCTAATAACACAAAACAAAAAATGTTCTTATATGGACAACAGAATTTAGCTGTATCTAGTGATATGCACAGGTGAGGTTGGGTATAGAATAGCTATTTCCTGACAATCTAGTCAGATGATCAATAGAATACAGCTGCTATTCCTCCACTGTGTCTAGAGATATAGACCAATCAAAGTTCTTGTGAGCACTGAAGGGTACTAAAAAATTAAATATGGCATTATGTTAAGCATTGGAAAGCAATAATATGAATTGGTTCAACTAAAATTATGAACAAAGAAAGATAACTCCAATTTTAATACTACTTTAAACAATGACATCATCACTATTATTAGATTTATTCACCATGCACAATTTATATAATTTTCTTGACAAGTATGGTTTACACACACAAATCATTTTGTTACTTGAATATCTGAGTACATATTTCATTGATAAATTTCTTGAAATGTTTGTTGATATGATGTATAGAATGCTGTGCACAAGCACCATGTTTTGTTTATCTCAAAAGTAGTCTGGAAAACTGAAAACTATGAAGCCAGTCTCACAAGGGTTTTGATTGCATGAATGCAATCTTAACCACAAAAATCCGGTCTCTTGACTGTATCTAGTTATATTAAGCACAAGTCAGGTTACCTATAGAATGTGGCAGTGCAAGGACCGCATCTAGTGATGAGTAAGGCAAGTCAGGTACACAATAGAATGTGGCAGTCCCTAGAGTGAATAAAGTGATATATATCAAGTGGAACATAGGATTTGGTTGTTCTCAAACAGAATCTAAGATATAGACAAGTCAATAGATAATGCAGCCTAACTTACATAAATGGTGTATTGTTGGTATTAAGTAGAGCTTGGTACTTGGAATGTGGCTGTCCCTGGACTGTGTCTAATGCAGTGGATGACAAAAACTCATCTGGAGGACCAGAAAACATGTCTAATTTACTCAGCAGCATTTCTAACCACTGTTCTAATGTTTTAAATACAGCATGCATTAATGGTGAACACACTGGTAATTCTGAAAGTAAAAAAAAAATTATCATTAAAAAAAAACAAGGTTTTATAATTTTGAAAACAAACTAGTCCCAAATTCAATTTCACAGAACTCCCAAATCCAGGACATGTATAAAATCTAGAAAACCTACATGTATCAATATCAGGCCATACATTTGTTTATAATAAGGTCTGAAAGGATATAAACAAAGTAGCTTTTTTGTTTTTATGAAGTGCTGATTTGTCTAGGTGCCTATATATATTTGTCTTGATACCCAACTGTCTTTCTTTGATGCCGAAAAGTCCTGGTGGCAATTTGTCCTGGTTCCAAATTGTCTAGAACTCATATCTAGCACTTGGTTGACAGCAGTTATATAGGTGCTATTAATGTTTTTAAAAACTGTATCAGTACATAGAAATAAAGATAGGTATACAGATATAAAGACAGACTAAGACTATTTCGCAATTCTGAATGAGTGATTCAACAGTACAATTACATAATCATTCAGTTAATTCTGTATCAAATAAAGGCAAAAGTGTTCACAGGACAGTAAATTTAATATCAAAATCAATGAAAATAAGTTTAATTACCTGGTAATTCTATACCAATCAATGGAAGGAATGATAGTTACCTGTTAGTTCTATACCAATCAATGGAAGGAATGATAGTTACCTGGTAATTCTATACCTATCAATGGAAGGAATGATAGTTACCTGGTAATTCTATACCAATCACTGGAAGGAATGATAACAGGTTGTTTAGCACCAATTTAACAATTGTATATCTTATTAAGCACCATGAATATGAATTTGGATCGGTATGTTGTTGCACAGCTGAAAAATTTCTACAAAAGAAAACAAAGTAATGTTACTTAATATTGTAATGCCCCCTCTCCCTCCCCACCAAAGTATGAAGGAATACCTGTGGTATGACAGAAGGCATGTAGGCAAAATGAAAAAAAGTCAGACAACTATTGAATTTCTGATGACAGAATGACATACATGTACAAGAGAAATAGTACTATATGCTAGGGGGCATAAAAAGTTTCCCTTAAAGGTCTTACTTATAACAACAGATGTGATTTTCAGGTTATCTATGACAATAATTAATACTTTCAAAATATTGGTTTTCCCTTATGTTTTGTATATTTATATCAAATAGTCTATCATGTATGTAGAATATAGGTATGTATGTTTGCAAAGGTTTGTTTAGTGTGTGAAACAATGTGATAGATCTGTTTTATTCAAACAATGTTTTATAATTCTATGTGACTGTCATACAAGTGAGAGGTTTAGCTAGCTATAAAACCAGGTTTAATCCACCATTTTCTACATAAGGAAATGTCTGTACCAAGTCAGGAATATGACAGTTATTTTCCATTCTTTTGATGTGTTTAAGTTTTTGATTTTGCCATTTGATAAAGGACTTTCCGTTTTGAATTTCTTGGAGTTTGGTATTTTTATTATTTTACTTTTTATGTCTGTTTGATTACAAACAACATGATCATGTTGAAATGTCTGTTTTATTTCTAACAATGTTTTAGGTCTGTTTGAATACCATATACAATGTGATTTGGTATGTTTGATTACAAACTATGAAACAGCTTTATTTGATTAAGAACAATGTGATTTGGTATGTTTGATTACAAATTATGAAATAGCTTTATTTGATTAAGAACAATGTGATAGGTCTGTTTGATTATAAACAATGATTTACTTACAGTGTATCAGGTCTCATTGATGTATCATCATCTTCATTTTCCTCGTCATCATTGTCAAAATCTTCCTCTTCTGATGACAAAGACTCTTCTGAATCATAGTTAAATTCTCCATAACCAGATCCTGTTGTAAATGGCTGAAAAATATCAAACTGAATAAACAACTCTTATTTCAAATTGTTATGTGTAATAATGGTAAATTTTCATTTGTTGTGCAATTAATAAAGCAAAAATTAAATCAATTTTGGCATCAGTCTTCATATGATTGGAATCTTCTGTTGTATGGTGGTAGTTTTTTGCACTGCTTATTTATGAACTTTTGTATTCTATATTGATGTGTACCATAACTGTAATAATTTTGAGATGTTCAACAGCAGGAACACCTAAAAAAATTGGGTAAAAAATCTATTTTATTCTTACCTCAAAAATGCCTAAAAAACTGAAAAGGGCAGCCATGAAAGCATATTCTTTTATCCATATTTCCAACATTGTATAACAAACCGATTTTGTATCAAATTTTCAAGGAAAAGTTAATGTTAGATCTCTCTTGTATTATATGCCCTTAAATAATCAGTCAGATCCTGTGTAAAAACAGGACACACTCCAGCCATCTTGGAGGACTTTACTGTGTATTGGCAAACCACACCAAGATATCAGCTCAATGTAAAACTTCTTGTACTACCAACAAAATTATACAATATAATTCTGCTGGACCTTTTCATCAAGTTATCAATATTTATTTATTCTGACACTGTAGAAATTCCTGTAATCATGATCATTAATGAACATGTTTATTTTTTATTTTCAACATGTTAATTTTTCTGTTTAGGTTTTTTGTGTAGGAATACTACATACCTTTGTCATGAAGAATGTGATCATACTGAGTTCTGGTGGTAGAAAAGTTTCTTTGAATGTTGTCTTTTCCTTTGTTGGCACATGTGGACCCAGTACTTTATTATGTAACCTCCGTCTCTGTCTTGACAGTTCATCATCCTCTGCAAAAAAAAAAATAAAAAATCAAAGCACTGTAATCGCTGTAGGACAGGATATTGATAAACAGAATGAAAGTATTTATGACTGGCATCAACTTATTATTATAGTTTATTATACATCTATATGTATCAATAATATATTGTAGTGTATTTACTAGTTTACTTCAAATTTTAACCACCAAAGCCAGTTATTAAAACAATCATGGAGATGAAACACATAATAATACCTAGTTGGCAATGTACATAGATATGTCAACCATCAGCCATTAGAATTCTAATTTAATACCAATATGATGCAAAAAAGCTCTAGACTATAATCAGTTTTTTTTTTTAAATTCCCATTATCCAATTGCCTTTTATTAACAAAAAAGTATAAAACCAAATACCACTTAATAAAAATGCTGTATTCATATCAATAACGAGGAAGAACTTACTCTGCTTGGCTTACGAACCCTGGGCAAAAGGACACGATGTACGAGTTCCAGTGCTGACATATTTTCTTCCAAAACGGGTAAGGTCAAAGCTTGGAAGTGTTACTCATTCGTTCAATTTTTTTTTATCTACATTCTGCCATTTTTACCCCCTAAACCACATAACAACATTACAATCCGTGACACAATTTTACACAATGATCAGTAACTTATTTAGCAAGCACCTTTATGTCACAGACAAAGAGCAGTGACTAAAACCCCAATGACAGTTAAACCCGCATTTCCAGATTCAGTGCATTGATCTGGAATATCAAATTTCCCCAACAATTGGTTTACTGATTGCTGATCTGGATGGAATATAATAACTAGATTATTGTTTGCACCTGTCCTAAGTAAGGAATCTGATGTTCAGTAGTTGTCGCTTGTTGATGTGGTTCATAAGTGTTTCTCGTTTCTCGTTTTTATATAGATTAGACTGTTGGTTTTCCCGTTTGAATGGTTTTACACTAGTAATTTTTGGGGCCTTTAATAGCTTGCTGTGCGGTGTGAGCCAAGGCTCCGTGTTGAAGACCGTACTTTGACCTATAATGGTTTACTTTTATAAATTGTGACTTGGATGGAGAGTTGTCTCATTGGCACTCATACCACATCTTCTTACATCTATATACAGGAAAGACTGAACCTCCTTACAATATATCGATCTGTTATCAGTCTATATCAGTGATACCCTGACATCCTGGTTCAACCTCCTTTTCGCGTCAATAAGCAGTAAGCCAGGGTCCCAGGCTATATCAGGGATAACTTAATAATATTCCTACAGTTTTATCAAAAGGAAACACCATCAAGAATTAAAAAAGAGAACGAAGATACCACGTGCACAATGAAAGTCTAAAAAAACATTGGCGATATATATGGCATTTCATACAGTTGAAACATCCATTTCAAAAGACATGAACAAAATCAGTCAATTTAAGACTTACTCAATAAGCACTATATTTTTTTGTTTTGTCGTTCATCAATTTTAGCCTTTTTTACATATATTTTTAATGTTTCAGAAGAAAAAACGTTCAAAAATGTCCAATTAGCTGTAAATAACCTTTCAGCTTGCTGGATAAGGACAATTATACAAAATTCAGCATTTCTGAAGCAGTTAGCAAATATGCTGTGATGACATAGGGACAGAAAACTTGTCCCAAAAACATAATGGGACAACCAGAAAGGGGTCTTAAATTAAAACTCATAACAACAAAAAAGAGGTCTTAAATTAAAACCCATAACCATTGGCTCACCTGTATCACATGAGTCAATGTCAGTGTGTTCTTTAATATAGAAGGAAATATAAGCATGGTCTAAGGTTTACTCAAAACATTTTGACTTAATTTTATCAGTAGTTACTTTAAAGAGGTTTTTTCCCCTGTTGAATTTCAAGATTTCTTGCGAGATTTTGTTTTCTCTGATTCTTGTCTTCTGTAATTATAACAATTACGCAGAAGCTAATTCAAACTAAATCTCGCAAAAAAAAATTAACCACTTTACAGTATCTTGGTATGCTAATTTAAAAAAAAATAATTGGTCATTAAAAAAAATTAAGCCTGGTAATCAAGAAGGTGACAATAACAATTTCTCATCTTTTAAAAAAAAAAAAAAAAATTTAAACATGTTCAGATATATATAAACCAGACATGCACAAAAGCCTGTCTTACACATGTGGATACTTTTTCAAACTATATCCCCATTCTCCTATTTTTCATCTCATCATCGTCTCACTTATATATATTAGGTGTACTTGATGTAATAAAGACTATAAATTGACTTACATGGCATTTCATCCAAATAAAACATATAAAGTTTATTAGCGTAAATTTCATCAAGTTAGTTAATGTATTACCTGTTGATAAAGGCATGTAAAAATGAGTTTTTCCTACATGTTCAAGACTGTTAGAGTTAATGCCTTAGCTACTAGAAAATGGAAGTTTTTGGTTAAGAAAATATTCTATCAGAGAAAGTGTAATTTTCATGAGCAAAAGTACTATTAGTGATAACTTGAAACCTGTTCTACTTTTCTAACCTTACTATGTATTATGAGGTCACAATGTCCATGTGGACACTTTAAGGGTGACCTTATCATATGTTCTCCCTTAAAGTGTATACACAAAGTAAAGTTATCCTTGTAGAAAATGTACTTTTCTCTATCCCTCCTGATGTTAAAAGTACTTACGAGGTAATGGTGTCCCTGACGACAGTTTTAGAGCTGTTTTAACTCCTCCCCCAAACAAAGCTGCCCATAACTGTTGGTGGAATCTATGTGCTACCAGCCTGTACAACATATGGCAATCATATGCTGCCAGGGCATTGACTAGAAGGCTGATATAGACAGCTATCATGGACTCACATAGGAGGATGTTTAACTTAGGTGCTACCTCATCTTTTTCTCTGGCTAACAGCACTCTTAGAGATGTCACACCTGAAATAAAGAAGGACTTCCGCTGCATTTGTTTGCACGTGTCCTAAGTCAGGAACCTGATGTTCAGTGGTTGTAGTTTGTTGATGTGGTTCATAAGTGTTTCTAGTTTTTTATATAGATTAGACCGTTGGTTTTCCTGTTTCAATGGTTTTACACTAGTCATTTTTGGGGCCCTTTATAGCTTGCTGTTCGGTGTGAGCCAAGTCTCCGTGTTGAAGGCCATACTTTGACCTATAATGGTTTACTTTTACAAAGTGTGACTTGGATGGAGAGTTGTCTCATTTGCACTCATACCACATCTTCTTATATCTATAGATTATAACAGCTACAATTGACTCAAAAAAGTTGACATCTATTCACATGAGTTATTTAATCCCACCTAACAGCATTATTTTACACAAGCTATCACAGGAAAAGACAATTTAAGAGCTTACCACCTTACCTTGCAAAATGACATTGTTTAAGTGGTTATATTCTCTCATTTTTTTTTAATATAGCGCTAAAACTAAGTTAAATTTATGTAAAATGAACATGCATAGCAAAGAACAAATCAATTAGGATGATTTCAATATATGTATATATATAGATTCATGTTTTATTTGTCAAAATGAACTTTTCAAAATGAGTTCTCAGGAGATAGTTCACCACTGAGTCTGATGTGCCTCTCAATGTAAATAACTGAAATTGATGTGCAGTATGAGATATGACAGAGGACTTACCTGGCCACTTTACAGGTGAGGTATTAATGATATCATCACCTGTATTAGATCGTCTTCGATACTTCTGCACTCCGGCCATTAAATGACCTGCCTGACTACTGGTAAAATTATGACTGAATAAATAAAGCATGGACTTTGTTAATAAAAATATTGTTCAAATGAATAAAATAAAATAATCATATAAATCTTAATACAGTCACAAATTTATTATAACATTTGATATTGTGTAAAAGTATTTTGTCTTCTATGAAACATGGTGATATATGGCTGCAACAAGGTTTAACTTTGAATACATCTCTTTAAAACTTACCTAGTAAAACCTTCCAGACTAGCATCATTACTTTCCTTCAGCGACACAACAAAACTATCACAATCACACAGACATTGATATATACATGATGACAATGCTATACTCAAATTTCTCATAGTAAATATAGTGTTTATTGCACTATCCGCACCAGGTGGAGCTACTATCTCTATGACGGAATGCAGAAGATCCTGTGTCATACACTGTATGTGCTGTATGGGATCTGCTATCACAGTTTTAGAACTAGCAATGGCTGCTGACAATAAAGGAAGTGTTGTAGGGAATGGCAAGGGAGATAACAACTGCTGTTGTGTTTTCTCTTGTTGCAATTCCTGAAAAATATTGTTTTCATGTATTTATTAAAAAAAGCCTGCTAAAAACAGAAGAATTTTTGTAGGGAATGGAAAATGAGATAATAACTGATACTGCATCTTTTTCTGTTTGTTGCAATCCCTGAAATGTTTTTTGTACATTATAAAAGTGCTCCTGCAGAGGAAATATTGTAGGACAAGGAAAGGGAATTTACTGCTGTTGTGCGCTCTCCTGAAAAATACATTATAAAATTGCATGCTGAAGACAGAGGAAGTACTGTATGAACAGGGAAGGTAGATAATAACTTCTGTGTTGTCTTCCATTAAAAAATATTTTTAGTATAATTTCACAATCATGAATGCCCAAGGAACACTGAAGAAATACCACAGAAAAAGGCAAGGGTAAAACCTCTAACATGTCTAATGTGTCTTTCCTTGTTGTTAATCCAAAAAATCAATGGAGAATGTGTCCATGGGACTCGACCTGAGTTTTGTGGTAATAAGCGTTGTGTATAAGTTTCATAAGACTGGTAAAAGTGATGCCACTCAATTCCAAACTTGATCTATGTTTTGTGGTAATAAGCGTTGTGTATAAGTTTCATAAGACTGGTAAAAGTGATGCCACTCAATTCCAAACTTGATCTATGTTTTGTGGTAATAAGCGTTGTGTATAAGTTTCATAAGACTGGTAAAAGTGATGCCACTCAATTCCAAACTTGATCTATGTTTTGTGGTAATAAGCATTGTGTATAAGATTCCTAACATTAGGTTGAGGCAAATTAAAGTAAGAGAATGGAAACCAATTTCGGGACGTATGTACGGACGTACAGACGTACGATGTATAACACTTAATCCCACCGGCTTATTCTCATTTCGCCTTAGCTGTCAAAATCTTTACATAAAATTAATCCCATTTTGCCTTAGTACAAATTTTCAGGTAAAAAAGAATTAACTAAGGCGAAATGGGAACATGTGTAAACAATGTAAATAAGTTATTTTTTGTTTGTATTGCAATTAGTGGATATTTGTTCTTTTATTGTCAAAATCTGCCATGAAATACTTTTTAAAAGAAGATGTTTTTTTGGTGTCTTTCTGATTATTTTTTTATAGTAGCTCATCATCTTTTTATGAAATGTCATTTTTCTTGTACTAGCTGCATAAAGAGATCATGGTTCGTCCGGCTTTCTCCTCCTACAGTTACATCATCATAACAAGGGCAGTCTATACTAACTATATAGAAAAGAAAGTCCCTGATCATACAATACATACTGTTAAATTTATGGTCAGGCGGGGGCATCATTTGTGTCTCACAGACAGCGAAACAATTTCAAGTTATATGCCAACATCACTGTTCGAGCAGAAAGGGGGGGGGGGGACATTGTCCATATCTAGTTTTTACTTATGTGATATATTTTGTGAATAAAGTCTTTGTTCTTGTTTCTTATTAGAGATGACCAACAGGTTACAGAATATTTCATATTTTACTGAATAAAATAACGAAAAATATCATACAATCATAACAAATATTTAATTTCTGAATCAGCACTGAATTACAAGCACAATTTTAAATTAGCATACTAATATTATCATATATAATTAGCATAATTTTATAGATTTTTGTTTTGATTTTTTTTATTAAAGTTTCTGTTATATATGTAAAAAAGTCTGTGGGGAAACTTGTCTTTTTTTGTTCTATTAGACTTTATGTGTTGCATAATGTAAAGGATAATTGAATTATTTAGATTTTTCTAATTGCATAAAATTCATAAATTGCAACTTTTATTAAATGAAACAAATAATATTTCAAGAGAAGCAACATTCCTACTGACAAATCTTTTTATTGCAGATTTTTTTCTGATTTAACAACTTTTGAAATCATAGAAATATTCAATTTTGTTAATTGAATATAAAAATAACAACTCAAGAGAAACAATTCACCCATTACATGTTGTTTAAATTGTTATAAAAACACAACGGTTTAATTTGTTTATTTAAATTTTTTAACTAAATTCACATTTAGCCTTAGTTCAATTCCCATCTCGCCTTAGTATTTTGTTTACCTTTTTTACCTGGAATTCGCAGCTAAGGCGAAATGGGAACACACCATCCCACCTCCACTGGGGTGGGGGCATAAAAAAAAGTGTTCTTGTACATTGTTACAATGCCTGTTGAAGACGGAGGAATTATAAGCAAAAGTCAAGGGAAACTACTGCTGTTGGCACCATGCCTTGCTCACACTATTATATGTCGTAACCAAATTTATTAAATTGAGAATGTACTTATTTCATACTATCACATTTCTGTGTCCAGTAAATCATGAAATCAGCATAAAAACTATAATTTGGTAAATGATTTTTAAAAATGTTCACATCATAATAAGCATATGTATTAAGCTTCAAGATGACGTGACCACAACTTCATAGAAAACTACTTCAACCAACAGGAGGGAATAACAAACACAGACTAAAATACATAATGACCCCTCTACTACTGAAGGCATAGTGGCATAAAAATTAGCATAATTAGTTAGAATTCCTATTAACAATATAAAAAATAAAAATAAAAATTCAATAGTTCAATACAGATTAGAGTTATCTCTCTGACCAACTCTTATGTACTTTGAGCTTCAAATTGTTCTTTAATGTATTTTTTCATAGGAATATGGACAATAAGTTATTCAGCTCCTCAAGACAGGTCATTTGGTCTCTTGGGGAGTTGTCTCATTGGCAATCATACCATATCTTCTTATTTTTATATTAACTGGTTTGAAGTTTGACACTTTTGTAAGATATAGTTTTATAAATATTAATGAATTACCACAGTTGTATTATGTGCACCTTTTGATTCATATCACTATTTAATTAGATAAAGATTATATTTAGAGTAGCCTGCCTTACTATATATTTTAACTGTTAATCACATTGATTTACAAGTGTTTACAGTTTAACCGATTAAAAAGAAAAATTAAATAATTTAATACAGATTGAAGCATCTCTCTGACTAATTCTTATGTACTTTAAGCATAAAATTGTTTATTAACGTATTTTTTCGTAGGATTATGGACATTATTCAGCACCTCAAGACAGGCTTGGCTCAAACCTGCCAACTATCCCGATTTATGGGGATATCCCCAATGAGTGTGATGAGTGGTGTTGACTTAAATTTTGAAATTCTTTATTATATAAACAGAACCCCTCAAAACAGGCATTCAAATTAGTTAAAAGGGTATTTAGGAACAAGAATATTCACTCAAACAATATACTATTAGATTTAAAACACTTGTGACAATATAAGAGGAGGATTAGGTCCTGTTGCACTTAAAATCCCCCATGGAGATTTTGAAATGTTGGCTGGTTTGAAGTTTGACACCTTTTTAAGATAGATATATAAATATTAGTAAATTATCACCTTTTAATCAGTGGAGGGGAGAAATATTGTTTTTCCAGTTTAAACAGATATTAAAGATCAACTTGTTGAACTTGCTGTCCGATAACAAGTTTAAACATTATTTCAAAGAAAAATATATAATTTTTAACACACAATGTCTAATTGAACTAGACTATGGGTGAAATGGGTAAGATACTGATACAGGTTATCTAATGACCAGTAAGTTTTAGAAAAATCTAGGATGAGTGAGTTATATCTGGGTCACACCAAAAATAATCATGTAGTGGACAGGAATTATCATGATGGTATTAAAACATGCATCAAAAAGATAGAGAAGATAATAAAAATAATTGTTTAAATATAATTCTGGCTTGACAAGACTACAACTTGTATTTCAAAATTCTTTTTTTAAGCTAGGATGTTGTTTTAGTAAAACCTCTTACAATTATGCTTAAAAATGTGTAATCAGAATTTTGCAAGTACAAACATTTCACATCAGTAGTTTTATTTTGACAGTATCAAATGCCCCTTCATTAGAACACAGAAAAATTTCCAGTTCTATAATTAAGCGTGGTTTTGCTTCTAAAATCCTGTATAACATATGTCCTATAACTCTTAAGCCTAAAAAGATGAAGTCTTCAAAAGGAGGCTTATTTTCATCATTGTTAAGAATGTGTTGATTGTTTAGAACAAAGACTATTAAATTCTGCCTTAATCGGAGCAGAAATTCCATTTGAGATGAGGTCAGACCTCTTCCATGGGGTCTTACCAACAGAGTGAAGTCAGTCAGACCCGTGCTTGATGAGGGAGTAATTCTCACCTGTAATAGCAGCAGTAATTCCATCTGAACTGAGGCCAATCCTCCTCCACCAGCCCCTTGTAACATACAATAACTAGCAAGGGTTCGTAACAATTGTTGGTGTGTTTTTAACCACTGTTTTCTGTTTGCCATTCTCTCTAACTTGGACTGGAAGTCCATCTTCTCTGCTAAGATGACCTCATGCAATGTTGGTTTGTATGAGGAATCAGATCTGACAGACATAGACCTTGTTGGCCTGGTTGGTATATCTAGTGAGGGCTGGTCCTCAAACCCATAGTCTGAAGGACCTGTAAATACAAAAAAAAAATATATAGAATTGGACCTCACTGGCTGGATGGAACATAAAAAGAGGGTACCTGCTAATATAAAAAAGAAGTGACCTCACTGGCATGCTGGCCTAATGTATGGCCCAATAACACAACTAATTCGTAGTGCATTTCTTTTGAACAATATTGCAAGTTAAAAAAAATTGCACCTGTGCTGTCTCAATAACATGTTTAGTGTGTTGTACTACTTTTGGGACAAATTATATCAAAATTAAAGAAAACTTCATCAGCTCCAACACAAAATATGGATAATTTTATGTTGAGGGGGTCTTGAATTCAGTTTGACATCTTTAGGCATACTATTACTATTTTTTTGCTTTTTGCAACTGGACCAAATCACTGCTTTACCTTAAAATTCATTACCCAAATTTATTTACCGTGACATTTCATCCCCCTTCTTGCTGCTTAAGGCATATAACATGAAGAAATAAATTTGGAAGGTGAATGAAAAATATTTGCAAGTAAAACACTGTCCATACTAGGGACTATATTTGACAACAAATATCAAAGGGCAATGATTGTGTTATTGGATACACTGGGTGAGAACTAGCATCAAATCAGTTATCTTTCATCTGATTTTTATAGTTTGTTCTTATATTGTACTGTTACACCACTGTCCCAGGTTAGGGGGTGGGTTGGGATCCCGCTAACATGTTTAACCCCGCCACATTCTGTATGTACATGTATGTGCCTGTCCCAAGTCAGGAGCCTGTAATTCAGTGGTTGTCGTTTGTTTATGTGTTGCATATTTGTTATTCGTTCATTTTTTGTACATAAATTAGGCTGTTAGTTTTCTTGTTTGAATTGTTTTACATTGTCATTTTGGGGCCTTTTATAGCTCACTGTGCGGTATGTGCTTTGCTCATTGTTGAAGGACGTACTGTGACCTATAGCTGTTAATTTCTGTGTCATTTGGTCTCTTGTGGAGAGTTGTCTCATTGGCAATCATACCACATCTTCTTTTTTATATTTACATCAACAGATATAAACAATTCACCAAAGTCAAACTTAGTTGTAAGATCTCTGAAATTTTTTACACGGTACAAGTTTTTCTAATTGTTGGGAGATTGTACGGTGACAGTAACACCTATAACTGCTTAACCCATTTCTTATGCACTTTGGTTCGATAAACTCACTGAATATCATACCACATCTCCTTATTTTTTTATGCATTACAATTTACATGTGCATGTAATTGTAAATAATATTTATATATATATATCAGAACAAACTTCATTGCGTCACTTTTATTTATGCATCCTTTGGCACAATACAAGTTCTAAAATTACACAACATAAAACAACTAAATGTTATTTCAGATGAAAGTTTTGTTTCAGTTCCATTCATAGGATTTATTAGAATTTTGTATGTTTTGCCAAGTCCAATAATTAGCTCTATGTGCATGTGTTAATTGGAGACTTTTTTATCCCGTATAAGAGTTTTGGAACTAATTCTGTTTCTTTTTTTGAAAAAAGTGAGGAAACAAATCTTGCACATTTAAACCTTTGTCATCACAAATATCAAAGGGCAATGATTGTGTTATTGGATACACTGGGTGAGAACTAGCATCAAATCAGTTATCTGAGGTACAAGTAAAGATTACCCCGTTAGCAAGAAACAGGCTTCACTGGCCTTGAAGGTACATAAAGTAAGGATTTGTTTGAGGAATCTGTAAATTAAATCATGCGACATGCTAGATATATCTAGTGAGGACTGGTTCCCAAATCCAGTTAGATAAACTGGTAATATAAACAAGAAATTGACCTTACTGGCCTAATAAGTAGATATAGTAACGGATGGTCCTAATAATCCATAGTGCGAATTACTTTTAAATATATACAACATGACCAAGAAATGGACACAAAGAGTCCTGAATGTGCATTAAGGACAAAATGGTCATCAAATCAATAGTCAAACATAGCTATACACTATCAAAAAGGTTTATATAACAATAATAGACCTCCTTGAGTGAGCATAATCCCTTTTGGGATTCTGTGTCTGAAGCTATTTTCTGATTCTGATTTTATAAACTACCTCACCTCGAACTGGTGCCTTTTATGCTTACATCACCATTCTGTACATATTAACCAGGTAAAAATGGAAAAGACGACCAATTTGCCTTTCAGAATCCTTTAAAATTTTGAAAATAAGATAAGGGATTCTGAGGGCAGCCGAATCAGAAAATCGCTACGGACACAGAATCCAATCAAAGCGCGAAAGCGCTGTAAAGGCAGTTAATTACAGGTTGTGTGTATTTTTAGTCCAGTTATATCATTATCTTGCATAGTACATTGTACTTATCAGAGGTGGCTTTCAGTATTTAAGATTTAGAGTTCTCTAATGATATTGAACAAGTTTTATGAATGTCATATTCTGAGCACTATATGAAGGCGATTGTTCTCATTTGTTTATGAACTAGTGCATTATGTCCAGTTTGTACCTTTTTTATCTATGTTTATATATAGTCAAATACTGTTAAAAATAGTTTGGCATTTTCTTTTTAGTAAGTAAATGTTATCAACTGTATTTTATTCGACTTTGCAAATGTGGTTTGTTACTGGTAAGTACAATGTATGGGTGATAGTTGTTTCATTGGCAATCATGACACATCTCCTTATTTATATAATGATCTATATTCAACGACCTCAGGTACAAAAAAAATGTATGTAACTAAACTATGATGGGAAAACTTTGACTTCTTTCTTTTATATAAACTTTTGATTTGGTACCATTAAACTATGTAGAATAAATGTACATTGCAACATGTCAACTCTTTCAATGACAATACTTTTTTTAGAAACTATAACTCCAAGCAAAATTATATTTCCAAGTATAAAGTAATTTATGAATGAAACAAGAGTGCACACGCTGAAATGTCTCGCCTTCTTTACTAATCATTGATATTATGTTGATAGTCCTAAATATAAAGCTTTATTACAACTGTCACATAAACTTAACATTAAACAAGTAAACTAAACATTGACCAATGAACCAAGAAAATGATGTCAAGGTCAGATGAACCATGCTAGGCAGGCATGTACAGCTAACAATTCTTCCATACAACAAATATAGTTGACCTATTGCTTATAGTTTAAGAAAAACAGACCAAAACACAAAAAACTTAAAACTGAGCAATGAACCTTTAAATGAGGTCAAGGTAAAAAAAAACCTGCATGACTGACAAATAGATCATAAAATATTTCCATACACCAAATATAGTTGAACTATTGCATATAGTATTAGAAAAAAAGACCAAAACTCAAAAACTTAACTTTGACCACTGAACCATGAAAATGAGGTCAAGGTCAGATGACACCTGCCAGCTAGACATGTACACCTTACAATCATTCCATACACCAAATATAGTAGACCTATTGCATACAGTATAAGAAAAACAGACCAAAACACAAAAACTTAACTTTAACCACTGAACCATGAAAATGAGGTCAAGGTCAGATAACACCTGCCAGTTGGACAGTCCTTCCATACACCGAATATACTAGACCTATTGCTTATAGTATCTGAGATATGGACTTGACCACCAAAACTTAAACTTGTTCACTGATCCATGAAATGAGGTCGAGGTCAAGTGAAAACTGTCTGACGGGCATGAGGACCTTGCAAGGTACGCACATACCAAATATAGTTATCCTATTACTTATAATAAGAGAGAATTTAACATTACAAAAAATCTTAACTTTTTTTTCAAGTAGTCACTGAACCATGAAAATGAGGTCAAGGACATTGGACATGTGACTGAAGGAAACTTCGTAACATGAGGCATCCATATACAAAGTATGAAGCATCCAGACCTTCCACCTTCTAAAATATAAAGCTTTAAAGAAGTTAGCTAACGCCGCCACCGGATCACTATCCCTATGTTGAGCTTTCTGCGACAAAAGTCGCAGGCTCGACAAAAAGGAGTTCTTAATTAAGAAATAAACTGATTCGCTGAGCGCCGCTGGATACACCTGCAGAGGTCCAACCCTGAACAGTTGGGGCAAAAATGGACACAATATTCAAGCTTGATACAGGTCTGAATTTGGATTGTAATTAAATATTTGACATATTATAGTTTCTGAATAAATGTAGTCAAAGAACTTGAAATCGGTTATATGAATTGAATTTATATTCAATTAAAGATTTCTTGCTGTTGTGCAATACACTGTGCTGTTGCGCAATACTTGATAAATCTGTTGCCAGACTATAAACAAATAAAGTTCAATTTCTTCTCAATGTCATATTTGAAATTTATGAAAATCAATAGGGAGATTACATCAATAGCTATAAATAATTCACCAAAGTTTCATGCGAACTGCTTAAAGCATTTTTGAGTTATTGTCCAAAAACTGGAAAATCCCCCCTTTTTTAATGAATAAAACCCCACAACTCAGAAATGTAAAATCTAAAATTTATAAAATTCTAAAGGGAGCTTACGGATTGATAATTTAGTCTTAGATGCAAGATTTTTTTATCAGTTGTTAGTGGCTTTGAACTAGCTGTCAGTAAATGCGAGTACTCTCAGATCTGTACTTAGTGTCTTTTAGTTGTTTTGATGTACAACTACCCGGTCACGTCCACTTGTATTTGTATTTATCCATCTGATGAGTTAAGCCTCTTTCAACTGATTTTTATAGTTTGTTCTTATATTGTACTGTTACACCACTGTCCCAGGTTAGGGGGTGGGTTGGGATCCCGCTAACATGTTTAACCCCGCCACATTCTGTATGTACATGTATGTGCCTGTCCCAAGTCAGGAGCCTGTAATTCAGTGGTTGTCGTTTGTTTATGTGTTGCATATTTGTTATTCGTTCATTTTTTGTACATAAATTAGGCCGTTAGTTTTCTTGTTTGAATTGTTTTACATTGTCATTTTGGGGCCTTTTATAGCTCACTGTGCGGTATGTGCTTTGCTCATTGTTGAAGGACGTACTGTGACCTATAGCTGTTAATTTCTGTGTCATTTGTTCTCTTGTGGAGAGTTGTCTCATTGGCAATCATACCACATCTTCTTTTTTATATTTACATCAACAGATATAAACAATTCACCAAAGTCAAACTTAGTTGTAAGATCTCTGAAATTTTTTACACGGTACAAGTTTTTCTAATTGTTGGGAGATTGTACGGTGACAGTAACACCTATAACTGCTTAACCCATTTCTTATGCACTTTGGTTCGATAAACTCACTGAATATCATACCACATCTCCTTATTTTTTTATGCATTACAATTTACATGTGCATGTAATTGTAAATAATATTTATATATATATATCAGAACAAACTTCATTGCGCCACTTTTATTTATGCATCCTTTGGCACAATACAAGTTCTAAAATTACACAACATAAAACAACTAAATGTTATTTCAGATGAAAGTTTTGTTTCAGTTCCATTCATAGGATTTATTAGAATTTTGTACGTTTTGCCAAGTCCAATAATTAGCTCTATGTGCATGTGTTAATTGGAGACTTTTTTATCCCGTATAAGAGTTTTGGAACTAATTCTGTTTCTTTTTTTGAAAAAAGTGAGGAAACAAATCTTGCACATTTAAACCTTTGTCATCACACTGTCACCTGGATCACATAATTGAACTACACATGTATTCTACATCTTTCAACTATTTCACAGTCACTGGTACAACCAACATATGCATTAGAGACATACATTTTTGTAGTTGACTAAACCACCAGGTGTCGAACATACAAGTATTTTCAGTGTTTCTGTTTTTATATGATGAAAAGGTTGCCTGAGCTCTAGGAGCTTTATGTTTTATCACGGGATATTCTGTGCTGTCAATAATAATCCAAGTTGTAGGAAACTTTAATTTGAAGTTGGATGGCGAAAAATACCTGACTAAACCACTAAATGGCCAAGTGTTAGCCTCACGCCACTGTTTAGACATAAAAACAATCCATGTTTACACAATATTCTTAACACTAGTTTCAATCTAGAATCTAGACAGTTCAAAGTTGGTTGTATAATGCCTCAATTTCATCAAAGTCATAAAAAAATGATTTTCAAATGACACCCTATCAATTTGAAAATATATGTATCTCAAACAATGTGCTGCTGGACCAAGTGTGGTCAAAACAAATAAAAATTTAGTATACAACTCTAAACTGGTATAAAAATGCATGGCTGTGTCACATGTCTTCATTTCAAAATTCTCTGCTGAAAATATAGGCATTGATGGTGTTTGCGTAATTCCATCTGTGAAGCTCAACATTAACTTGGCAGTTGGTGGTGGACAGTCATAAATCCTGGCTGCAGTATGAATGACTTCTTCAGGAAAACCAACTTTACAATCAAAACTTTCCTCTAGATTTCTACTACAATATTCATCAAGTTTAGTTCTTTTGTTTTCCCAGGAAACTGCCCTGACTTTTCTTTTTGCGGACGATTCAGTCTCTTGCTTGATCCAGGAAAATAGGCTGGGAATGGCAGTAGACTTAAGTCTCTGTATGGAGGGTTTGCGCTCTGAAAAAGGTTATAAAACATTAGTTTTTTGATAATTAAATGAACTTCCATTAGCAATGCATACTTTGTACTACCTGGCAAAATATTAACTAGATTTATTCATTACAATCTGGATAAAACTATGTTAGCCTGATTCAATGTACATCAAAATGTATTTTATGTAAATCCAAAGGACAAACAATGAGAGACGTATGCAACAAACATACATTGTTTGTACCCAAATAACTATAATATAGATGAGAGCATGTCATTGTTTTGTTCCTGTTAACATTTTATTGATATTTTTCAAGAAAGTCTATGAGGCATAGCTTATGCATTCCTGTCATTACTACATTAGCATAATTACTGCTAAAATAATTCTCAGTATGATATACCTCTTGTAAGAAATCATATAATTGTAGCAAGCACCAAAAAATCTCAAACAGATCACATTGAATCGTAATCCAAAAAATTATGACGTCTTGAGAATTAACCACCCCCTTTTATTCTAAAACGATAATTGCGGTTGTAAACAGACTTTGGTTTATTCGCATGGCGATTACATATATAACTATATATTTTAAAAAGAAAATAGAGTTTTACCATGAATAGTTTCCTGCACGTAGTCTTTTTCAGTAAAATGTGCCTTGCAAACAACAGCTGATTGAGATGGACTCCACGATTTCATCGTGTTCTCGTCCAATCTGCGTATGGGCCATGGCGTTGATCCAACTTTTCCTTCTTTTTAAGTCATTTGGAAATGCATGTCCTCCTCTTAAATGACATCCAGGTACACAACAACAAGTACTTGGCATCGTTAATTAAAAATGCAACTGTATAGTTGCACAGTGCAGAAACCGGAAGTTTAAGAACAGGATCGGCTACCACGGCGCCACCTATTCAGGAACGACAATTTGCTACTTTATATAACACTTCAGCACATTATAAATATTATTTTTATAAAATTTTATGATGACAATCCTATGAATTAGTTATAATATTAATTTTTAGTAATTATTATTGCCTAAATTCAGTCATCTGTACATAATTAAATGTTTCCTTATGTTCTAAGGTGTATATAGTTGCTAAAATCATACCCTATGGGTAGTGCTCCACAATTAATGGAGGAATATACAAGAAACTGAACTGAACTATAACTGCGAAATAACAATCAATAACATTAGATGGGTTCACGTGCATAAACAGAAATGCGCCTTAAATTGTATAATATAATTCATGTTCAGTCGACCTTTAATTATTATATCAACGACTGAAATGATTTATAAACATCTAGATTGCAGATAACACTCGAAATTAACCCGACCTCTTTACACACGGAATTCAAATAATTCTAGTTTGTCAATCGGTTGACTGCTTATAATGTAAAATACAAATATATCAAAAGTTTTTAAAACTAACAAAACACAATGATCGTTTCTCTATTTTCCAATGTAAATGAAATGAAACAAAAAACATTTTATATCACAATAAGAAGAGGAGAGAATCAACATTTTCCGGATCTACTTGGAGCCTAATGACCCCCCACGTAGATAAGTTGGATATCGTGGAAAGAAAGATTAACACAGCAACTAGAAAGGCATTAAAGCACTGCCTTTAAAAAGGGATAAAAGAGTGAGCACACACATTTATCGTAAATGAAATGATTTTTCACAGTAAAAATGTCTAGGTCCAACCAAAATAAACCAGCCACAGCAAATAACAAGAGAACAAGGACCACAATTTATATTTTTGATCACTGCAAGAACAACTATATCATGTATATTTGAAAATATATCATAACTATGATGTCATGTTTCAAGTTCTAATCACTCAGCTACTTATTGGAGAGGTCTTCTCTGGTGAAATTTAGAAGAACAAATTGTGAACATATTTATAATTTAGATATAAATGCATGACAGATGGTGGATAATGACATCCGCTAACACTGGCCGATTGATCCCATGTATGGTAAAAAGAAAAAACACAGTTTAAAAAGATTTGTTGTCTCTGTTTCATTTATAATGTACTTACTCTCTGGTGGTTTTGATGTAACAGGTGATACAATTTCAGTGGCAGATTTATCTTTGTTGCCATAGTTACTAAGAAACTGTAGAACTTCTACTTCTTTTTCAAGCCAGATGTACAACTGAAATCTCAACTGTCCACCATCCACCTCAAAACCAGTGGCTAAAGTCTGCATTTCTTCCATCAGTACTTTAAGACATGCAATGAAAGCATACTGTTGAGCAAAAATATCAATCTTTTGATGACCTTTGACCCCTTGATCTTTAGAATCAGTCTTATCCTCTACCACAACAGATGGTACATCATTTATAATTTTGTCCTCCCCATTCTGTTCTTTAGAATCTAACTCTGAATCAGATTCTTCTGAACTAAAACTCAGATTAAATTTAGGTTCCTCCAAGTCAAACTTGAGAGAAGGTGCTCCCCAGTCGATAGTATCAGAACTATCAACCTTTTTACTTATTGGTGTACTCCAGTCAACACTACTCTTAGTTTCCTTGTAACCATTGGTAACAGGCTGACCCCAATCAAGACTGTCTGATTTATTAATAGGTTCACTCTCTTGAATAAATGGGTCTATTGTTCCTGTTTCTATGGCAGCAGAAGAAGAGACTGGAGCAAAATCCCTTAAGGTTTTTGAGGATGCATTCTCTATAACTGGAGGTAGTTTTGATAAGACTTCTAGAGCTAGCAATGGACAGCCATTTTTATAATGAGTATGAGCAGTTGTGAAAAACAAACGTCTCTCTAATGGAGTTACTTTATCAACAACAACAGAACTGTCATCAAGGACAACAGTCTGTTGTCGAGTAAATCCAGGAATAACACTTTTTTTTCTCATCTCAGTTCCAGCATTGGCCATTCTCTGTCTAACCAGTAATGGATGAGTTCGTAAATAATTGTAAAAGTTAAACACACTAGGAAGTGAATTAACACTATCTGTATCAGCATTACGTACAAGTTTACTTGGTTTTCTTGCATCTTGTAATAAAGTGTTTAGTGAGCCTCTGAAATCTTTCATAGACCATAATGACATGCTCCTGAGGAATGGATCAGTAAGCATTCTATCAACGTCATAATTATCACCATTTTTATCACAACCGAGAATCTGAGTGTAGAGAATTTGTTTAACACTGTCTGGTAATATATCATCCCCACCATTCAATCGACAAATCACTAATGCTAACTGGATGTCATACATGTTGTTCAGGCATACCTTAGAAGAAAAAATATATTTTACATATATAACAATTACAGTAATCATGAAGATCCCACCCCTAAACCATATATATAAAAGTGTATGAAAATATGTTATGCAATTTCTTTTAAAGATAGATTGTATCACATATTCAGTGGTAAAAAACCTAATACATGTATATTTAAATGAAAGTTTAACATGAACTTTCTGTTTTGTTGTTAAATTCATAGTATAGGTGCTGTACAGCATTTTTACCATTAATGTGTCTTCATTTCGGTATGTGAAGCAGCCATATATACAAAATGCAATTTATAGGGATAAATTGTAAATTTTTGGGATTTTAAAAACAAACCAAACTGTTTAGTACTAAATTGATATTTGTGATGTTTATAACTGAATCTCACATATAAGGTCATATGACTAAAGGCATAAGTAACCTAAAGAAGGGTAGATAACTGTCATGGATAACTTATTGTTCTGTGCTTTGACTATCAGCATGTCAATTTAGAACAAAGAAGGTTTCATGTCTATATCATATTTACATGTTATTATCATGTAATTGCCACTGGACATTAAGCAGCCATTAATTCATCAATCAATCCACCCAAAGCATAACAAAGGGCACCAGCAACATGTACTTTAAAGCAAAAAGCTGCAGAAAATTAACTCTTAAAGCAAGGTAGACAACTAGTAACACAGCATCATCAAAGGGCACTTGCTAGTTAATAGAAAAGCTACACCTATGTAGCTTAAGACAATGAGTCAACTTACCTCGACGGCATCATTGAGAGAACCAGCTAACAAGAAGAATGCAGCAGCATGACTAAATCTTTGTTTTCCAAGTAGGTCAAATGCATTTTTCAATGCTGCTTTTCTCCATCTGTCCTGATCAAAGTCTTGTTTGAAGAATTCTACCATCTTCTTGTTGCTCAATGACCTAAAATATTATAATAAGTTAAACTGTCAATTCATTTTTATTTGTGTTATACCAATACTGGTGTTTTTTTTTGGTTGTCAGCAAACCACAAATTAAAATGATAACAAAATATCTCCAGGTTATTTCAATTTTCAAGGTTCAAGTTTTTAATTTCACAGTAGATTTGCTAATATTGAAAATTGATAAATAATGAAAGTTGAAAGTCAAGTTCATGTTAATGGTACTTTATGAGAAAGGTATGTGTGTGTGATTTTGCCATAGATAACATGTACAAAAGAGGCAGAAATACCTGTTGGAATAAAAACAATTATGCCTAAAACAGTACGCAATTGGCAGTTATGAATTCAAATGTCATTGTGTTTAAGTGATGAACTGTCATCTTTTATTCTTCATGGCCTAAGCATATATAACTATATTAAACCCAGAATATATTTTCGCTCTTTATGAAGTTAAAAGTTAATAGATATACCTATATAAGCCCCAGAGGACACTTTTCTTCTTCATGGCTAGATAGTATATAGCTGCATCCATAGGATCCTTGTTGGCTTGGAATGCTGCTTTGGCTACCTGAAAGATTTAATACAAACATTGTAGATAACAATGCATTTGTCTGAATTTATCTATTGATTGCACCCATTCCCTTTTTGGACACAATAATTCTGGAAAAAGATCTTATTCATTTGGTTAACCTCTTTTAACTGTAATTAAATTAAATATCATTTAATTTTACAGTTCAAGGCAGGGCTTCCTAAACAGATGTATTGTCCTGACAAGTCTGAGAAATTATATTCTTGTCTGGTTGTGTCTAGCCTGAACCGGACATATAACTTGGGTTTGCCATTTACATAATTCAGAATAAAGTGAATCTTTGAATGAGGGAATGACAGACAAGGATCTATATGCAATTAAATAAAAATATAACTGACAACCAAACAATTAGCTTCCTACCTTTTCCATAGTTCTCTTCAAAATATTTATATTGTTTATCCACCAACCAGCTCCAAATTCCTTCAGTTCAGCCCATACTGGCTCTCCTTTCTGCATACTAGGTATATATGACAATAACTCCTATAAATATAAAGATTACATTTAGAGCTATTTTCCTAATGCCTGTAATTTAAAGGTTTGGTTGGCTTGCTTGCTTTGTTTGTACAAATGTCTGCTCAAGCATTGTAATTAAGATCGACATCTGCAAATGTATACAAGCTGAAGCCCGGCCTATCTATTGATTGCAGATGTCAATCTTAAATACAATGCTTGAGCAAACATTTATACCAAAAAAGTAAGCAAGCCAACCAAACTACAAGCATTAGGAAAATAGCTCTAATAGATTTTAAATACCAGGAACAAAGTCTTACAGTTCAGTCAACATATAAAAAGAAAGAAACAGATGTACTCAACTTCAAGACATATTCCAAATTATAAAGTCTATATACAAACTGACTATTTTTCTAATTGTTTTTTCGCTTCTTTTTGGAGGAAGGGGGGTGTGGAGGGGAGATGATCTTCACTGGATTATTGTGTGATCTGCTTACTTGCTTGTATTTAAAAAAAATGTAAATCTTCTCTCAGGAGAATTTTCTGTAATGACCCTTTTCCAAGCATTATTACCATAATTGGTATAATTGAGAAAACTTGTTAATATTATAATTTTTTTCAAATTAGACAATCTTGGTAAAAAATTATCAAGTTAAAACAAGTTTTGACACTAAAAAACAGAACTTTGGAATAATTATCTAAGAGAGATAGAAACTTGATTTCTTACCAGGTAATCAAGTGTAAATTAAGTAATCTTCCCCTAAATGAGTATGCTATTGAGTTAATACCTCTGTTGATTCTGAATGGTATGCCCAAACCAGACTAGCTGATCGAAGTCCCTGTTGACGCAGCATGGCTCTCTGTACTGGTGGTAGAGTTCTAATCAGATAGATATGGTGTCTAATAGCCAGAAGAAATCTCAGGCCACAATCGTCTATACTCTCTGCTGTTCCAGCTGTCTGCAGATCTAAGAAAAAATACAAAACTTTTCATTTTTATTTCACTTCCTATTAAATTGTACAATCTTACTTCCTATCCCAATCCCAAAGTCCAAAGGCAATCATTTGTGGTACAGCCCTGTATTTGTCCATGACATGACACTGTGGTTTTATTCAAATATTACAGCTATATTAAAGTTCATAAAAAGATGGTTTCAAATTTAATAGCACAATTAACACTTTAATGATATTTATAAAAAAAAATTGCTCAAAATAATAAAACTTTTCTGTATATTTAAAGTTAGCACGGCACCAAAATGAGTCAAGTAAGCACAAAATTTAGGAAAGAAAGGGAGTATGCAACATTTCAATCTTATTTCTTTAATAAATCTTGGACCAAATAATTGTGAAGATTTTTTTTTAATTGAGTAAGAATGAACAAATTCTGGGCTGTGTGTAAACAGAAAAAATTTGAAGCAATACCAAAAATAAAACCACAATTCTCGACATTTACAAGTTGATAAAAAGGACAAATTTTCAAAAAGTCAAAGTGGAGAATAGATTTTGGTTGCAATGAGTTTGCAGAGAATTTTAGGATGTAGATACATGTAGTATGAAAACATTTATAGATGGAATTAGTTGGTTTTGAAATTACCTGATTTACTTTCAGCTTCGAATCTGTCAGCAAAGTCTGTTTTAGTATGAGCTACAGTATCAGCCAGAGCTAACAGGTACATTTGGTCCAAACTTGTCAGACCTGGTAACTGTGTATGTGTCAAGTGTTGGGTTAATAATCGTGAGTGACCAGCACCAAAGTACGTTGGTTTCTGGTACCCTTGTGAAGATGATGGAATCCTTTTTCTCGTGGTAGCATTCTCTGGACTGGTTGAAAAAACATCTACATTAAGTTCTTCATCATTTAAATTTGTGTCAAACAAATTAGTATAATCTTGGTTGGGTACATTTGTTGCAGGAGCATTAATCATCTCAGCTTGGGCCACAGTGTTATCTTCATCAGCAGCTAACAATGCATACATAGGAAGAGCTGGGATAGACGAGATCTCTTTGTAGTCTAACTGTGTTTCTTCCTGAATGACTGGTACCTCTACAGGACTGCCACCACTGACAGAAACTGTCCTCGGTTTGGTTAAACGGTTTTCATCATGCTCTTCCGAATCAAGGTAACATAACATATCACCACCAGAAATACAGCGCACTAGATGAGACAGAATAGCTTTTACTCGTCTTGTCTTCCCAGAATTCAATAGTTCCATAAGTAATTTAGGATGGTATTGTGGTAAAACAGGATTAGCAATACGATATGCCTCAAATAAACCAAATTCTTGTATCACAGAGAGACTAGTTGTACTTTCACTTTTAGATTTACTCAGATTAAATTTAGATAAGTTTGAATCAGAATTTTTACGAGACAGATTGTTAAGATGTTTAAAACTTGGCATGGAATAAGATGGCTTTAGCTTAGCAACAGATTTTGAGGATTGCAAACTATTTAGACTATAAACTGTCAAACTAGCATCATCAAGTGTCCTCTTATCAAAATCAGCTTCACTTACATCAGTATTCTTAGCCGAATTCCTCCATTGGGAATACACATGCATTTCATTGTCCATGCCCACAACCAGAATACCTCCTCGTACCCATGACAAATGCATAGGCAGGGGAGGTAATCCATCTGCTGTTGTAAGTTCTATTGATCGTAATTTCATCCATTGTATATCCTCGTGTATATTAGTAATCATTATAGATTTGGACTTTACAAAGTTCTGCCGTCGATATGAGGCATCCATGAAACCGTGACTAGATTTAACTCCACCATCTTGTTTCTTTTCTCTCTGTTTAGCTTTCTGACATGATTGAACTATATCATTTGACACTTGTCCATACATGAGAATTTTAGAACCAACCCCCACTGTGAGTATGTGTGATCCATCTTCAGTTGAGACCCAGTCTAACTGTACAAGTTGTTTCTGTTGAAGGATACCATGGTTATTACATTGTGCGGATAATGTCTTTTTAACACTGAATATAGTACTCATGCTAGGAACATGTGTTAACCGATTCATATTGACAAGTGAAGCAGAAGGGGACATTCCTTTATTCTGGTCCTCTTCCTTAACTTCAAGGGTGGTTGCAGGAGGACTGTTTGGAGTATAGATGCAGTTTAAATCTATTTCAGGATTATTTTCTGGAACACTAATGTTCTTAAGCTCTATTGTATCTTCTAAAAGCCATTCTGATCCACCTACAAAGACATAAAATCTATCTGAAAACCAGTGACAGTTTTTTAATTCAAACTTCCTTTGTTCTTTGAATTCTGTTTAAAGTAGAAATCAAAAGTCTCATGTTTAACAACCATATTGTTGTCACTTCTAATTTTATACTGTATGATATATACTTTTATGTATTCTCTACTTTAAATGACATAAATGAAATGAATGTTGTAAAAGATACTGTCATATATTCAAAATATTTCTTTTTTCATTCTTTGAGATATCATGTCATGTAGATTTACTTGTGTTTTTATATTGTATGCAATTAGTTATCAAAGGTACCATGCTTATAATTTAATACGCCAGACGCGCGTTTCGTCTACATAAGACTCATCAGTGATGCTCAGATCAAAATAGTTATAAAGCCAAACAAGTACAAAGTTGAAGAGCATTAAGGACCCAAAGTTCATGTTTATCTACAACATTTTCAGTTTTATGTACATGTATAAGCTATATATAAATATTTATTTACTTTACCAACCACATCCTTACATTTGTATATGTTATATTTATCATAAATTATCTCACATACATTTTATGCTTATATCATTTGGATATTTAGACAATATTAAAACTGTGTAAGTTATTATTTCAATAATATCTACCACATATTTTCATTATTATACTGAATTCTTTCATGTACATTTACCATGTCTTTTATCTAGATTGGATATATCAGGTCATGTTTATAAACTCCCTTTACATCTTATGTTGTATGCCAAAATATATAAATCATACATTGTTTAAAAAGGATTCATTTTACATTAAAACTATCATTTTAAAAGTACAGCACACACATTTAATAGGTGGCATAGTTTTCTTTGAATCCATTCTGCTGTAGTAGATATGTGATTGTAAGGAAAATCTTACCTGTGGATTCACATTCATATATTGCCACATACAAGTTGACAATTTTTCCTTTGGACTTGTCGGTGTTGGTTTTGACACTTCCCATTCTATAGGCTATAGCCAATCTACCACTGTAGGCACAGCTTACTGCTATTGGTTTACCTGATATAATTAAGAAAAATGAACATTAGATATTGTTAATTGTACATGTATGTCAAATGTAAAAACACTAAGGTTTTTGGTCAATATATATATATTGTCGTATCTGTATTTGGCACAACTTTTCAGAATTTGCTTCCGCTTTCCAACTGTTTTGATTAGAGTGTCAATGATGAGTTTTATGTTGACAAAGCACATGTATGGCATACCAAATTGTGGCCTGCATGGGATCTTTGATGAGTCTTATGTTAACAAAACACATGTGTGGCATACCAAATTGTGGCCTGCATGGGATCTTTGACAAGTCTTATGTTAACAAAACACATGTGTGGCATACCAAATTGTGGCCTGCATGGGATCTTTGACAAGTCTTATGTTGACAAAACACATGTGTGGCATACCAAATTGTGGCCTGCATGGTATCTTTGACGAGTCTTATGTTAACAAAACACATGTGTGGCATACCAAATTGTGGCCTGCATGGGATCTTTGACGAGTCTTATGTTAACAAAACACATGTGTGGCATACCAAATTGTGGCCTGCATGGGATCTTTGACAAGTCTTATGTTGACAAAACACATGTCTGGCATACCAAATTGTGGCCTGCATGGTATCTTTGACGAGTCTTATGTTGACAAAACACATGTGTGGCATACCAAATTGTGGCCTGCATTTTATCTTTGACCAGTCTTATGTTGACAAAACACATGTGTGGCATACCACACTGAAGGCCTGCATGGTGTCTTTGACGAGTCTTATGTTGACAAAACACAAGTGTGGCATACCAAATTGTGGCCTGCATGGTATCTTTAATGAGTTTTATGTTGACAAAACACATGTGTGGCATACCAAATTGTGGCCTGCATGGTATCTTTAATGAGTCTTATGTTGACAAAACACATGTGTGGCATACCAAATTGTGGCCTGCATGGTATCTTTAATGCGTTTTATGTTGACAAAACACATGTGTGGCATACCAAATTGTGGCCTGCATGGGATCTTTGACAAGTCTTATGTTGACAAAACACATGTGTGGCATACCAAATAGTGGCCTGCATTTTATCTTTGACCAGTCTTATGTTGACAAAACACATGTGTGGCATACCACACTGAAGGCCTGCATGGTGTCTTTGACGAGTCTTATGTTGACAAAACACAAGTGTGGCATACCAAATTGTGGCCTGCATGGTATCTTTAATGAGTTTTATGTTGACAAAACACATGTGTGGCATACCAAATTGTGGCCTGCATGGTATCTTTAATGAGTCTTATGTTGACAAAACACATGTGTGGCATACCAAATTGTGGCCTGCATGGTATCTTTAATGAGTCTTATGTTGACAAAACACATGTGTGGCATACCAAATTGTGGCCTGCATGGGATCTTTGACAAGTCTTATGTTGACAAAACACATGTGTGGCATACCAAATTGTGGCCTGCATTTTATCTTTGACCAGTCTTATGTTGACAAAACACATGTGTGGCATACCACACTGAAGGCCTGCATGGTGTCTTTGACGAGACTTATGTTGACAAAACACAAGTGTGGCATACCAAATTGTGGCCTGCATGGTATCTTTAATGAGTTTTATGTTGACAAAACACATGTGTGGCATACCAAATTGTGGCCTGCATGGTATCTTTAATGAGTCTTATGTTGACAAAACACATGTGTGGCATACCAAATTGTGGCCTGCATGGGATCTTTGACAAGTCTTATGTTGACAAAACACATGTGTGGCATACCAAATTGTGGCCTGCATGGTATCTTAGACAAGTCTTATGTTGACAAAACAGATGTGTGGCATACCACACTGAAGGCCTGCATGGTGTCTTTGACGAGTCTTATGTTGACAAAACACAAGTGTGGCATACCAAATTGTGGCCTGCATGGTATCTTTAATGAGTTTTATGTTGACAAAACACATGTGTGGCATACCAAATTGTGGCCTGCATGGTATCTTTAATGAGTTTTATGTTGACAAAACACATGTGTGGTATACCAAATTGTGGCCTGCATGGTATCTTTAATGAGTCTTATGTTGACAAAACACATGTGTGGCATACCAAATTGTGGCCTGCATTTTATCTTTGACCAGTCTTATGTTGACAAAACACATGTGTGGCATACCACACTGAAGGCCTGCATGGTGTCTTTGACGAGTCTTATGTTGACAAAACACAAGTGTGGCATACCAAATTGTGGCCTGCATGGTATCTTTAATGAGTTTTATGTTGACAAAACACATGTGTGGCATACCAAATTGTGGCCTGCATGGTATCTTTAATGAGTCTTATGTTGACAAAACACATGTGTGGCATACCAAATTGTGGCCTGCATGGGATCTTTGACAAGTCTTATGTTGACAAAACACATGTGTGGCATACCACATTGAAGGCCTGCATGGTATCTTTGATGAGTTTTTACAAAATGGTGACAGATAGATTTATTCCATGGCCATTGTGTGGGTCATCAGGAAAGATATCTAACAAGGCATATTTTTTTATTGATGTAATCTTATATCTATACGTCTGGTACTATACAGGACATTCCTACCGTTTTAGATCACCTTATATACTAATCAGATTTAAAAATGTGCTCCACCTGAAGCAGCTGGATACGACCACAGAAATCGAACTCTGAACAGTTGGGGCAAGTATGGACACAATATTCAAGCTTGATACAGCTCTGAATTTGGATAGTGATTAAATATTTGACACATTATAGATATCTGACACAGAGTAAATGTGGTTCAGATAACTTAAAAATTTGAAATGGGACATTTAATCTACTTAATGGTCCAATATCCAAAATCTAATTCCATGGTTAGATTCAGCATATAAAAAAAAAAAAACCAGGAATTCAAACAAAGTTTAATTTTGGACCCTTTGGACCTTAATATGGACTAATTTAAAAACAGGGCCCAAAATTAAAAATCTGAATGCACAGTTAGATTCAGCATATCATAGAACCACAAGAATTCAGTTTTAGATGAAATCAAACAAAGTCTAATTTTGGACCATTTGGACCTCAACGTAGACCTATTTAAAAATGTCCAAAATATCAGATTATCAAATATAGTAATACATGGTAAAAACCTCAAACAATTCAAGACTTTAAATTAATCCTCATTGAAACTGGATAAAAGATTTGTATTTATTTTCAATTGAAGATTTTTTGCTGTTGTGCAATACTTTGCTGTTGTGCAATACTTAGTAAATTTGTTTACAAACTAAATATAAAAATTTACACACCCTATTTGGTGAATACCTCCTGCCATATCAGTATTTGTTGTTTCTTTATATAGATCAGAAATAATTTATGTTAGAACTAGCTCAGCCAGTATTAAAAAAGTCTTGTTTTTGGCCCATATTTGGCCTCTAGTTTCTTAACGATTAAAGCCACAACCCACAAAATCGACCCCAGCCTTCTGTGTGTGGTATGGAACCTTGTGGTACAATTTCATAGAGATTCATTGAATAATACTTAAGTATTTGTCCGGAAACCAGAAAAACCTTGTTCATCCCCCCTTTTTTTCCCTTTATTCCTGAACGGTTTGAGCCATAACCCCTAAAGTCAAACCCAACCTTCCCTTTGTGGTATGGAACCTTGTCTTTCAATTTCATAGAGATCCATAGGGCCAAAATAAAAATATGGTTTGTTTCCCCTCGCCCAACCGACTCAGACAAAGTCCCACCGACCCAAAAGTTTTTATTCCGTATTTTCTTTTCGAATTTAATTCCGGAAATTTTTCGGGGTTGTTTCCAGTACCGACTGTCATTTTTCGGTGACCGGAAGTTTCCCATTTTTCATCGGATCCTATCAAAAGTCAAGAAACTATACGATTAGCCTAGAGGAGGTCTGCTAGGTCGTCTACACGGGGAGAAAAGAGACTTAAGAGCGGCGAAACATTTACGCTGTGTTTATCAGTGGTTGCAAAAGGTGACAGTGACATCAATAACTTGTGTTCAAAAATCACCTGTACGAGTATGACGATCATGAGACATGGAACGACGTACTTGGACATCAAGTTCATGACGTTTTGCCTTTGGAAGGAGACGACTTTACTTTCCACATTGTGACAAAACTGACACTATTTATACATGTGTGTCTGATATGAAAGAACCTATCAGAATCGTAAAGGAATTTCACAGAATATTTAAACATGTAACTTTTCCTACATTTGTTGTAACTACAAACAGAGACAACGATGTTGGTTTGACCAACCCAGTGTGTATTCCAATATTACCCTGACGTCTGACAGCTGTTTTGCCAGACAAAGCTTGTCTAGCAAAACAGCTGTCGGACATCAGAGTAATGTAATTCTAAAAAAACTAGAGGCTCTAAAGAGCCTGTGTCGCTCACCTTGGTCTATGTGCATATTAAACAAAGGACACAGATGGATTCATGACAAAATTGTGTGATGTGTTTGTAGATCTTACTTTACTGAACATTCTTGCTGCTTACAATTATCTCTATCTATAATGAACTTGGCCCAGTCGTTACAGTGGAAAATATTTTGTAAAAATTTACAAAAATTTACAAAACTTATGAAAATTGTAAAAAATTGACTATAAAGGGCAATAACTCCTTAAGGGGTCAATTGACAATTTTGGTCATGTTGACTTATTTGTAGATCTTACTTTGCTGTACATTATTGCTGTTTACAGTTTATCTCTTAGTATCTATAATAATATTCAAGATAATAACCAAAAGCTGCAAAATTTTCTTAAAATTACCAATTCAGGGGCAGCAACCCAACAACGTGTTGCCTGATTGGTCTGAAAATTTCAGGGCAGATATATCTTGACATAATGAACAATTTTATCCTTGTCAGATTTGCTCTAAATGCTTTGGTTTCAGAGATATGAGCCAAAAACTGCATTTTACCATATGTACTATTTTTTAGCCATGTCGGCCATCTTGGTTCGCAGGCTTGGTCATCGGACACATTTTTTAAACTAGATACCCTAATGATGATTGTGGACAAGTTTGGTTAAATTTGTCTTAGTAGTTTCAGAGGAGAAGATTTTTGTAAAAGATTACAAAAATTTACGAAAACTGGTTAAAAATTGACTATAAAGGGCAATAACTATTTAAGGGGTCAACTGACCATTTTGGTCAAGTTGACTTATTTGTAGATCTTACTTTGCTGAACATTATTGCTGTTTACAGTTTATCTCTATCTATAATAATATTCAAGATAATAACCAAAAACGGCAAAATTTCCTTAAAATTACCAATTCAGGGGCAGCAACCCAACAACGGGTTCTCAGATTCATCTGAAAATTTCAGGGCAGATAGATCTTGACCTGATAAACAATTTTACCCAGTGTCAGATTTGCTCTAAATGCTTTGGTTTCAGAGATATAAGCCAAAATCTACATTTTACCCCTATGTTCCATTTTTAGCCATGGTGGCCATCTTGGTTGGTTGGCCGGGTCATCGGACACATTTTTTAAACTAGATACCCCAATGATGATTGTGGCCAAGCTTGGTCAAATTTGGCCCAGTAGTTTCAGAGGAGAAGATTTTTGTAAAAGTTTACGGACGACGTACGACGGACGCCAAGTGATGAGAAAAGGTTTAGAGGTTGGTGGAAAAAAGCTTAAAAATGTGGGGAACTTCTGCTCAAATTTTTTTGAAATTTATTTGCAAACCTTTTTTATGTACTTCCTTAATTAATACCATAAAGATAAAACCATATATCAAATCATTATTTGGCAACTCTGACACAGGAATGCAACCCATTCATAAGATATGGGACTTGTGACTTAAGGGTTGTGGGTTCGACTCCTGTCACCGGAAACAAACCTTGAGCATGATACTTCCCTCGCTTCTTCAAGTCTATTCAGCTGTTTAAAAATGATTATGTGGTTCAGGGCAGTGATGGACATGTTGTATATTTTATGTTGTTTGCTTCATAAAAGAGTTGATTATGATAATGGGTTGAAAGGCCCAATGACCACAGATGATAATTTTTGAATCGCTTGGAGACAAATGTACAAAAAATAATGCTATCCGGGGTATTTCTATGTTTGAAAAGATATAACATCATATTGCATGTTGAATACATGCATTTAAAAATCCTCTTTATTTGAATTGTACTGTCAAACACCAAATTTTCGACTTTAAATAGAAGATCAAACCTTGTTGTACAGCCTTCACGCTTAACGTTTGAGTCTACAAGCCAGACGCTCAATTTTTCTAAATTTTAGTTGGATTCTGTTGGCTTGTAGAGAAGAATTTTACAAGCCCGAGAGCAATTTTACAAGCCAATGCCGTAGGACTTGTGGTTAAGCGTGAAGCCTGGTTGTATATATAAGGATTTGTACAATGTATGTGTTCATAGAAATTTACAATACACATTTATTACTGCTGGAGAAAAAAAAAAAAACTTTTGACCTACCTACCTACCTTCCTGTGAAATCCAGGGTCGGGAGAGGGGAAACAAACATATTTTTAAATGTGGCCTAGACTACTACTTAAGTAATTGTCCATTAACCAGAAAAACCTTTTTTTTCCCCCTTTTTCCTGAACAGTTTGCGCCATAACCTTCAAAGTCAATCCAAACCTTCCCTTTGTGGAATGGAACCTTGTGGTACAATTTCAAAGTACAAATTTTTGGCGGTCGTATAAAAACTAGAAGCTCTAAAGAGCCTGTGTCGCTCACCTTAGTCTATATGCATATTCAACAAAGGACACACTCCAACATTATAGATGAGAATAGAATTCATGACAAAAATCTCTGTTTTGTTGATCTTGTATTGCTGATCATTTAGTCAGTTTAGTTTCTCTCTATCTTCTTTAGTTTTTGCTCAAAACACAAAAGAGGGTAAAAAATCCTCATTTAAGGACAATCACTCCTATAAAGAGTGACAGTCTACTAACTATAATGGCAAAATTTGACTTGTTTGTAGATCTTGCCTTTCTAATCATTTTATAGTGTCTATTTATCTATTATAATTTTTATATCATATAAGGCAAAACACATAAAAAATGGTAAAAATTATTAAAGGGCAATAACTCCAATAAGGAGATGTCGGACGATTTCAAACATATTGTCTTAATAGTGGATTTTGTTTTGCTGATCATTTTTGCTTATTTAATTTTCTATCTATCTTTTACACTAATAAGGAGTCAACTGACGACTTTGACCATGCAGACTTATTTGTAGAACTTGTCTTGCTGATCATTTTTGCAATTTAAAGTTTTTCTCTATCTATTCTAATTTTCAAAATAATAGACAAAAATAAAAAAAAAGGTAAAATTTTGCATTTAAAGGCAATAACTCCTATAAGAAGTTGTCTGACAGTTTTGATGTATATGGACAATTGGTAGAGCTCAACATTCTGAACATTTCTGCTCCTGATGATGATTGAGGCCAAGTTTGGTTAAATTTGGCCCAGTAGTTTCAGAGGAGAAGATTTTTGTAAAAGTTAACAGACAACGATGACGGACGCCAAGTGATGAGAAAAGCTCACTTGGCCCTCAGGGCCAGGTGAACTAAAACTGCTTAATGTTGATATTTTATGTTCATTGTTATTTTTTATTTTAGTTATGTTGTCTCTTCCTTGCTTGGTCCATTAGAATTTCAGTTCATTTTACAAATGATAGCTAGTTTAATGCAACACATTGATTAATGTTATACACCAAAATGGATATATTGGATAAGGCTTTATCAATGACTTTAAAACTTGAGGTGAAACTATGACTTCAGTTTGACCTCTTATGAAGACACCAAACAGATCATCAGCTTGTGTTATCAATTTTTACCATATAATACTGTGGATTCATTATAATGTTGGGCATACTAATGCTGTGGATTTCTTCAGTATATACCACAAATTTCAGTGTTCAATAATATTAAGTTTCCTACAAAATTGCATGCAGAATTTGTCAAAACCATGAAAATCATACAGTAATGAAAAAATAATCATTCCTCAAAAATTACCCTTGACCTTGTGATTGTCACCAACTCCTAGAAAAAAAATATACCTGGTATATACACTGCACTGGAATCATCAGCTTGTGTCATCATTTTCCATTCACACCAATTATAGCTGATATCAGTAGCCTCTGACCTTGTGAAGGTAGAAATGGAGGGTTTCTTGGAAAGACAAAATTCTTCCATTGTATATTCAAAGCTAACAGTACTCATATTTAGTTCACTGTGACTGGTATGAGACAAAGATTGTCCAGAATATACTGGCTCTATTGTTGTTAAATCACACCTCCAAAATCGAAGAGTTCCATCTGAACATGCTGTTACTAAGAGATATGGAGCTAAGCATGCTGGGTAAATTGAAGCTGAACTAAGGTGCCCTGCTGCTATTTCTGCAGAGACAATGTCCACATCATCTGGTAATGGTAGCTTTTTTGTGTACACCTATAAAAGTAAATGGGAAGTTTAAATTATGCAAATATCCATCCTCCTTACTAATTTGCAGTTTCAGAATTTAAAGGGATATGGAAAATTTCTTTGTTTGAACCCTAAAAATAACATAATGTCACATTATTGGTTGTATTGATTGTTTGGGAAGTTTTTAACCAATCACAAACAAAATGTGGTGTATGTTTTTGAAAAAATTATCCAGAATGATGTAGATTAATATGAAAAAGATGAATTAAATTTTATTAGACACTTTTAAATTTCCAATTGCATTAATACAAATTTAGATGCCATTTCTGCCAGTGTTATTTTTAGTAGGACATATACATAAACAGACTAAACAAAGAATTGCAGAATACACTGTCATTATATTAATGTTACAGTCTGTAAGTGTTTTCCTTATTGTATACAATAACAAACAATTTTCTACATTTTATTTTAAAACTCATTGGAATTTTAAATCAAAATATCATTTACCCAGCACTGTAGCTCTTTTTTATGTCAATTTCCATATCTTAACTTCACTGCTAATCTAATTTAATTCATTAATATAAATAATTCCTCTTTCTGGGGATAAACCATTGTTTGTTGCAATAAAGTGTCAATAATTGGCAAGACTTATTTCCCTTTAATTGTCAGGTCATATTTTTTTTTACTCTAACAATGTACAGCTTGAAAAAACTGTACATATAAGTAACAACAAACTTATTATTTTCTTTCACACCAAATCTCTGCATTGCAACAAACCAGTACTTCTGTCTTGGAAGGGAGAAACTGATACCAAAATATAATTTAGCATTTAATCTAGAAATCAAGAGATGATCTACTTAAAGGTACTTATGAATTCAGGGATACTTGAAGAAATTTTACTTTGTTGGTTAAAGATGGTCATTATGTAAATTTCTATCACCATCAGAATCTTCTAATTGAAAATTATGGATATCCTAAATACAAATAGTGAGTCCAGAACTCATCAATATGTATTGAAAAAAAAACCTTTGAATTGATCTGTGAATGAGAAAAAGTGCAGTTTCTGAAATATACTTCAGTGTTCCATAATATACTGTAAATCTGAATTTTTGTTGTGCTGGGTTAATATTTTTTGCTTATTTCGCTTTCTGTGGAGTTCTAATCTAATGCGCTAAAGTATCCCCCATGCTAGGTTATGACACCCTCAAAAAGTTCATGCACTGAAATTACCAAAAATCCATGTTTACATATTGAACAATCAGAATATCATTTTTTTTCATGTAGATAGGTTTCGATATGTAATTTGAGTTATTTCCCTTGGCAGCTATTTTGGAGGGGTAAGTGGTTAATTTTTTTATTTGACTGACCAAATTGAAACACACTTTACAACCAAGCCTTATAACAGATCCTGACTAGATCGTAGTAATGAATCAAGCAAGGCGAAAGAATTTAACATTGTTCAGAAAACAACTTTTTTAAAAGTGTGACAGTCAGTTTAACAAGTTGAATTTGGCTGACTTATGAAGAAATTTGGGTACATATGCCTCAAACATGGCAACAAAAGGGAAGTAACTCTTGCTCAAATTGTGTCAATTGTCTATTAAGTAAGGTATTCTATGAGAGGAACACACCAAAGACAGTAACTATAGAAAACTGATTCTTACCTTTGCAGTTGAGAAACACAATTTGACAACAGCCATGGGCTTGGATGTGAAGTGTTCAGGAGTGGAACTTCTGGATGGTGGATTAGAACCATCATCATCCACATAACTATAATCAGGTACATAACTCCTTTTGGGATCACCTGCTAAGTAAAGAGAACATGATTTATTACATTATCATCCACATAACTATAATCAGGTACATAACTCCTTTTGGGATCACCTGCTAAGTAAAGACAAGACATGATTTATTACATCATCAGCCACAAAACTATAATCAGGTACATAACTCATTTTTGGGATCACCTGTTATGTAAAGAGAACATGATTAAGTAATGAGTATTGTGATATTAACTGCTTAAGGTTATGTTGTGTTCTACTCATGCTCTCACATACTGATTTATATTTCTGAAAAAAAAAGCTTTTGTTCTCTAGATCCTCCATTCTAGTATGTAACAAACACTGACAGTCCTAAGAAACATGGATCAAAGACTCAAATGGCTGGGATGCTAAGATTTTACTTAGAGAATCGAGAATGGTCTATAACAGAACATTTTAAAGCATATAGAAATAGAAAATGGGATAAAATCTTCAAACAACTCCATAATGGAAGGTTCACAACCAATAGGTTTGCCAACTCTCTTGAAAGTTCCAAAGATCTGGGTCAAGAATAAAAATCATTACCATGTTTTGAAATTTTTTGCTGAAAAATTACTAAGTTAACGTTCCAAAGTCTGGAAAAATGGTAAAAAATTATTAAAACAATTTCCTAATAAGATGTGAAAAACTTCTATATATCTCCAATCAGTCACCATAAACAAGACCTAATCACAAACTAATACATTGTTGACACCGCAGATGCCACGGTCGGCAAACAGCATACCTATGTCTCGCTTTTTGACTCGTCAAGGCGAGACATAGGTATGCTGTGGAGAATAAACTATGGAGTTATTAAATGTATTCAAAGTATTAAATTTTCAAAAAACTTATTGTGTGAAAAAAGGGATATTTTACCACCAGGAGCCGCATCAAGAAAGGATTTTCGGGGTGTGCTAATTTACAGAAAAATGAATCTCACTTCGTACCCCGAAAATTTAACCACATATGTGAAAATGTCTCAGCCTCGAAACAAGCCATCATACATATCCCAGTTTACGATAAGGACTGAGGTACAGAAGAAAGCGTTACCATTACCGCCTATGGGAAATCAATTGCACATATTGACCCATCTGGACTGAAAACTGTAGGAGTTGATTACTGTACACAAAATTGGTATAGCGGTTTGTAAACTTTGATGAAAAATTACCAAGTTTCCAATGTTGGAAAAATGAGAAAAAATTCCTAAGTCAATTCCGTAATAACAGGTACACAACTTCAATATATATATGTGCAATAATTAAAGGAATATTGGTTGAAAACTATAGGAATTGATAACACAAAACTGGTACAGTCATGCGTAAACTTTGCTGAGAAATGTCTAAGTTCCAAAGTCTGGGAAAATGCCCCCCAAAAAATCAATAATAGCAGGTGCACAACTTCAACATGCATGCACTCTTTCTCTCAAGTTTTAGGGTTCTGAGTTGCAAACTTTAGAAGTTACTTACAGAAATAAGGTACCCACTTCTCCACACCCTCCATTCCAAAATTAGTATACTTGAAGATAGTTTTGAACTTAGTACAACCCCAACCAGTAAAGGTTATATTTGTTGATTAAGTTTAAACTTAACTGAGAAGACTATATAATTTTTTCATCCTTACTGAAAGTAAATGGATCGTGTACATGTTTCATACCAACCTTCCATACTATTTTGTGATTCTAATTGAGAAGAAATGGTTATTTTCCACATATGAAGTGTTGATCCATGATTTTCTTCATCTTTTTGAAGAACCACCAAATAAAAATTCTCCGAGAAGTTCCCCGAATTACTGAGATCAACAATGGCTTCCAGGTTACCAATAGAACCACTCGGTGATCCTGTCAGTAACTGCTCTTGGAAGACATGTAAAAGATGGGTTTTCTGCCAGTTCTGAAAGAATAATTCAGTTATATACAGCAACCAGATATAAGTCAATGATTTAAGTCAGAGAGTTAGACTTTATTTTTGGGAGCACTATTGAATTTTCTCACAAAAGAAAGCACTGGATGGTCAAGATTTCTTTCATTTAGCAGTGGGAACTAAAAATTAAACATTGCATATTATTCAGCATTGGAAGGCAATACTATGAATAAGAGATAATATTGTAGTTGGTTCAACTACAATTATGATCAAAGGGAGATGACTCCAATTTTAAATATTACTTTAACAATGACATCAATGTTTTGGTCCCTCAGCTTTGATTTCTTGGTTTATCTACACCTTTTATAACTAACCTGTTTTGCATCAGCTAAAGGTTCTAGTTCAATAATACATCCTGGTCTGGCTGAAGATTGAAGACTGATGATGTTAAACATTTCTCCAGGGGCTCTCTGAGGTTCTATACTGTAACCTGAGCTGGTATTACTAGAGAAACTCATCCCTGGCTGAAATAAAGAGATATCATGTTTAAAATCTACTTGCTGATATAACTAGAATCAAAGCACGAAAGCGCTGTAAAGGCAGTTAATTACAGGTTGTGTGTATTTTTAGTCCAGTTATATCATTATCTTGCATAGTACATTGTACTTATCAGAGGTGGCTTTCAGTATTTAAGATTTAGAGTTCACTAATGATATTGAACAAGTTTTATGAATGTCATATTCTGAGCACTATATGAAGGCGATTGTTCTCACTTGTTTATGAACTAGTGCATTATGTCCACTTTGTACCTTTTTTTATCTATGTTTATAGTCAAATACTGTTTGAAATAGTTTGGCATTTTCTTTTTAGTAATAAGTAAATGTTATCAACTGTATTTTATTCAACTTCGCAAATGTGGTTTGTTACTGGTAGGTACAATGTATGGATGATAGTTGTTTCATTGGCAATCATAACACATCTCCTTATTTATATAAAATGATCTATATTCAACGACCTCAGGTACAAAAAAAATGTATGTAACTAAACTATGATGGGAAACCTTTGACTTCTTTCTTTTATATAAACTTTTGATTTGGTACCATAGAACTATGTAGAATAAATGTACATTGCAACATGTCAACTCTTTCAATGACAATACTTTTTTTAGAAACTATAACTCCAAGCAAAATTATATTTCCAAGTATAAAGTAATTAATGAATGAAACAAGAGTGCACACGCTGAAATGTCTCGCCATCTTTACTAATCATTGATATTATGTTGATAGTCCTAAATATAAAGCTTTATTACAACTGTCACATAAACTTAGCATTAACCAAGTAAACTAAACATTGACCAATGAACCAAGAAAATGATGTCAAGGTCAGATAAACCATGCTAGGCAGGCATGTACAGCTAACAATTCTTCCATACAACAAATATAGTTGACCTATTGCTTATAGTTTAAGAAAAACAGACCAAAACACAAAAACTTAAAACTGAGCAATGAACCTTGAAAATGAGGTCAAGGTAAAAAAAAACCTGCGTGACTGACAAATAGATCATAAAATATTTCCATACACCAAATATAGTTGAACTATTGCATATAGTATTAGAAAAAAAAGACCAAAACTCAAAAACTTAACCTAGACCACTGAACCATGAAAATGAGGTCAAGTCAGATGACACCTGCCAGTTAGACATGTACACCTTACAATCATTCCATACACCAAATATAGTAGACCTATTGCATACAGTATAAGAAAAACAGACCAAAACACAAAAACTTAACATGAAAATGAGGTCATGGTCAGATAACACCTGCCAGTTGAACAGTCCTTCCATACACCGAATATACTAGACCTATTGCTTATAGTATCTGAGATATGGACTTGACCACCAAAACTTAAACTTGTTCACTGATCCATGAAATGAGGTCGAGGTCAAGTGAAAACTGTCTGACGGGCATGAGGACCTTGCAAGGTACGCACATACCAAATATAGTTATCCTATTACTTATAATAAGAGAGAATTTAACATTACAAAAAATCTCAACTTTTTTTTCAAGTAGTCACTGAACCATGAAAATGAGGTCAAGGACATTGGACATGTGACTGACGGAAACTTTGTAACATGAGGCATCCATATACAAAGTATGAAGCATCCAGACCTTCCACCTTCTAAAATATAAAGCTTTTAAGAAGTTAGCTAACGCCGCCGCCGGATCACTATCCCTATGTCGAGCTTTCTGCGTTAAAAGTCACAGACTCGACAAAAAGGAGTTCTTAATTAAGAAATAAACTGATTCGCTGAGCGCAGCTGGATACACCTGCAGAGGTCCAACCCTGAACAGTTGGGGCAAAAATGGACACAATATTCAAGCTTGATACAAGTCTGAATTTGGTTGTAATTAAATATTTCACATATTATAGTTTCTGAATAAATGTAGTCAAAGAACTTGAAATTGGTTATATGAATTGAATTTATATTCAATTAAAGATTTCTTGCTGTTGTGCAATACACTGTGCTGTTGCGCAATACTTAATAAATCTGTTGCCAGACTATAAACAAATAAAGTTCAATTTCTTCTCAATGTCATATTTGAAATTTAGGAAAATCAATAGGGAGATTACATCAATAGCTATAAATAATTCACCAAAGTTTCATGCGAACTGCTTAAAGCATTTTTGAGTTGTTGTCCAAAAACTGGAAAATCCCCCCTTTTTCAATGAATAAAACCCCATAACTCAGAAATGTAAAATCTAAAATTCATAAAGTTCTAAAGGGAGCTTACGGATTGATAATTTAGTCTTAGATGCAAGATTTTTTTATCAGTTGTTAGTGGCTTTGAACTAGCTGTCAGTAAATGCGAGTACTCTCAGATCTGTACTTAGTGTCTTTTTGTTGTTTGGATGTACAACTACCCGGCCACGTCCACTTGTATTTGTATTTATCCATCTGATGAGTTAAGCCTCTTTCAACTGATTTTTTATCGTTCGTTCTTATATTGTACTGTTACACCACTGTCCCAGGTTAGGGGGTGGGTTGGTATCCCGCTAACATGTTTAACCCCGCCACATTCTGTATGTACACATATGTGCCTGTCCCAAGTCAGGAGCCTGTAATTCAGTGGTTGTCGTTTGTTGATGTGTTGCATATTTGTTATTCGTTCATTTTTTGTACATAAATTAGGCCGTTAGTTTTCTTGTTTGAATTGTTTTACATTGTCATTTCGGGGCCTTTTATAGCTCACTGTGCTGTATGTGCTTTGCTCATTGTTGAAGGCCGTACTGTGACCTATAGCTGTTAATTTCTGTGTCATTTGGTCTCTTGTGGAGAGTTGTCTCATTGGCAATCATACCACATCTTCTTTTTTATATTTACATCAACAGATATAAACAATTCACCAAAGTCAAACTTAGTTGTAAGATCTCTGAAATTTTTTACACGGTACAAGTTTTTCTAATTGTTGGAGATTGTACGGTGACAGTAACACCTGTAACTGCTTAACCCATTTCTTATGCACTTTGGTTCGATAAACTCACTGAATATCATACCACATCTCCTTATTTTTATATGCATTACAATTTACATGTGCATGTAATTGTTAATAATATTTATATATATATATCAGAACAAACTTCATTGTGTCACTTTTATTTATGCATCCTTTGGCACAATACAAGTTCTAAAATTACACAACATAAAACAACTAAATGTTATTTCAGATGAAAGTTTTGTTTCAGTTCCATTCATAGGATTTATTAGAATTTTGTATGTTTTGCCAAGTCCAATAATTAGCTCTATGTGCACATGTTAATTGGAGACTTTTCTATCCCGTATAAGAGTTTTGGAACTAATTCTGTTTCTTTTTTTGAAAAAGTGAGCAAACAAATCTTGCACATTTATACCTTTGTCTGCCATCACACTGTCACCTGGATCACATAATTGAACTATTCTACATCTTTCAACTATTTCACAGTCACTGGTACAACCAACATATGCATTAGAGACATAGTTGACTAAACCACCAGGTGTCGAACATACAAGTATTTTCAGTGTTTCTGTTTTTATATGATGAAAAGGTTGCCTGAGCTCTAGGAGCTTTAGGTTTTATCACGGGATATTCTGTGCTGTCAATAATAATTCAAGTTATAGGAAACTTTAATTTGAAGTTGGATGGCGAAAAATACCTGACTAAACCACTTAATGGCCAAGTGTTAGCCTCACGCCACTGTTTAGACATAAAAACAATCCATGTTTACACAATATTCTTAACACTAGTTTCAATCTAGAATCTAGACAGTTCAAAGTTGGTTGTATAATGCCTCAATTTCATCAAAGTCATAAAAAAACTGATTTTCAAATGACACCCTATCAATTTGAAAATATATGTATCTCAAACAATGTGCTGCTGGACCAAGTGTGGTGAAAACAAATAAAAATTTAGTATACAACTCTAAACCGGTATAAAAATGCATGGCTGTGTCACGTGTCTTCATTTCAAAATTCTCTGCTGAAAATATAGGCATTGATGGTGTTTGCGTAATTCCATCTGTGAAGCTCAACATTAGCTCGGCAGTTGGTGGTGGACAGTCATAAATCCTGTCTGCAGTATGAATGACTTCTTCAGGAAAACCAACTTTACAATCAAAACTTTCCTCTAGATTTCTACTACAATATTCATCAAGTTTAGTTCTTTTGTTTTCACAGGAAACTGCCCTGATTTTTCTTTTTGTGGACGATTCAGTCTCTTGCTTAATCCAGGAAAATAGGCTGGGAATGGCAGTAGACCTTAGTCTCTGTATGGTGGGTTTGCGCCCTGAAAAAGGTTATAAAACATTAGTTTTTTGATAATTAAATGAACTTCCATTAGCAATGCATACTTTGTACTACCTGGCAAAATATTAACTAGATTTATTCATTACAATCTGGATAAAACTATGTTAGCCTGAATCAATGTACATCAAAATGTATGTTATGTAAATCCAAAGTAAGTAAGTAAAACTTTATTTTGATTCGGCATATTGACAAACATACAAACATAAGCTCTAATGAGGACAAACAATGAGAGACATATGCAACAAACATACATTGTTTGTATCTAAATAACTATAATATAGATGACAGCATGTCATTGTTTTGTTCCTGTTAACATTGGGTATCGGGTCCGTTCGCGCCCAATACACGTTCGCACCCTACACGTTCGCACCCCACACGTTCGCCCCCTTTTTTTATTCAAAAACCTGATAAATTTTTAGATGTTTTGTAAAATATTTTTATTTTCATAAATAAAAATTCGGGAATTTTTAAATGAAATATTGTTTTAAATTGATTTGATGATTAATTATTAAATGTTAATTTGTATGATTACTGCTAATTGGTATTTATACACAGCCTAATATGATGTTATTGTTGGGTGTTTAAAAATCATGATTGTTGTCATGGTTGTTTTAACTTGCTTTAAATGTAAATACTGCATGTATTTAGCTTGGTATGAGTAAAACTTTGAAGATTTTAAATAAAAAACATGAAAGATAATTGTTTTTAACAGCTTGGCTCCTTTGATCTCATGTGTGTCAGAATCTCACTTTATTCATAAACAATGAAAAAAAATATTTATAGCAATACACTATCCAAAACATGATTACGAATTATTCAACATATAAAAAAAAACGTTGTCAGAATCCCATTTCCTTTTGAACAATAAAAAAGAAATATTTATAGCACTACACTAACCAAAACATGATTAAGATTTTATCAACACCTAAAAAAACGTTGTCAGAATCTCACTTTATTTAGAAACAATGAAACAAAATTATTTATCTATATATATATATATATATTTGTTTTACATGCACACGTATAAAAATTGCGGCCAACGGTTTTTATCCAACGCAATCATAGGTTTGAACGTTGTTTTCAATTTAGACTTGTATATATATAGATATATATAGAGCAATACACTTACCTAAACATGATTAAAAATTATTCAACACAAAACTAAAATACTGGTCGTCAGAATATCACTTAATTTAAAAACAATGAAAATAAAATGCTTCGCTGGGCGCAGCTTGATACGACCGCAGAGGTCGAACCCTGAACAGTTGGGGCAAGTATGGACACAACATTCAAGCTTGATACAGCTCTGAATTTGGATTGTGATTAAATATTTGACACAGCATAGGTTTCTGACACAGAAAGAATGTGGTCTAAGAACTTCAATTTTTTTAATTTACCTATTATGGTCCAATGTCCAAAATCAAAATACATGGTTAGATTCAGCATATCAAAGAACCCCATATATTCAATTTTTGTTGAAATCAAACAAAGTTTAATTTTGGACCCCAACTTGGACAAACTTGAAAACTGGTCCCATAATCAAAAATCTAAACACATGTTTAGATTCAGCATATCAAAGTACCCGAAGAATTCAATTTTTGTTAAAATCAAACTAAGTTTAATTTTGGACCCTTTGGACCTTAATGTAGACAAATTTAAAAAACGGGACCCAAAATTAAAAATCTAAAAACACGGTTAGATTTGGCATATCAAAGAACCCCAATAATTCAATTTTTGATGAAATCAAACAAAGTTTAATTTTGGACCCTTTTGACCTCAATATGAACCAATTTGATAGCTGGCCCACAAATAAAAATTCTAAATACATGGTAAGATTCAGCATATCAAAGAACCCCATATATTCAATTTTTGTTGAAATCAAACAAAGTTTAATTTTGGACCCCAATTTGGACCAACTTGAAAACTGGGCCAAAAATCTAAAATCTAAATACATGTTTAGATTCAGCATATCAAAGAACCCCATATATTCAATTTTTGTTGAAATCAAACAAAGTTTAATTTTGGACCCCAACTTGGACCAACTTGAAAACTGGTCCCATAATCAAAAATCTAAACACATGTTTAGATTCAGCATATCAAAGAACCCCAAAAATTCAATTTTTGTTAAAATCAAACTAAGTTTAATTTTGGACCCTTTGGACCTTAATGTAGACCAATTTAAAAAACAGGACCCAAAATTAAAAATCTAAATACACGGTTAGATTTGGCATATCAAAGAACCCCAATAATTCAATTTTTGATGAAATCAAACAAAGTTTAATTGTGGACCCTTTTGACCTCAATATGAACCAATTTGATAGCGGGCCCACAAATAAAAAATCTAAATACATGGTAAGATTCAGCATATCAAAGAACCCTATATATTCATTTTTTGTTGAAATCAAACAAAGTTTAATTTTGGACCCCAAATTGGACCAACTTGAAAACTGGGCCAAAAATCTAAAATCTAAAAACATGTTTAGATTCAGCATATCAAAGAACCCCATATATTCAATTTTTGTTGAAATCAAACAAAGTTTCATTTTGGACCCCAACTTGGACCAACTTGAAAACTGGGCCCATAATCAAAAATCTAAACACATGTTTAGATTCAGCATATCAAAGAACCCTAAGAATTCAATTTTTGTTAAAATCAAACTAAGTTTAATTTTGGACCCTTTGGACCTTAATGTAGACCAATTTAAAAAACGGGACCCAAAATTAAAAATCTAAATACACGGTTAGATTCGGCATATCAAAGAACCCCAATAATTCAATTTTTGAAGAAATCAAACAAAGTTAAATTTTGGACCCTTTGGACCTCAATGTGGACCAATTTAAAAACGGGGCCCAAAATCCAAAAACTTAATACACGGTTAGATTCAGCATATTAAAGAACCCCAAGAATTCAAGAATAAAACCCCATTGAAATTGATCAAGAAATAAGCAATTTATACGAAGTATCTTCTTTTGCACAATACTGTGCAATTGAATATTTCTTGCTATTGCGCAATACTGTACAATTGACAATTTCTTGCTATTGCGCAATATTGTGCTATTGGATATTTCTTGCTATTGCGCAATACTGTTAAATTGAAGATTTCTTGCTATTGCGCAATCCTGTGCAATTGAAGATTTCTTGCTATTGTGCAATACTGTGCAATTGAAAATTTCTTGCTATTGCACAATACTTTTTATATAATAATTTACACATCCTGTTTGGTGTGTATCTCCTACCATATCATTATTATTTGCTTTTAAATATAAATCAGAAATAACCAACTTAAAATGGAAAATTTTAAAAGAAAAAAAAAAGGAATAAAAAGAAGAAAAAAAAAAAAAAAAAAATCCCCCCCCCCCAATTTTTTGAACCCCCTTATGATTCATCACCCCCAAACTCAATCCCAGCCTTCCCTTTGTGGTATGGTACCTTGCAGTACAATTTCAGAGAGATCCATACACTTGAACACAAGTTATTGTCTGGAAACTAGAAAAATGCTTATTTTTGGCCCCTTTTTGGCCCCCAATTCCTAAACGTTTTGGGCAATTACCCCCAAACTCAATTCCAGCTTTCCCTTTGTGATATGGAACCTTGTAGTACAATTTCAGAAATATCCAAACGCTTACACACAAGTTATTGTCTGAAAGTTACAAAAATGCTTATTTTTGGCCCCTAATTCCTTAACTGTTGGTACCATAACCCCCAAAATCAATCCCAACCTTCCTTTCGTGGTATTGAACCTTATGGTGAAATTTCATGGAGATCCATTCACTTAAACTAAAGTTAGAGTGCGAAAACCAATGTGTCTTCGGACGACGACGACGACGACGACGACGACGACGCCAACGTCATACCAATATACGACCAAAAAATTTTTAATTTTTGCGGTCGTATAAAAAAATGTTAATAGCAATACATTTACCATTTACCATGACACAAAAAAAACCTTGTCAGAATCTCACTTTATTTAGAAACAATGAAAAAATATATATTTATAGCAATACACTTACCAAAACTCGTTTACAAATTATTAAACACAAAACCAATAAAAATTGGGCGCGAACGTGTAGGGTGCGAACGTGTAGGGTGCGAAAGTGAAAGGGGGGCGAACGTGCATGGGGGCGAACGTGATTGGGCGCGAACGGACCCGGATTCTTAACATTGTCATTGATATTTTTCAAGAAAGTCTATGAGGCATAGCTTATGCATTCCTGTCATTACTACATAAGCATAATTACTGCTAAAATAATTCTCAGTATGATATACCTCTTGTAAGAAATCATTATAATTGTAGCAAGCACCAAAAAATCTCAAACAGATCACATTGAATCGTAATCCAAAAAATTATGACGTCTTGAATTAACCACCCCCTTTTATTCTAAAACGATAACTGCGGTTGTAAACAAACTTTGGTTTATTCGCATGGCGATTACATATATAACTATATATTTTAAAAAGAAAATAGAGTTTTACCATGAATAGTTTCCTGCACGTAGTCTTTTTCAGTAAAATGTGCCTTGCAAACAACAGCTGATTGAGATGGACTCCACGATTTCATCGTGTTCTCGTCCAATCTGCGTATGGGCCATGGCGTTGATCCAACTTTTCCTTCTTTTTAAGTCATTTGGAAATGCATGTCCTCCTCTTAAATGTCATCCAGGTACACAACAACATGTACTTGGCATCGTTAATTAAAAATGCACCTGTAATAGTTGCACAGTGCAGAAACCGGAAGTTGAATAACAGGATCGGCTACCACGGCGCCACCTATTCAGGAACGATAATTTGCTACTTTATATAACCGCGAAATAACAATTACGTTAGACGGGTTCGCGTGCATAAACAGAAATGCGCTTTAAATTGTATAATATAATTCATGTTCAGTCGACCTTTAATTATTATATGAACGACTGAAATTATTTATAAACATCTAGATGGCAGATAACACTCGAAATTAACCCGACCTCTTTGCACACGGAATTCAAATAATTCTAGTTTGTCAATCGGTTGACTGCTTATAATGTAAAATACAAATATATCAAAAGTTTTTAAAACTAACAAAACACAATGATCGTTTCTCTATTTCCCAATGTAAATGAAATGAAACAAAAAACATTTTATATCACAATAAGAAGAGGAGAGAATCAACATTTTCCGGATCTACTTGGAGCCTAATGACCCCCCACGTAGATAAGTTGGATATCGCGGAAAGAAAGATTAACACGGCAACTAGAAAGGCATTAAAGCACTGCCTTTAAAAACTCATCCCTGGCTGGTGTAATGTGTATTGTGATCAGTTAGAACAACATTTAACCCAAATTATTGTATTTTAATCACTTCTTTCGTGTTTTGCACTATATAATTAGGACTTCGGTACATTCCAAGGTGATTTGAGCAGTTCCAGGTTCTTACTTTAAACATTTTTTATGAGGATCTATCTGATATTATCATATCAACATTAAACTAACCTCCCGTTTTGTAGATTGTGAATCTAACAGTAGGGTTCTGGCATCTATCACAGCTTGGTACATCTTTAATGAAGCTCCATCTGAAGCCACAAACAAAGCACTGGGTGAATTACTATATGTACCTAATGTAGAGCTTGGAAGCAGTGTGGGCACCCAGGCCACATCTATAAAAGCAGAAATATCTGGGGCATTAATCCTGGCTAGTTCAACAATGCCACCTGATTTTGACAATGGCCCAACAGGATCAACTCTCCACAATATTAACTCACTACAAAACTCAATGCCCCCTTTCTTATCCTCCTCCTCAGTTGTATCTAAATCCTCACTACTGTCTTTGATTGGAACATTGTGATGGGATGTTGTCAACAGTAATGGTAATACAGGGTGGCATGCAGCGTTATTAGTCCTAAATCTATGGCCACATGCTCTAGAGGCATGTGCCACACTAACCACAGTAGAAAATTTAGAAGTATCAGAAAAACTAATTTGCCATTGGTTAAGACTTCCATTTGAATGTTTTGAGATCATTAAAACGTTTGGAATCAGCATATTATCATTCTGTCCAGGAGAGCTTTTTCCTGAGGCTGGTGCAGGTTGAGAAGGGATTTTCTCTGAACTTAACCTACTCTCTGTCAGCCTCATTGCTGATTTGATATCCATTTTACTATAATTACAATATAACATCAAGTTAGTTGCCATTGTTCGAGCATCAGCTACAGGGAAAGCATGTGGTAAACGAGAAGAAAAGCTGACTTGTGCCTGCCGAAAGCAATATGGACTATATTCATCCAACCAATCCACTAACCTGTAATATAAAGCCAAGGATCATAATTTAAGTCAGGCAATCTGCAATTTTATGGATATTTTTAAACAAATGCCTAGTGATAATTTGGTAAATTAATAACAAAAGTGAAAATTGTAAAGTACACTATCGTGCCAAAAGTGAAGATAATTTAACAACGTCATGTCAATTGTGGGTTGGAAGTGACAACTTCAAAAGCAGTTTTCTCTGTAAATAAGTTGGGAGTTATCTCTCTTATTGCACAAAATGAAAGTTATGAGGTCAGTCAAGTTTGGAATCATGTGCTTTGTTAACATTTCATATAGTTTTTAAAATAGCCCTAAAACAAAAGGAATTGTCATTGTTGGAGAAAATTGCCAGTGCAGCATTGCATAACGCTGGTATGAAAGGACCTGATATTGCACGGCAAACAGGACATCCACTTCCAACCATTTATGGAGTTCTACATGGTTTTAACAATCGAGGGAGTTTGGAAAACAAGGAGAGCATGGGTAGACCAAATCTGATAACACCACAGGATACTCGCAAACTTTGCACCACTGTCAAATCAAAGAGAAAACGTCCACTTCATGAAATAACTGCTGTTTTTAATGAATTGAAGGAAGAACTCATGTCTAAGCATACTGTTCAGAGGAAATTGTATGAAGAGGGTTATAAAAAGTGTGTTGTAAAAAAAATCCATTAGAATTCGTGCAGCTGTGCTACAAATGTCAAAAAAGGCTGGCATGGTGTAAATTGAACAGGCACAAAAATGTGGAAGGTTTTTGGAGAAGAGTCATCTATGGTGATGAATGTAAGGTGGAAATCGGAATGGATAATCATGTTTTAGTCTGGAGATGAAGAATGGACACCTTCCTGCTTAAATCCAATCTGTGGGACATGCTTGAGTTTGATGTTTTGGGGCTGCATTACCTATGACGGTGTTGGTACTATTACTGTTAGAACTGGTAATATTAATGCTTTAAAGTATAATGAGATTGTTCACAATTTTGTTTGGCCTGTTATTGCTCTTCATTTTCCTGATGACAATTTCATATACCAAGATGACAATGCCCCAGTTCAAAAGTCCAGACCTTAATATAATTGAGAATATGTGGGGTAAAAGTAAACTTAAACTGCAAAAACAGGCACTTAGTTTCACCACAAAGGCTCAAATAGAGACAACAATTTGTAACATATGGACAAATATACCCTTAGAATTCATATGAAAACTTTATGACTCGGTTCCGATATGTTCGAGGCAAGTGATTATGGCAAAAGGAAACATCATTAAATGTTAGGTGAGTATAGATGATTTTATTAATATAATCACAAAGGTTGAAAGTGACAGGTACTTGACAACTGTGAGTGGCAGCTATCTTGGAATCATTTTCACTTTTGGCACAAGTCTGTGTACTTAACAGTAGGTCCGAGTACACAGTTATCGTCCTTTGATTTTCGTTGTCCACAAATAAAGTCCCTAGTGTGGACAGTGTGTTGCTTGCCAATTTTTTTAGTACCCCTTCCAAATGTATTCCTTCATGTTTTATGCCTCAAATAGCAAGTAGGGGGATGAAATTACACTGTAAAAAAATTTGGGTCATGAATTGTAAAGTAGTGATTTGGTCCAGCTGAAAAAGGTTAAAAATTAGCACTTAGGAAGCTGTCAAAAGATTTCAAGACCCCCTTAACATAGAATTGTCCATATTTTGAGTTAGAGCCGATGAAGTTTTCTATAATTTTGATATAATTTGTCCCAAAAGTAGTACAACACACTGTAAAAATATTATTGAGAAAGCGCAGGTGGGATTTTTTTATTTTCATTTATTGTCTAAAAGAAATGCACTACGAAATAACTGTGTACTCGGACCTAAGAGGCGAAATCAGTAAATATAGAATCTGTACTTTGGCAACTTCCCTGAATGATTTAATGGTGTCAATTTGTCAGATAGCATGAAACTAAAGGATTTAAACTTTTATTTGATAGAAATTCTGCAAAAATTACCCATTTTGGCATTATATGGTCAAAATAAGCATTTCAAAGCTTTTTCAATTTTGATGCATAAGTGGCATTCTGACTTTCTATGTGACAGGTTTTCCTGTGTCAATATTTGTGTTTCTATGCTTTAACCCAGTTGTATTACTCATTTGTGAACTCTGAATCTACAGAAAATAAGATTATCTCAGACAATATGTGAAAAATGTGTTGTATAAATGACCCTCGTGTAACGGCCTGTTTGGATCAAGTTAAATGTGAGGACCTAGGTACATAAAAGTTGAAGTCCATAATAAAGATTTCACTAAATTTGTATTAAAAGCACTTCACAATGTCTTTTGTACCTGTTTCATTTCACATAGTATCTTTCTTTTCTTATGTTAAATAGCAAGTGGTTCAAATATAAGCCTGCTGAGGCTAAAATTGCATGCAAGTTTTTCACTAAAAAGTGAAAAATCTTTGTATCAGACCATACTGTCTGCAAAAAAAGTTGAATGCAAGAGTCCTTTTATGCTCAGATTTATTGTATCATGTAACCTGAGTATAGAAATTATAAAAAAGACACAAATTTTTATTTCCTATAGCTTCAGTATGCATTTTTAAATGTAAATATGTGCTACGGCCTAAATTGACCCTAAATTATTTTCAGTCTTACTTGGCTTAAGACCCTTTTATACTAATATGGTATGCTATTTGTAATTTTTCTTTCCATTTAAAGTACATTTAATACATATGTAAGGATTATTTATAACCAAAAAACTCCACAAATTTAAAATTGCTGGAAAATAATACATCTTCATGTAAGGCCCCCTTCATTGGAAAACCTCCATTTTTTGGCACAGGCTCATATAAAATTGACTTTTAAATAATTGTGATAAGTCTGATAAATCAAATGAGTATTCTTTTGCTTTAAATACATAATATGTCATATATTAAGGCCTTTAAAATGTAATTTTTTGCAATATTTTAATTTTTAAAGCCCCAAATGTTGATAGTTGAAATTTTTCAATTTAAACGTCAAAATTTAACACGCGAAGTTGAATATAGAATTTATCATATTGTCTATAATATATATCCTATTGCCATGAAACTTTGTCAGCAGTCTAATAATTTATTAAGCTTTTGTCATACCAAGTTTTATTAAGATTGGTCAAATTTTTCTATCCTATTAGGTCCGAGTACACAGTTATCGTCCTTTGATTTTCGTTGTCCACAAATAAAGTCCCTAGTGTGGACAGTGTGTTGCTTGCCAATTTTTTAAGTACCCCTTCCAAATGTATTCCTTCATGTTTTATGCCTCAAATAGCAAGTAGGGGGATGAAATTACACTGTAAAGAAATTTGGGTCATGAATTGTAAAGTAAAGTAGTGATTTGGTCCAGCTGAAAAAGGTTAAAAATTAGCACTTCGGAAGCTGTCAAAAGATTTCAAGACCCCCTTAACATAGAATTGTCCATATTTTGAGTTAGAGCCGATGAAGTTTTCTATAATTTTGATATAATTTGTCCCAAAAGTAGTACAACACACTGTAAAAATATTATTGAGAAAGCGCAGGTGGGATTTTTTTTATTTTCATTTATTGTCTAAAAGAAATGCACTACGAAATAACTGTGTACTCGGACCAGTATCTCTTACAACCATTATTAATAATTTGGTAAAGTTTGAAGTAAATTGCTCAATATAAAAATAAGAAGATGTGGTATGATTGTCAATGAGACAACTCTCCATCAGAGACCAAATGACATTGAAGTTAACCACACTATAGGTCATTGTACAGCCTTCAACAATAAGCAAAACCCATACCGCATAGTCAGCTAAGAAGATGTGGTAAAATTAAAAATGAGACAACTCTCCACTGCTCAATGCACACTTGAGTACGTTTATGACATGTTTATGATTGACAAATGGATTGATAACAGTATACCTTATGTCATTATACCTGCTCCACATGTAATGTCATTTAAAAATTGAATGCTTCTTTTTGTAAATTCATTGGGGTGTAAAAGCGTTGACCAAAGTAAATTTTGTATGAAGCGCAGAAGCGCTTCATTCTAAAAATGTACGCACGGTCAAAGCTTTTACAACCCTATGAAATTACCAAAAGAAGCATTCAATACTTATAATTACATTTTTTTGCAATGATCATGAATTAACACGATTACTATCAAGTTTTTCTTTTATTTACCTGTGCATTTTATTGTGGAAACGTGTGTCATCATGTATGTTTCAATTCATGCAATTCATTTTGAAATGAAGAATGACGCGAGATTGCTGTTAGCCAATCAAAATAACGTATAATAATGAAACATACATCTAATGTAATTATAAAGGTATAATGTACAAAAGAAATGAAACAAACTAAAATCATTCATAACTACAGATAAAATATCGAATATTTGGAATTGATATCATTTGGCACACTGTGTAAACATTTGAACTATTATAATTGTTTTACATTAACATAATATCTTGCAAATTAAAAATGAAAATCATCTGGACAGTATTTCTTGTATATGCATTCATTAATCCTGCATACGTCTGTACAAACGTTTCACTGGTTATTTCAGTCCTTTATGTTAGGGATCCCAGGCCACAAAGTATAATTTTTTTATCCTTACCCTCAAAATAAACAATGACAAAAGTCATAAGACATCTGAAGTATATAACAGTAGTTCACTGAATGTTAAAAATTCATAAAGTCATTTTGAATAATCAAGAGAAAAAGTTTTAGGGAATCAAATGAACTACCTCATAACATTGGAGCATGTCTTTATAACTGGATAAACTTCCCCATACCCTATTCTTACAGCAATCCCTAGATTGAACCATTAATTATAAAAATAAGAAGATTTGGTATGATTGCTTATGAGACAACTCTCCAGAAAAGACCAAAAGACACTGAAATTAACAACTATAGGTCACTGTACAGCTTTCAACAATGGTAAAACCCAATAAGTTTATATACTAACCAAACAAGAAAACTACCATCAATAGGATGTATACTAAACAGCATATCAGGACTTTGGTGCCAGTCTCTCAGTAGTCCTTCTATTTTCCTATCTAAAGCATCTATCACTGAACCCTGTAATTTACATCATTTATATATAACAATAGTTTATTCTATAAATTATAAAGTTCTAAACAATGAACAAAAATATTTAAACTTATTTAACATCATACATTTATAATGTTTATCTTTTTTAAAAATCAAACATAACTTTCTCTGCCCCATTCATTTAAAAAATATAATGTTAATACTTTGTACTTGTTAGAAATACTAAATATTTGATCAATCAGTGTTAGTACATGTACCTCTAAACTCCATGCTAAGTTACCTTAAAAGATGTATTGCAATTTCTATATAAAGTAACTTTATTTTAGTACCTTTTACACCTCCGTGCTAAGTATAAAACCTTATTGATACCTTGGTTGATGTAGCAACATGTTGTATACCTCAGGTGATTTAGGAATACTTCCAAACCAATTTCAACATTTAGTAACATGTTCTTAGTACCTCTTACCAGCATGCTTAGTATAAAACTTACTAATACCTCAGGTGAAGCAGGGATACTTCATGTTTCTAAATTTAGTAACATGTCGTTAGTACTTCTTACCTGCATGCTTATAATACGACTTACTGATACCTCAGGTGATGTTGGGGTACTTTCTGTTTCTATATTTAGTAACATGTTGTTAGTACCTCTTGCCTGCATCCTAAGTATAAAACTTACTGATACCTCAGATGACGTAGGAGTACTGCCTGTTTCTATATTTAGTAACATGTTGTTAGTACCTCTTACCTACATGCTTAGTATAAAACTTACTGATACCTCAGATGACGTAGGAGTACTGCCTGTTTCTATATTTAGTAACATGTTGTTAGTACCTCTTACCTACATGCTAAGTATAAAACTTACTGATACCTCAGATGACGTAGGAGTACTACCTGTTTCTATATTTAGTAACATGTTGTTAGTACCTCTTACCTACATGCTTAGTATAAAACTTACTGATACCTCAGATGACGTAGGAGTACTGCCTGTTTCTATATTTAGTAACATGTTGTTAGTACCTCTTACCTGCATGCTTAGTATAAAACTTACTGATACCTCAGGTGACGTAGGAGTACTTCCTGTTCCGTCCGAGCCATCATTAGACTGTATACTGCTTTGGCTCTCACAATCATTTCCTAGTTTTAATTCTTCCTTCCTCAGTTTATGTTTCTTTTTAGAATGTTTTTTCTTTTTCTTCTTTGCATGAACTATATCAAAAAAAAAAAAGATTAATAAATGCATTCACACAACTTTAATTTGTAATTATATAATTGTATGTGTAGAGATATATCTATAGTTGTATTTGTAATGGCTTCTTTATACCTTTGTATTTTGTCTTCCTTTGGTAAAATCTTTCAAAATTTTAAGGAAAATTGATTTTCTGTTTAATCTACTTTAAAAATCTTGTAATTCTCATATCACTAATATATTATTCAATTGAAGCCTCCAACTTGATTTTCTGTTAGTAAGCATAGGAGATGTCCTTGATAGGAAAAGCATTACTCCTTTAAAGATTATAAGATGAAGAAATTACAAATTCTTTTAGGTTTCAATATCCAAACTATCAAAATCAATTTGATAAAAAAAACAACTATAAAGTCAGCTTTAATTCTGTTTAAAAACAAAGGAAAATTATTTTCCCTGACTTTGCTTTGAATTTAAGGTTTTCAAAAGAAGCTTGTCAAAATGGTCTTACATCTGAATTGATTAGCTTTGAAGTTTCTATCAAAATCGTCACCATATCAGGACTTATATTATAATCAGAATGTCAAACCTTTACACTTACCATCCATATCGACCTGGTCATCTAGGTCATGACCTGAATAAGGATCACTATCTGATCCAATATTAAAGTCAGGATTATCCATCTGTCCCTCATACATCGTGCCTTTATGCATTTCCTGGAGTATGGTTTCAGCCTCCATAGTAAACTGCAATTCTTTGTTGTTCAACCAGTGAAGCTGAAAGTTGTGTTGGACATCACCATCTGTATTGACTACTGGTAAAAGTGGTATATCTAAGAATACAATAATCATATAATTAGTTTCCATGACAACTGGCAAAAGTGGAGAATTTTAAGGTGAAATAGTAATATAATTAGTTTCCATGACAACTGGCAAAAGTGGAGAATTTTAAGGTGAAATAGTAATATAATTAGTTTCCATGACAACTGGTAAAAGTGGTACATGTATATCTAAATGTACAATAGTAATAAATTGTTTTTAAATGTCATTTTGGGGCCTTTTATAGCTTGCTAAAAGGTATGGGTTTTGCTCATTGTTAATAATGGACAATAATTATTGTAAATTTCATGGGAAAACTTAAACCATGAATTTAAATGTTCAACAAAGTATAAATTTTTTATAAGCTTTTACACAAACTTCTGCAAAACCAGGAAATCAATTATCCACGAAACTACAAATTTCCCTCAATCCATGAAATTTGTATCAACGAAATTTAAAGAACTATTAATACTAACTAGATGAGTGTGTGAGGCTTACCTGTTTCTGGGTTAATACTGCCTGCCAAATGGAAATGAAGAGTAGGACATACTCCATTCTGATGAATGGCAAACTTATGAAAGTCATGGACACTTAGAGAAGTACCCATACTGTCTAAATGTGGTACACTCATTACTGTTTCTGGTCCAAACTTATGGTGCTTTCTTCTCTTGTGAATCGCATGTCTGAAATAATATAATTTTTCATCATTAGTTTAATTCATTTTAAGCCTGTCCAGAGCGACTTTATAAAGAAAGCTACTTTATTTTATAAACTCCTACGATAGGATTTTAACACTAAGGTGATATAAATCAAAAGATGTAAGAAGCTAATCTTACATTTACTTTTAAATGGAAATGCATAAAATAACAGTATTTAACAGATTGTCTCCCTTGTCTGATTAACACCAGTTTATTTCTAAGATAATAGATTGTTTGATTTATACATCAAAGTTTATTCAAAATACTTTAAATTTGTATACCAATACAATTTCACATCAAAAAAAGATCCTGTAAAAAGGAAAATTCACCATTTCAACATATATCAAATGAGTATTTAATTGACTTGATGAACAATTTTTTAATGTTTTCTGATTATGATAACTATACATTATTTCTAGCTGAAAGAGAACAACAAGGTTGTTACATTAAATTTAACATCAACAAAAAATCTATAAATACTTTTAAACATATTTTGCTGAAAGTGAAAGTAACATAGTGATTTACAATTATGTCATAACCCAAACTGAGGTGGTGAGGTAAGAAATAGCTTTATTGCTAGCATGTATATCTGGCCACTATCCAGAAGAATTGTATTTCTAGCTGAAATGATTGCTGACTTTTAACTGGTAATATCCTGGTATAGGTAGATTCTCTGGTAATAGAATGGGTAAAAGCAGTGCACCCACACCCGTACTACAGACAAAGTCTGTTGTATCATTGCATTGTTTTTCACATGACAGGAGTCTTTTCATAAATGTCAGAATTTAAATTTAACATTCTGCTTAATCGCATAGTATTCATTTTACTTTGTAGCTGATAGAGCAATAATACAACAAAGTCTGACTGGCCTTCTCTTATATTAAAAGACAAAGTATTGTCATGATTGTAGAATGTAGAGTAATGATTTTTTCAGATTGGAAAGGCAGTGGTCATTGGTAAGAAAATAGTGTCTGAGGCCTATGAATAACCTTTTTTTAAGAGGAATAGCTGATCACAAAATGTATGACAGGCTAATGGATTAAATTTTAGATCTATACTCAACAACAAAAGAAAATGACATTCTACTAATCAAATGCACTTTGGATTAATTTTGGCTAGTTTTATAAATGGCATTTGTTTTCCTCTTCTAACAAAAATAAGAAGATCATAGTATCATAGTAAATGTCTTTAAGATCTAAAATTATAAATCCTTTCAGTTTAGGGTTTGCTACTTAAAGTAAAAAAAAATCTCTAGCTTCAAAAACCTTATATTAGCACAAAATAGGTATATCATGGCAATAGGTAATTGTAGGTTGTGATACAGGATATGGGCAGTGCATTTGGTCAGAGTATTCTAAAATAAAAGAAGGTTGCAATAACTAGCAATTAATAGAATTAAAACCTTGACATTGTGGCTTCAGTTTTACTGAGGAACAAGCTCCTGGCTGACATTGAGTACTGTGTCGTAATTGAGCCACCTTGTTCAAAATTTCCTAACGACAACCTAGCCCTGTTGCCTAGAGACCTAGTCTTTTGAGTGAAGGTATCAGAAAAGTCAGCTGACTTCCTCTTTGAGTCAATTGATAAACTATTTTTAGAGTCAGCAGAGGAACTCCTCTGTTTAGGTCTAATTCTAAACAGTTTTGTGGAATCAGAAATGTCAGCTTTATTTTGTTGAACAACATAGTCTGAGTTTATTGACGTAATCTTAGTAGGAGAAGTCGGTGAATCCATTGATGATTTACTGATTGGTGATAATGGTGTGGTGGATGTGTCACTTAACACAGACTGATTATCTGCACTGTCTAAAGAATCAGGCTCAGAGATACAGATATAACTATCACTGTCGGAAATTATTTCAGCAAATGTTGATATGTCTGCTTTCTTTTCTGGTTTGATACTTTTTGTTATCTCTTTAATTTTATTTAGTTTTAACTTTGAACTGCTTCTGTAATAAACAGACATACAAAGAAAATAACCTACCTTCATATTAAAACATGCTAAATAACTAAACTAGTGGATAAAATAAATCATAAAATTCAATTTAAATAAACATAATCATTCAATATGGAGAAGTTTTTAAAATAAAATGAATTGCATGTCTTTAATTTTTTTACTAAATATTCTGGACTTTATTTTGAACCTTGTAATGACTGTTCACAGTTATGAAATACTTGAGTACATTCATTCATGAACAATTAGTAAAACTTTTAAAATATTCAGTTTCATTTTTCAAAGCATAGCAATAAGTCAATAAGATTTCAAATATAAGTGTCAGATGCCTTAAAACATACAACATGTACAAGGGATAATGCAAAAAATTAGGATATTTTACAGAATTGACATGAATCCAAACAAATGTATTCATTTTTTTTTCCATTATCTCTGAAAAATATTGTATCTGGTACAAGGATCTGGAATTTTTTCACACAATTTCGGTAATTTTGAGAGGACATAAAAGTTGGGCCTCATTTTCAAACTGTCGAAATTATTCACACTAGATTCATAGCATCGACGAACTTGTGTTGACTGTTTCATCGCATTTACTTCATGAATTTTCTTACCGCTTTTCTAAAAACGTTCAAGAACAGTTAATGGAATGCAACAGTTTAAATTGAAATGATTTTAATGACTAAAAAACGGTAAATTTCTCAGACATCGCTAACATTTCTTTCAATTTTGAAGACGAAATTAAAACCCGAAGTTTTACGACAATACTAAAGTACGAGTAATTCGAGATTCATTTCAGGAATTCATTCTATTTATATTAAATCAAATATTGACAGGAAATCACAGGATTTTAAATTTTATTACCTTTAAATGTGTTTGATTATAACATATAATAGTTGCATTCCTTTAATTTAGCATTTTACAAATTAAGTGTCTAATCAGGTGAAGACAATTTCACACATGCGTATTACATAGTTAATAAAGCACACGTTTGACTCGTGAAAAATTACTTTTCCTGTGTAAATTAAATCAAGTTTTAATTTTAAATCAGAATTGTAGATTGTCTTTGCTGTAAAGAAATTGAATAAAGAAGAAAGTTGTCATTGAATTTTAATTTCTTTGTAATATTAGTTCTGAGCTTGTGATCAATGTCAGGTGTGAATTAAAAACACAGGTAAAAAGTGATTTGTGATCATTAGCCAATATTTCCCGTAGGAATTAATATGGTTATTAGGACGGCCCTCGGGATTATCATACTATACTGGAGTGGCAGTTTTATTACAGGAAAGGGATTACATAACAAAAACAAGTGCAAAATGGCGATAAAGAAACCTGATCTCAATGAAATGACAGAAATTAGTTCTGTAAAAAAAATTAATTTGTCCTAAATCCCAATCTGCCGTTTAGGACAAATAGCTTTCAGTTTAGGACATGACTGTCAAATATGACTGTTTTCAGGCCCTTGATCTGGTACAAAGTACAACAAATCTACAAATAACAACAATCCTAAACTTAAACATGCAAATGAAGGTCACTGATTTAACACTAAAACTTAGAAATGTGCCTCTCACAAATATCCAACACAATGGAACAAGTGTCTTATATCTGGATATTAGTAAACTGTGCTAAAGCTGAATGTATAATATAATAGTTTGTTAGTAAACCACAAACTCAATGGTTTTTATAGGTTATTAGCTATATAATAAACTGTTAGAGCTACAAAGCAAAACTTTCCCAGCTAAAATTAACAACATATCCTAATAAACCAATTTTGTACTACCTGGCTAAATGCATTATAAAGCAAATTAACAGCACACTCAATATCCTTAAAACCATGTTAGCGCATATAATGCAATCTGTATGAAAATATACACTTCAATCATTTTAAATGTCCATTTCTTACACTGAGTTTTATTTCACAGATGAAATGAATTTTTGGACATACACACCTGATGGTTTTCAATCTTTGCATGAAACGTTTCTTATGTCTGTGTGTATGATATTTAGGATCAAATGATGCACTAGGATCAAACTGTTCTAAATCCACTAATCCATCATCTGGGAGCACTGTCTCTATCCATAGTCGACAGACGTTGTCAGCACAAGACGATACTAGCATGTTAGCTACAGATCCCCTGAAATGTAATATTGTTGTATGAACAAAAATAAAACTTGGCTTTTCTGCTATATTCCATACTTGTTCATCTTATATTATCTCTATCAAAAATATCTTATTGACATTTTTTTCTTTTTTTATTCATTTCACAATGTTTTACAATGAAAAAAGTTTTCAAAGTCCCAAGCCTGAAATTTCGGCAAAAATCAGCGGAGCAGAACCAAATGTAAACTTAATCTGTAACTCATAATAGTGGACTCACATACTAAAAATCAGCTCAATATGTGAAGGTATTTAAAAGAGTCTGTATAACTGGGTCAATATCCCAAATGCGCCTCAAATTGAGGAACACAAAAGTTGTGCGTAAACAGAAAATCTCTGTGTAGTGATATTGGACATGTTTCTATTTTTAACAAGTGAATGAGCTTAACCATTTGTGTTGATTTGGAAAGTAGAGGACCATAGAATAAATGTGTAAAAACTATGGATTTATTATAAAATGTATGCAAAGTATTAAATTTTCCAAAAACTTATTGTGAGAAAAAAGGGATTTTTTAATACAAGGAGCCGCATCACGAAAGGATTTTCCGGGGGTGCTAATTTACGGAAAAATGAATCCCACTTTGTACCCCGAAAAATTTAACCACATATGGGAAAATGTCTTAGCTTCGAAACGAGCCATCATACATATCCAAGTTTACGATATGGACTGAGCTACAGAAGAAAATATTATCCATACCGCCTTTGGGAAATCAATTACACATACTGACCCAACTGTTCGTTGTGGAATGACGGAATGACGGATAAGGGTAAAACTATATGGTCAGACAACTTTGTTAAAGAGCCTGTGTTGCTCACCTGCATCTTCAACAATGGCCACTTTTTAGTACAAATCAGCATTAAAGGGGAACAACTCTATCATGAGTTTACTGACAATTTCAGTAATGTTGACATATTTGCAGATCTTATCCACCTGATATTTTTTTCCTTTTTAAAGTTTCTATTTATCTATTGTAGTTTTCGAGATAATAGGCATAAAATGCAAAAAACTGTAAAAAAATTAACACCAAAGGGCAATAACTCCAAAACATGTTGACTGAAGATTTCTGCCATTATGGCTCTTTTGTAGATCTTGTCTTGCTGATCATTTGTGCTTTTTTAATAAAGTTTCTATCTATCTATTACAGTTTTTAAGATAATAGGCAATAATGGGAAAAATCGTCATTAAAGGGCTAATTTTAAACTTCAATAAGAAGTCAACTAACGATTTTGTTCATGGTGACTTATTCATCATTTGTAGATCTTGTCTTGTTCATCATTTTTGCTTAGTATTGTTTCTATCTATCCACCCATAATAGTTTTTAAGATATTAGGCAAAAAAGGGCAATAACTCTAATAAGGAGTCAACTGACATTTTTAGTCATGTTGACTTATTAGAAGATCTTGTCTTGCTGATCTTTTTTGCTTGTCAAAGTTTCTGTCTACCAATTATAATTTTCGAAATAATAGGAAAAACGGATGATGCCCCCGCTTGCATATAATGTTATAAAGGAGCATAACTCAAGAACGATAAAAGTGACGCCACCCAAATTCGAACCTGATCTGTATTTAGTAGTAATAAGCATTTTGTATAAGTTTCATGACATTTGGTTGAGGCAAACTAAAGTATTTGGGACATACGTACGGTTGATGTACGGGCGGACAAGGGTAGCACTTAATGCCCCCTCCAGTGATGGCAGAGGCATAAACATTTTTAAAAAGTAAAATTCGTCATTTAAGGGCAATAACTCCTATTAGAAGTAGTCTGACAGTTTTAATGAACATTTTTGTTCCAGACAGAATTTCTCTATTCAAAATAATAGGTAAAACTTGCATTTTACCCCTTTGTTCTATTTTTAGCAATGTTGGCCATCTTGGTTAGCTGTAGGGGTCTTCTGACACATTTTATAACTAGATACTCCAATGATGATTGTGGCCAAGTTTGGTTAAATTTGGCCCAGTAGTTTCAAAGGAGGAAGATTTTTGTAAAAGTTAACAGATGACGATGGACGATGAGGGAAGACGGACGCAAAGTGATGAGAAAAGCTCAATTGGCCTTTCCGCTAGATGAGCTAAATAAGTAGGAACATATCAACAAAACAAAGATGCCAACTAATGACCAGCACTAAGCCAATCCTGATTATTTTTAAAAAGGATACAAAAGCTAAATGGCAATCAAAAACTGATTTTATACATGGAAAATTGTCACACTACCAGTAATTATCATAAACAGAACCAAGTAATGCATGTACAAACCTCGGCATAAATTTGCTAGTTTTTCTCCAAGAAAATCCTGTAACGGTCCTAGGGTGTGCCACATATACAAAGGAATAATGTAGCTCTTCTTTCTTAGGACTTATTAAACTGTCCCCTCTTGATAAGGCTGATGGAAAAGATACTGTAAAAAAAGCATATATTCAATAAATCATGTCCGGTATTTTAACATGTAAAAATAACTTCTTTTTTAAAAAAATTTCTGTAATAAAATCAATAGACAATAGGCATCTTTAAGGTTATTGAATAAGTTTTTGTAATGTTCAATATTTATGCTAAATACTGATCATCAATGTTTATCTAAAATATTTGTTTCTCTTCTCTTTTAACTTTGCTGAAATGAATGATGATGGATGATGGATTGGTGTCCAGTGGCAAATATTACATAATATCAGGACAAGAAAATGTTAATCTGATATCAATATGAACCCTGTTTGTATTAGACTGGTCAATACAATAAACCAGATTTAGCATGCTAGCCAACTAGGTAACAATCAGCATGCAAGACAAGTCACCCATCACAGACACATATTCTGACTCTGAACCGACCAGTCTTTGCTCTTACTCCTAAAATTGTGTGTGCTTAGGGAAGAAACAGCCAAATACTGATGCACATTTGCTGAAAAGGCACTTAAGACTTATTATCAAAACAGTGCAAGAAGTATGAATACATGTATTAGGGATGTTAAATCTTTGGCATTTTGGTCATATAAATGACAGGCCATATTTCCAAAATTTTGCTGACAGGTCATAGTGTCCACTATGCCTGCTGACAGGCCATAATTTCCATTATGTTTTATGACAGGATGTAAGGTGCACAATGTTGCTGATAGGCCATATTGTCAACTGCACAAAAATATTCTTCTCTCTACAAAATACTCACTTTTTCTGTCCTCATACCAAATCTTCACTAGACGATCATTCTGAAAAAGTAATTATTTTTATCAATATAACCCACTGCTATCCGAGATGCTTCACAGAAACTACTTCTATTACTAGATAGTTTTATCCTTTATTTTCCCGCATTTTGAGGACACAAAAGAGGTGACCAATTGTGTGCTACCTAATGAATTCTAAAATGCTTCTGTAAGCATTAACTTTGATGTAAATACATTAAAAGACCTAGAAAGCTAAATGACATGTGAACTGCAGCTAGATCAGATTTTTAAGTGATGACTTCAAGTAAGGGTTTAAAAGACAAGATACTGAACAGCTTTCATAGTTCTTAGTTTACAATACAAGGACCATTTTAATATCTGGTAAGCTAGGACTTGCAGCAGAAGCTTGTCCATCTGTCGACAATCAGGTGATTTTTATGGAAGATATTACAGGACTGTGTTTATGTTTTTACTGCCATGTAATTTTATGGATGCAAAAAACAAATCAGGGTAATGAGATAATGACAACACTATACTATGCATCTGCACATTTGTGAAAAAAAGATGTTCTAATAGTCATTATCTCCCTGACTTGGTTTTTATCCATACAATGTAATTTCTCCAACTTGGCAAATATTTAATCATCTTAATCAAGAAAACAGTTGTGCTGAAGTGCAGCCCAGTAGATAGACACACCAATTTACTGTTTTCTCAAATAGTATGTAAAGAACTGTCCACTTAATGTACTACTGACCTGTCCAGCAGAGGCAAACAACAGTCCATCATGGGAGTACTTCAGGAAATAAACAGGAGAAGCTGGTCTGTCAAAATAATATACAACAACAAATTTAGACGTCAATTTTTTAGATTAACTGAACATAATTTATAGTGGAAAACATTTATATCATTTAAGCATATGCATTGTAGACTAGTGGCAATCTGATTAAAATCTGATGTATTGATACGCTGCGGGTGGAAAGTATCGTAGCGAAAACTAACAGCTGATTTTAATGAGATTGAGACTAGTGGGTAATTATAGAAATCCCCTTAATCTGTAATCCTAATTCACATTTTGATGATTTGATGGCTCAATTTTAAAGGATGATCCAGATTTGCATTTAATTAGTGTCTGGGTAAATATTCTCCAAACATACTGTGATTGTTTTTTCTCTGTTCATTAATTGCGAGAATACCTTGTTGGTATCCTGTTCCTAATAACTATCTAATCATTTTCAATGTGCCTCAAAGGAATGAGCTGAATACAAAATCTCCTTTCTCAAGATACACTTCAAGAAACCTTCAAATCAGTATAACAGATGATAAAATCTTACTTAATCAAGATCCACTCCAAAAATATTTCAAAGAAGTTAGTAACAAGATGAGTGAATCTGACTTAATTCTCCACATAAATTCCTAGAAATCTCTAAATCAGTACACCTAGATATATAGAATAATGACATTTTTGTTTTTGAAACTGACTTTTTCAGCAAGAATATTAAAAGCCGGGAAGGGCAAACTGATATTTAAGCTGATATAGTTAGTATAAAAAAATAAAATGCCATTATTATTTTTATCAGCAACTTGTTTTAATAATATGTTTTTGGTTTTTTTTTAATATATATGAAATAATAAAAGTTATCAAAACTATTTTAAAGGGTATAAAACTTTGCGATGGTTGTTCAGTTGTATGAATGAAGTCGATGCATTTCATTTATAAATTGACACAGATGGACATGAAATTGATTTTGCTGCACTGTTACATTACTTCATTGTCTTAAACATTGGAGTATCAAGTCCTGTCCATGATCTAAAAAAAATATTATGCAGTAGGATCAAAGGGAAAATGTGCAAATTATCAATAAAATAAATCTTACTCATTTCTCCAAATACATTCCAAGAAACCTGCAAATCAGTGCACCAAGATGGCAAAATCTTACATAATTTTCCAAATACTCTTAACACACTCTAGGAAACCTCCAGATCATTTCACCAAGATAAAAAAATCTTACTTTAAAATTATCCCATTACTGCATCATTCAAAGAAATCTCCAAATCAGTACATGAAGATGATAAAATCTTACTTGATACTCCAGATGCAGTCCCACACTGGAAGTGAATCCTCATCATAAGGATGGTGTACCTTCCCCTCCTCCTCATGGTCTCCTACAGAAAACTTTACGCTCTTGTTTTCTTCATCATGTTGCTCATGATCCAGGTGCCATATCTGGATAACATCCCCTCCTGTCAGAAGACGTGATCCTGCACACAAAAAAAAAACCCAACATTATCAGATTTGGATATTATATTTTACATTTTCCCTCTTTTGAGTTTTTCTTTTTTTTTATTATGGAACCATACTGTAAATACATTCTTATATGAAGGTACATCTGCAATATTTACATTGTATCTCAAAGATATAATTTCATACCAGACTTTACCTTTTTGGTTACATATGAAACTGTTGAATAAAGGCACTGAAAAGAGGACCAGGTACAATATTTTTAACTGCATCACTTCACATCTCAACACTTTACCTTCAAGATTCCAGCTTAGACAGTTAATCAAACTTTCTGCTTCAAACAATGCTGTCTGATACCACTGATAGTCCAATTTCTACAAACAAACAATTTAAAACATACTTCAAACTGTTACAAACTACAATATAAAAAAACTTACAAATTCATCTGTTTATAAGAAAAAATGCTTAATCTAAAAAAAATCTTACTTTTAATGTGCCAAAAAAGTTAGAGTCTACTTCTTTAAAATACATGTACAGTCTACAATGTCTAGTCTGGTAATTATGCTCATAGGTTTTGTGAACATATTGTACTTTTGTGATGAATGAAATTACAAGCCAGCATCCTAGATAAATAGGGTCACCATAAAAATAAATGGGGAATGTGTCCATGGGACACAGATGATGCCCCCACTTGCATATAACATTATAAAGGGATATAACTCTAGAACGGTAAAAGTGACGCCACCAAAATTCAAACTTGATCTGTGTTTTGTGGTAATAAGCATTGTGTATAATAACATTTGGTTGAGGCAAACTAAAGTTAGAGAACGGAAACCAATTTTGGGACGTATGGACGTACGTACGTACATACGGACGGACTGACAAGGGTAAAACTTAATGCCCACTCCCCAACGGTGAGGGCATAAAAACATCCATTTGAAAACATAATTGAATCTAATAATGTTATACATAAAAGGATGGAATGATTTAATATGGCTTGTAGGTACCATAGAGCTGCTCGAGTGTTGTATTCATTATCAAATTTTGTACAATACATGGTTAATAATTTGAACAATATTTAAATCTGACTTTGTATGTTATCATTTTAAATTAATAAACAAAGCATTGCTATGAGAACATAATTCAATGTCAGAGATTAAGATCTTTAAGGATGTTCGCTACTCTGTTTCAAAATAACAAGCTTTTTAAAAGACTCTTTAAAATTTAGACTGATAGTATATAAATAATGGAACTGAAAAAAAACAGAAAAAAATGAAGGGTCTGTGTGCTTGTTTTTGAGATATAAGCCATTGAAAATTTGGAGGGAAATGATTCTCTCTAGATTTTCCATACTATTAACATTGGCACCTTTTTTCTTTCAAAAAGTATGAAAAAATAACAAGGATTTTACAAGTTTTAAAAATATGGCTTTTTAAACTATATGTTATAAAACTATGAAAAGAAAAGTAGGGCTTAGTGGTCAAATTTTGTAATGGCAATACATGGATAAAATCAGAGGATTCCGAATATCTGACAAAAATTCAAAAACAAGAGGAGCAAACATCCTTAAACAATCATTCTTGTACCTTTATAATGTAAGGCTCAACTTTGTGGTGTTTTTTTAATGTAACTTGTTTGAAATCATAGTGATAAACATAAGATACATATAATATATTATTTATTTCTAGTTTTGGATTCATTTATGAAATAACAGGTTAGCATTTATATATCAAAGACATTCAATCATATGAAAATTAAAGAAGAGTATATGGTGTTAATAAAGACAAATAATTTTAGAATTCTTCAATCCTTTACAGAAATCATTACACAGCTTGGTATATTGTGAAGACACCTGTTTATTGTTTAAAACTGTATGTTGTCCTCTAGATGTCTTTTGATTATTTTTGTCATTGGGTTGCTGATTCACTAATGTATACTATGTATCTCCTTTTATTCATAAGAAATCTTATGCAGACATTTCACTGTTATGAGAGTAGCATATATAGCATACATAAAAAAAAACAAAAAATAGTCTAACAAATCATTACTATCAGGGGTCAATTTTTACAGTTTCAGGCATATTGGTACTTGCATTTTTGAAGATCTGGTATTTCTGAAAATTTTAACAATGGAAGTTTTTTCTAACTTTAATAGATTTTTAAGTTAATAGGGTAATTCGGTTAAGAAGCCAGTGACAAACAATGCACCAGAGAGTGATACATATTTCTTACAAATAACTGTAATTTTAAAATATGTATAATATTTGGGTAATTTTTATATCAAATGAAAGCTTAAGGACTTTGCATCACTGTAGAACCCTTGGTGAACGTTTGTTTTGAATAACTAAAAAAAATTGAAAATAGTAAGGAATATTTTGCCAGTTTTTCTAAATATTAGAAGTACTTCTATTCGTATCTGAAAATCTTGGAAGAAATGCAATTAAACTTAAGTTGATTTGTTTTTAAAATTGTCATTTAAGTGTGATAACTCCCATAAGCAAATGTCTGATAATTTTGGTACAAATGGTAAGTTGGTAGAGCTTGTCACCTGAAGATTTTTGCTGGTCAGATTTTCTATAGCTATTATAGTTTTCAAGAAACTAAACAATTACCAGTCTTGTACCATTATGTTTTATTTTGGCCCTTGGTTCCTTTTTGTTGAGGAAGCAGATTAGTAGAATAAAATTAAAATCCAATACTAACCATTCAAAAATATGTCAAAATTTGAATACATGAATTCTGCAAGTATTTTTCAATTTAGTAGTGACAATTAAAAAAATTTCAATCAGAAATAAATTCAAATTAATTTTGGAAAACTGAGATTTGTATAAAATAATCATTGTCTGCATGCTAGCACTGTAAGAATTTTCTTGTATGATGAAGTTTTTCTGTAAGAGAAATTCATGGTTAAATTTATCCAGAAACTAACTGAAGAGGGTCGTGACAAATATGACTCATAACAAAGATGAATGATTGTTGTTTGCTTTATGTCCAGTGGCAATTATTTCATGCATGGTTGGGACGAACAAAGAATGTAAAGCTTAGTCTTATACAGATTTATGGTAAGGCAAATTTATTAAAGTAAAGCATTCAGTATTCAGTCAAAGAATTAATAAAGAAGACAAAACTGACTCTTGCCCAATATAGCTAAGTATCAAAGCATAATCTAGCTAATTTATAGCTATGACATCATAGCTAAAATCAAAGCATGGTCTAGCCAGTGATTTACAAACCTTTCCAAAACGATGATTCTGTATAAATATAATCACATCTTTATATAAAAGGAGCTTCCTTTGATGATTTTATAATATAAAATAAACTTATGTAAATTCACTACTAAACTGGGTAAATGACTAAATGATACACTTGTACTGCTTTTGAAAGTATTATCATGCAAAACTGACTTTTTATATTGATATATACATGTATATGCATAAAAACATAAGCTCATGCAACCATGCACCTAGATGAATCAGGCCTTCCTGAAGTTTATTCAATTGATCAAAATAATGCATTTACATTCCAACTTTCAGTTGATAACATAGTGGATATACTTCATATAAAATGACTAATCAAAGATACAAGGCATATACTTTTGTATACAAGACACACCTTTGATAAGACTCATTAGTTACAATCTAATCAAATACAAGGATGGAAAGCATTAAAAACAGAAATTCCAAAAAGTTGTGCTAAATAAGGCCAGGGCAATCTATACCGGGGGTAAAAACACATTAATAGTGTTTTGAATAATTCAACATTTTAAAACCAGTAAATTTACAGAAATATAAAACAATGTTTTTTTTTCAGTTGTAAAATCTCTGTTCTCATTTATTTGGCCAAAAGTGGCAGGAATTAATTCTTAAATTAAACAATTATTGTTAAAGCGTTCAATCAATAGATATGTTTTGATTGACACAATTTGAGCAAGAGTTACTACCCTTTTGTCACCATGTTGGAGGTCTAAGTGCACAAATTCCTTCATAAATCAGCCAAATTCAACTTGTTATAGGGACAGCTAGACTTAAGAAAAAGAGGTTTTCTGAACAATTTTTATTTCTTTTAGCCTTGCTTCTATTTATCACTTTGAACAAGTAAGGATCTTTAATCAGACTTGTGTGTATTGCATCGATATCAAACCTTCATCCCTCAAATTCTTTTTTTTTTTGCATTTTTTTTCTTCCAGAAATGTAATAAAATGATCCGCTGGGGCGCAGCTTGATACGACCGCAGAGGTCGAACCCTGAACAGTTGGGGCAAGTATGGACACAACATTCAAGCTTGATACAGCACTGAATTTGGATTGTAATTAAATATTTGACACAGCATAGGTTTCTGACACAGAATGAAAGTGGTCTAAGAACTTAAAAATTTTCAATTTACCTATTCATACATGTGATGGACTGTGAAACTCAGATCAGGAGATTGGGAAATTTTGGTCAGGAGATTAGGACTCAGATCAGGAGGTTTTTAATCGACATTAATTTTGTTGTAAATGTAACCGTGTGCTGTAAAAATGGTCTTTTAAAGTGTGTTTTCTTCAACTTTCCAACCAATTTATTATGTTTATAGTACCCTTGTACTTATAAAGTTTCTCCATCTTTATATTCTACATGTTCAATCTAACATTGTTTTTTTCCAGTATGTTCTTTAAATTTTTTACTTCATATTCTATAAAACAATCATTGCAACCAGAACATTTGTTTAGCTGTCTGCAAATAGTTTTTATTTTTTTTTTTTTTCTCTTGCAAATAGTTTTTATTTGCAAACTCAGAAATTCATTCTATCTGTAAAGTTAGGGTCATAGTTATTATAAAAATTTCAATTTAAGCCTTAAAAGGAAGTATAGAATCCTCAAATAATTTTCAAATTATTATTTTTTTATTTGTCCTAAGACATTTAAAATCATTTAATAACCATCCTTTTATGATTATTTGTTCAATTTATATTTTATTTATATTCTTTTATAAATTTTCATTATTAAAAGGAAAGTAACTTAAAACAGGATAAATCAAGGGAAGTAACCCAATAAATACACAGTTTTTGTTACACAACGGCAGTTAGCCTGAGGTAAAAATCGTTGCTTACCAGTATGTTTGACACCCAAGCTGACAAGTGAAGCCATATAATTATGCATGTTAATTGATTTACAGGTAAAATATAACTTCAGGTAATGTCAGTTACACCAGATGCCTGAGATGTTATGTTGGGCAGAAATTTTTCATTCATGAAAAATTTCCATTCATGAAAAATTTCATACACAGGATTTTTTCAACGGAGGGGGGGAGGAGACCCCTGAAAACGGGATTATTGTACTCCCGTCGGGAGGTTCACATGTATGCCTATTCAAACCATATCATTATTATTTGCTTTTATATATAAATCAGAAATAACCAATTTAAAATGGAAAATGTTAAAGAAAAAAAAGGAAAAAAAAAATCCCCCCCCCCAATTTTTTGAACCCCCTTATGATTTATCGCCCCCAAACTCAATCCCAGCTTTCCCTTTGTGGTATGGTACCTTGCAGTACAATTTCAGAGAGATTCATACACTTGAACACAAGTTATTGTCTGGAAACTAGAAAAATGCTTGTTTTTTGGCCCCTTTTTGGCCCCAAATTCCTAAACGTTTAGGGCAATTACCCCCAAACTCAATTCCAGCTTTCCCTTTGTGATATGGAACCTTGCAGTACAATTTCATAAAGATCCATACACTTACACACAAGTTATTGTCCTGAAACTAGAAAAATGCATGTTTTTTTTTGCCCTTTTATGGCCCCTAATTACTAAAATTTTGAGGGAAAACCCCCAAAATCAATCCCAGCCTTCCCTTTGTGATATGGAACCTTGTAGTACAATTTCATAAAGATCCATACACTTACAAACAAGTTATTGTCATGAAACTAGAAAAATGCTTGTTTTTTGCCCCTTTTTGGCCCCTAATTCCTAATATTTGGAGGAAATTACCCCAAAAATCAATCCCAGTATTCCCTTTGTGATATGGAACCTTGTAGTACAATTTCATAAAGATCCATACACTTACAAACAAGTTATTGTCATGAAACTAGAAAAATGCTTGTTTTTTGCCCCTTTTTGGCCCCTAATTCCTAAAATTTGGAGACAATTACCCCCAAAATCAATCCCAGCATTCCCTTTGTGATATGGAACCTTGTGGTACAATGTCAGAGAGATCCATACACTTACACACAAGTTATGTCTGGAAGTTACAAAAATGCTTATTTTTGGCCCCTTTTGGCCCCTAATTCCTTAACTGTTAGTACCATAACCCCCAAAATCAATCCCCACCTTCCTTTTGTGGTATTGAACCTTATGGTAAAATTTCAATGAGATCCATTCACTTAAACTAAAGTTAGAGTGCGAAAACTAATGTGTATTCGGACGACGACGCCGAACGACGCCGACGACGCCAACGTCATACCAATATACGACCACAAAAATTTTTTTGCGGTCGTATAAAAACCATAAATTGATAATTATCTTATTTCAATTCCTGAATAAAGATGCTCAAAACATAAAAGTTCTATAAAACTTTCAAATCAGGAATGACTTAATTTTACCTCCGATACCTGAATATATGTTAAAGCCATAAACCTTCATACCACCATGGACTATTGACTATACCTATTACCAATATCATTAAGATTAAGAGGCTGTATACAGCGACACCATATCTAATTATATATACGGGGTGGACATGCCAAATACTCTGTTAGTAAAATATTAGGACGTGATCAAAATATCAGGAAGTCATAATTACATGTGGATGAATAGTGCACTCATCCTCTTCCTAAAATATAAGTACATTTCAACTGAACAGTAAAGCTAGTACTAAGATAGAAGAACATATAAAGAGACAAGACAGTTTGATACTGAATCCAACTCAAAATATTTAATTATTAGATGAACTCAGAATATTTATGATCTACATGTATATGCAAATTTATTTACATAAAATATCCATAAAAGGATCTGTGAATGAATACTGATTAATGTTTATGAACATGATGTACGATAAGTAAATTTATTTACATGAACTTCTAATAAAGGGATCAGCTGACGAATTCTCATAAAGAATTATGTAATAGAGAATTACTGCTAGACTAAGTCTGACAATGATTTCCAATAATCAACTAACGTTACATGTTTGATTTATGGATGTGAATAAATTCTTCAGTATACATGTATTTACACAATAATTTGACTTTGGTCTCAAATAAATTATTGAGTGGGATTCATTTCATCTAAATTAATATAAGAAATGACTAAAAGCAGAAAAAAGTTGCTTAAAAAAAAAGAAATGCAATCGTGAACTTGATTGTCTGTTTCGTTTTACAGATAATTGATATACATACATGTATAAAGATGCATGATTTTACCCTATTTTTATATATATACAGGACGCAAAAAACTGACATGGATAGTAACTATTAAATCATGTAAATGGGGGCATAATTCTTTCTAAAAACATTATTTCCTAAATCTAACATTACAACATGCAAAAAAGGAGGCAACCATTGAGTGTTCCTTTTGAGGTGCTGTTTTCAAAATATGAGTTTGATTCCTGGCTACAATTGAAATGTAAATGTGAGAACACTTTTTGTTTTGACAAAGTTTAACAAAATATTATTTATGTTTATTTGTTTTTTTAGCCAGTTTGAAAATAATTAAAAGCCCTCAGCTGTATTCTTATATGTTAATCCCAAATTAAAACTATTTTGGAAAATCAATCACACAGGTTTAAATAGTTTGATGGGTAATTGTAATGAAGAATACCACCAGAGATAAATAAAACTCCAACAAAGAGCAGCAAGAATAATTTTCGATGCCCCTTTCTTTACACCATCAAAGAACTTTCTGACAGATTAAAATTGGTTTAGTTTCCCAGACAGAATTTCTTGTTTTTATTTAAAAGTTTGCTTCAACGAACATATGACGAAAGTCTACAAAATCAAGAAACCAAAAACAATCATTTTCCATCTACCTCTTACATGTATACAACAAATTATCTAAATGAATGTTAGAGCAGTCAGGTTTGAATATAGGAAACTAAATCAAATTCTACAAATGATTTAACATAAAGATAAAGCTCAAAGGTATTAAAAGAAAATAATGCAAACAGACAAAAAATAAAATGTATGTAAGTTTTATGTGTACAAGCAATATAAATAATATAATATCGAACACTTACATGTGTACTTTCATGGTGTAATAATGGTGTTGGTTCAAAAATGTACACTTTACTTTTATATGATGCTGCAATCTACAAAATAAACAACAATATTGCCTGGTTAATATGTACTTTTGTCTGGTGTCCTTCCCAAACAAATCTATTTTAATGTTTTTTTATATTTACAGTAGTACCGGTAGACTTCTCTTTTTACTCAAGATATTTTTTGTTTTGTTATTGTCTTAACAACAATGAATATTCAGGCTAACTTTGGTCGAAAATGATGTGAAAAAAAGGTGACTATATTTAAAAAAAATAATGATGATGGATAACAACAAATGTATGTAATGTTTTATTTCATTAAATTTTTTGTTGCACAAGTGAAAAACAATCTGCTTTCAAACTGAGAAGCATGGCATAAAGACCTTTTATAAAATCATGATTACCCTATTATGATCTAATTGGTTTATGGTTGTTAATACATACATGTATTTATTTCACTCCATGTTTATAACAATCCATTTGTATATAGTTGCCATGGGTAACCCTACAATTACTATATATGTTGGTGGCAAATATTTACCTTCCCTGAATCTGTAGAACAATCTATACAGTTGACCTTTATGTTGCCATGGGTTACACCAGGAATTATCTGTACTCTCTGGAAATCACTGGCGAGTATAACTATATCACATCCAGCAGCATAGGCCTGAAAGTTTATAAATAATAATTCATCTACATGTATAGTACTCTTGTTACCATCGGAACACTATAAATAAAACCTTAAGTCGCAATTATAATTTTGATCCAAGTGAAATGACAATTATGTATCCTTAGCAGTGTCATATACATATATTGAAAGTTAAATACATGTTTGATACTAATATTTCTGTACACATGACTGTTTCTGATCAAAAGCTTGTGAAGCAATAGATACATTTTTTGTACAATTAGTGGACACAATGGGTCTCTTTTCTTTCCATTATAATTACATTCTGGAGTTATAAAAGTAACAGTTTTGTATCATAACCAACATTACTATCATTAGTCCTTAACCCTTATCCAATATCAAATAAATAGATTATTGCCCTAATCCAGTATAAACCTCCAAGGTTATCAGTTTTTAGTTTAATTACTTAACGCTAATATACTGTAAAGAAGATGATTGATGTGTAAGGATGTTGTAATTGTTCTCAGCTTCATTGCTGTTTAATTTTGAATAACATATTGATCTCAATTTTAATCAAGACATACCCAATAACTATACTTAAAAGTGCGGTTTCAGGCTGCAAAATCCATTTATGAATATTCAGGAAATTACACGTCAACTCAAAACCTCTAAAGATTAAAATAAACTCAAAACTTCCAATGATTTAAACATTTCTTATTCTGACAATTGAGATAAATGTTCCATGGGAATTTTCGTTCAGTGAAAGGCAATAGAAAGAGAAAACAGATATATCACCAAGTCAGGATTTTTCATGTTTTATATGAGATAAAATTTTACAGAACAAATAAACTTGTAACTTTAGAAAACATTTATACATCAGTTCTATAGTCTTTTTGTGCAACTTATTATAACACTGAAAATAAAATGCTCCGCTGGGCGCAGCTTGATACGACCGCAGAGGTCGAACCCTGAACAGTTGGGGCAAGTATGGACACAACATTCAAGCTTGATACAGCACTGAATTTGGATTGTGATTAAATATTTGACACAACATAGGTTTCTGACACAGAATGAATGTGGTCTAAGAACTTAAAAATTTTTAATTTACCTATTCAAACCATATCATTATTATTTGCTTTTATATATAAATCTGAAATAACCAGTTTAAAATGGAAAATTTTAAAGAAAAAAAAAGGAAAAAAAAGAACCCCCCCCCCCCCCCCCATTTTTCGAACCCCCTTATGATTCATCACCCCCAAACTCAATCCCAGCCTTCCCTTTGTGGTATGGTACCTTGCAGTACAATTTCAGAGAGATCCATACACTTGAACACAATTTTTTGTCTGGAAACTAGAAAAATGCTTGTTTTTTTGCCCCAAATTCCTAAACATTTAGGGCAATTACCCCTAAATTCAAACCCAGCTTTCCCTTTGTGATGTGGAACCTTGTAGTACAATTTCATAAAGATCCATTCACTAACACACAAGTTATTGTCCTGAAACTAGAAAAATGCTTGTTTTTTGCCCCTTTTTGGCCCCTAATTCCTAAAATTTTGAGGCAATTACCCCCAAAATCAAATCCAGCATTCCCTTTGTGATATGAAACCTTGTGGTACAATGTCAGAGAGATCCATACACTAACACACAAGTTATGTCTGGAAGTTATAAAAATGCTTATTTTTGGCCCCTAATTCCTTAACTGTTAGTACCATAACCCCCAAAATCAATCCCAACCTTCCTTTTGTGGTATTGAACCTTATGGCAAAATTTCATAGAGATCCATTCACTTAAACTAAAGTTAGAGTGCGAAAACCAATGTGTCTTCGGACAACGACGACGCCGGACGACGACACCAACATCATACCAATATACGACCGCAAAATTTTTTTGCGCTCGTATAAAAATGGGAAGTATAAAATGCATGCACTGATCATGAAGTATACTCATGAGAAATATTTGTTTGAAATTTATTGATAAGTGTTTTGATAATCAGTCATAAAGTCAAGATTTTTCCAATGAATTCCCTTGTTTTTATCAAGACATATAGAACAGTGATTTGTTACCAGCACATTGAAAATATTGGCATAGCTAACTTTTTAAGAGAAACAGATTTCAATGTACAAATGTAGCACTATTATTTCATGTTCAGCTCATTGTTTTTTTAGCTCATTGTTGAAGGTCATATGATGACAAGTAGTTGTTTACATTCTTGCACTTTTGTCTTTGATGAATAGTTGTCTCATTGGAAATCATACCACATTTCCTTATTCTTAAAAGTTTTAAAAGCTTAACCAGTGTGAAACAAAAATGCCAATAAAGTGTCAGCCGTAGCCTTAAGTATAGTCTACTGATTGAATGAGTATATCCATTTTCATTGAACAAGTACACATTTTGTTTAGGAGCCAGCTGAAGCCCGCCTCCGGGTGCGGGATTTTCTCGCTGTGTTGAATACACATTGGTGGCCTTCGTCTGTTTTCTTCTCTTTGGTCAGGTTGTTGTCTCTTTGACACATTCCCCATTTACATTCTCAATGTTATCATGTATATGTTCACTCCTCCCCAAGATCTTTCAATTATGTCATTACCCCAAGAAGATGTCTATGAGCTAAACAGTTCTACTTTTCCAATGGGTGTATATCCACCGATACTCCCCTCCCAGGTATCTGACATTGAAATAATATTTTTTCATGTGTATATCAATGGATTAATGTATTGACTAAGTCTACGGCTATTTTTTTGTATGACACACAAGTGACAATGAAGTAAAGTATTGATTAACAAATGACTTCTGGTCAGCTGTAGAAAATAAGCACTTAATTAGTAGCCATGAGAATTCTATATGATTTGTGCTTTGAAATGAGCTTCCAGTACTGTCAATTTAGAAATTTCAACAAAGATTTCATTAATTGCAAAAGAATGCATCAGGATAAGGAATGCAATAAATTAAAACTTCAGTTTTTTATTTGAGGCAGTTATCATGGTTATAGTGTATCACAACATGTGTATAAATCACATTGCTAAATGCCACTAATTTATAAATGTTTTATATTATTTGACCTTGTTATGTTGATGGTGTTCAAGATTCGCTAGAAATAAACGTAATAAGCACCTATTATATTTTTAATTTACAGCAGAAAGGCAAGAGAACCATTCTACCTTCATGACCTTAAATTAAATGAGAAAGTTCCAAATTGGTAAGGGAAACAAAATTATAAAGACCTGTTTTTTTCTTATCAACTCTATGTCATCAGGCTTAATCCTTGCCTCTTTAAATCATTTGTAATTAGAGGCAACATAAAGCTCTCTCACATGCAGTTTTGTGCTTTTTGTCTACAAAGCAGTAAAATTATGAGTATAAAATGAAAAGTGAAACCTGTCAATAGGAATCCCCATTAAACATTGGTGTTCATATTAGACAATCCAAACAGATTTCACTGTTTATATATACAAAATATCTAGGGCTGGAATAGTTTTTTTGTAGCATGAGAGTTAGAACCTTAGCAATTTAATTGCTATCAATGAAAAATATTTGATACAACTGTATTGGTTTCAATCAACAATAGACAATATATCACATGTATCACAAGATTGATCTTTATAAATGTTACTTTCTAAACAATTTATTAGCAGATAATAGAGAAATTATTGAAATCAATTACTGACAAATAAATAGTCCTAAACATTCTAAATGCTTTGCATCAAAAACAAAAACAAATGTCTCCTTTACCGAAGAACAAACATGACAAAATAGGAATTTGATCTAAGCCATTACTGATGATCAATATTTCACCATAGGTCAATGTAAAATACACTTTTATCATAAAAGTCTCTCATAACCACAAATCTCAAATTAATAACTGGTACATAATTAAGAAAAAAAGACCAAATGTTTAATCCTACCACTAATGTTACTTGATTAAGAATCAATTGGTTGTTGGTTGCTTAACACCCAATTGCAAATATTTCATGCATGTTCAGGAGAACAAATTAACGATATTAAAAATCAAAATCAATTTTGTGTCCTATAATGTATTATATCATTTTTCCCACTTTTATTACAAATCAAAAAAGATATATAGAACAAAAACAAGGAAATGAACACAACATGACACAAACCATGCAAACCATGGAAAAGAAACAAAATATGACACAAATCATTGAAAAGAAACACAACATGACACAAATCATGGAAAAGAAACATAACATGACACAAATCATGGAAAAGAAACACAACATGACACAAATCATGGAAAAGAAACATAACATGACACAAATCATGGAAAAGAAACACAACATTACACAAAACAAGGAAAGGAACACAACATGACACAAACCATGGAAAAGAAACACAACATGACACAAACCATGGAAAAGAAACAAAATATGACACAAATCGTGGAAAAGAAACATAACATGACACAAATCATGGAAAAGAAACACAACATGACACAAATCATGGAAAAGAAACACAACATGACACAAATCATGGAGTATAAACAAAACATGACACAAAACAAGGAAAGGAACACAACATGACACAAACCATGGAAAAGAAACACAACATGTCACAAATCATGGAAAAGAAACACAACATGACACAAATCAAGGAAAGAAACACAACATGACAGAAATCATAGAAAGAAACACATGACACAAATCATGACTTAGAAACACAACATAAACATGATAAACAGATGAAACAAAGTATGTCAGAAACATTGCAACAAATGCCTTAGAAATACTGCATGATTCAAAACATGACTCATCTGGATTTCTAGAATAACCTCATCATTTCCAAAGAATCTAATTTAATATTATTTGCAGGAGAAAGACTGAATGATTTCATGGAATAAAGACTGGCATTAATACAACATGACTGAACAGCTTGACACAGACAATAATACTTGACAGAACATATACTCAAAACTTTAAGCCAAAGAATATGAACAGATTCTCAAACAAATATTTGAGATACATGTGGTACCGCACTAAGAATCTGACTATAGAAAAATCTAGCAAATTAACTCAACTTTAAGTTTAA